GTTCAATTTGAACATGTTTATCCTATCAACCATTATTTAGTTAGACCAAAATATATTTGTGAGATTTACTTAATAGAGCTTATTTATTTGTCATACAAAGATATTAGGTCGAAAATTTTAGGAAAATGAAAGAGGATCTCAGTAGGATCCATCAACCTCCTCAAGAAAATCGTCTTGTGAAGACCAAAATTTCGTAGATCTGGACAATGATTTACATTTATCATGTGTATCTATTATGATTATGAAGTTACAAATTATCTCGTTCATAGACTATGCGGTTTTTAGTAAATATGCAAATCTTAGACTTGTGACTCTAATTAGAGTTTGTAAGACGTAAGTTTTGATAATTTATACACTCAAATAAGATATGTATACTCATGTGATCTTGAGTAAGATAAATGCATGTTTTGATAGCTCATATACTTGAGTAAAATATGTATAACTCGTGTGACCCTAAGTAAGGTAGATGAAAGTTTTGATAACTCTTATACTTGAGTAAGATATATAGAACTCATGTGACCCTAAGTAAGGTAGATGCAAGTTTTGATAACTCATATATCGAAATAAGATATGCATAGCTCGTGTGATCCCGAGTAAAATATGTATAATTCGTGTAACTTCAAATAACGTAGATGCATGTATTGATAACTCATTTACCTGAGTAAGGTATGTATTACTCGTGTGACCCTAAGTAAGATAGATGCATATTTTGATAACTCATATACCTGAACAAGGTATGTATAACTCGTGTTATTCCGAGTAAGGTGCAACTTTTATACTCGTGTGACCCCGAGTAAGGTACAACTTTTAAACTCATGTTACCTTATAAAGGTATAATTTGTATACTATGACCCTGAGTAAATACAATTTTTATATTCGTATGACCCTGAGTAAGTACAATTTTTATACTCATGTGACTTTGAGTAAGGTACAAATTTTATGCTTGTATTACCTTGAGTAACATATATTTTTTATATTCATGTGACCTCAAGTAAGATATATTTTTTTATATTCGTGTGACCCCGAGTAAGGTAAATTTTTTATACTTGTATGACCCGAGTAAAATACAAATTTTATACTTATGTGACATCGAGTAAGATATAATTTTTTTACTCATGTTATCCTGAATATGAGATAATTTTTTTATTCATGTGACCTTCGAGTAATATACAATTTTTATACTCATGTAACCCTACGTATAATAGAATGTTTATACTTGTGTGACCTCGAGTAGGATGAACTTTTATACTCATATTACCCTAAGTAAGGTAGAATTTTTATACTCGTGTGACTTTGAGTAAGGTATAATTTTTATACTAATGTTACCATGAGTGGGGTAGAATTTTTATACTCATGTGACCTCAAGTAAGATACAACTTTTATACTCATGTTACCCTTAGTAAAGTACAATTTTTTATACTCATGTGACATCGAGGAAAATACAACTTTTATACTCGTATGATCTCAAGTAAAGTACAATTTTTATGCTCATATTATACTGAGCAAGATATTTTTATACTCGTGTCATCCTAAATAAGATAGATACAAACTAATGGGATGGAAGAGATCGTGAGAATCATTTTAACGATGTTCCACGGTGAGTGCCAAATTTTGTTGCTGGACTGATAAAAATTGATAAGTGGATGTGAAGTTAGACTAAGAATATTTATTGACTTTTTAAAATTTATTTTCTAATTAAAATTAAATATTCTTAATAAATAAAATTGAGTGATAACTTAAAATAAATAAATATATATATATATATATATATATATATATATATATATGACATTAATTTATTCATTTTCCCCTCCACTTTAGGTTTCACTCCACATTTTTTTTTGCCATGTCATATATTACACCAATCACTCTTTTCTTACTCTTCTTTCTTTCTTCCATCTACACACCCCAAATTTGCAATGAAAGTCCATTTTTTTCTTCTAAAATGATGCGTACTCTTTTCAAGTTTTGTCTGGGTAAATGATAAAACGAAAAAGGTTAAAGTGTTCAAGGCTTAGTTTTGCATCCAATACTACTACTCTGTTTGGAGCATGGGATTGGTGTTGCAATCAGAACAAACTTTTTTGCTATCTTTGGACAAACAAAAAAAGGGAGAGTTTGCTTTTGCAAAGGCTAATACAATAATTGTGAGTTGTTAAAGGATCAAACTTGAAATATGAACCACCCATGATTCACCATTTTTAATTGAAAAGTGAATATGAAATTCTTTTGACATTCAAAATATCAGAGATTTCTCACTAATAGTAACCACTTTGTCCTGAGGCTATTCCCCAATTGGTGCCAAAAGCATAACCACTCCGGACTTGCTCAAGATGGAATCTTTCCAAGTGTTTGAACAAAAAGTAAACTATAAACTCCTATAATTCTTATTCTTTATAGATAGATGGGCGTGTTTCCATATAGGACAAACACTTCAAAACCAAAAGATGAAGTAACCATGCTCATGCTCATACATGAGAGAGAGACACCACCAACAAAAGTTGGTCTAATGAATAACAGAGAGTTTGAATCTCTTTATTCATGTAAAAACTTCATTGATGAATAGTTTTAGTATATTTTATAAGTGTTTTAGATCTCGAAATCTAATTATCCTAAATTTTCTAGGAAAAAAAAGTGGAGAATATTTTACAAAAGTTTATACACGGGAAGTTTCCATGATTGTCCAGGAGCTAGTTGATTGTCCAGGAGCTAGTTGATTGTCAAATGATGGATGAGAAAACACTTGTTTTGTTTTCCTCTCTCTCTCTCTCTCTCTCTCTCTCTCTCTCTATTATGTTTAGAGAAAAAAATTCAAGGGTAGGGAGTAGACAAAAATTGACCACAATAGTGAACAATTTTATTAGTGAAATGCTTCACTCACATTACTAAATTATTGTGAAGGCTTTTTTACTGTATTGGAAAGTGCAAAAAAATTGCACTTATTGTATCTAACCAAGAGGAATCAATGAAATGGAAAAAATGAAGAGTTGAATATGATATATATAGGTCAGTTTGAATAACTTATCCACAAGCACTTTTATTTAAAAAAAAATAACCTATAAATTAAAATTAGTTTATATATAAATTAATTCTTAAAAATCCTATCGTGTATTTCTTTTTTAAAATTGAGTTGTAAATAGCTTATTTTATAAATATGGATAAAATCTCTCTTTTTTAAAAGTGTTTACGAAGTAATAATTGTTTTAAATATATAAAGATTTGTACACTTTAAATTAATTAAAATTATTTTAAGTGTGACTTTTTAAAATAGTTATTTTAAAAGTTAATAATTGGATGATGAGTATATAAACATATTTACACTGTTAATATATTTCAATTTTTAATAATTTTGTATTTTTCACTTCAGATATTGCAAATGAGTGGCGTTTACTTAGGTATAGTACAGTACCAATTAGTTTTTGTTTTCACCACATTTTTTGATTGGGTAAAACATCATTTTATCAGTAAAAAAGTATAAAATGTCAACACATTAATATCTGAAAACTGAGGAATTTCAAAATAAATTTCTCTCATGTTTAGTATTTGAATGTATCTTAATATCATCACTTAAGTCAATTCACTCTTTTTTACTTGGAAAGAAAAAGAAAATCAGGGATTAATTGGATACTGTTACTAACTTTCGTGAAACTGAGCAGTAATGTTTACCCTTTGTCAAACTAGATTTGTTCCAAGATGGTTACCGTTCTGACTGTCTGCAGTGAATAAAAAGAAGTCTTACATCTGAATTCTGAAATGAAAGCATAACAAAAATGGAAGAAAGTGAAAGAAGAGAAGAAAGATATTTTAGACTGTGATGTTATGTTAGAAGCAGCATGTCAAATACAAGTTTGAAATTGTAGTTTTGTTGCTCTGACCATTATTTGTAAGGTGCCGTGGAACTGTGTTTGTTATGGGTTTCCTATCTATCTTCTTTCTCATTGTCATGGCTGCAACCTTGTCCTCAAATTCTCTGCATTTAAGTCAATGTCCCTTAGCAACAGTGAAGACTTTATAAATGAAAAATAGAGAACACAACTACCAAAGATTTAATTTTAAGAGTGCACCTTCCAGAGTAAAATTAAACATTAGTTAAAGCAGGTGGTTGCCAATTTAAAAGAAGGTTCTTGTATAAATTTAAGTAACTGAATACAAAAGTAAAACAGTGTTTCCAATTTGACTTCAAATTTGTGTTCCATCCATTTCCAGCGTTTTATTTCTCCTCTCCATTTGGAGCCATCTCTGCATTGCGTGTGTCCTTATGCTGGTTTCTTTTTTCTGTAAAGAATACTGGATGGAATCAAATTTGTATTTCTATTTATTGTAATTTTATTCTTCTATTTTCAAACTTTATATTACCTTTATTACATCTATAACCCCTTATCCTTTCTTTTTAAATATAAATTTTCTATCGACATTAAATTTTTTACGTTAATTTTCGATGATTTTTACATGGTATAATATAATTACACCGCATCTTCTAATTGTTAAAATTTGTCATATCTCATAATCATATTATATCATTTATATCTTGTGTTATCCCTATATATCTGGAAGTAAGTAAAATATATGCGAACGTTGAGGCAAACGTCCTGAAGGCTTGACCCGGTGAAGTAGGTTTTGCTTTTGGGGACGCTCCACTCATTATGCAAGTGAGCTGCTAAATAAGGATGCAATTCAGAGTAATCAAAGGATTAGACAATTATCTTCTTTTCTAGGACCTACTCATGTAAACCGAGGAGTTCTTTGACCCAGAAGAAACTGTCGGATCCAAAACTACCCGATACTGAAAGAAAGGAACTATGAAATATTACACATTTTCACATCCCATGGCACCGAGCTATATATTATTCCACGGCCCTTTCTCTTAATCAATTAATGCATCCATTTCAGACATGAAAATATAACAGCAAGTTTAACTACTATTAATAAAGTACAATATCTAAAATTGAAAACATTATAGTAGCACCAGAAGGAACATAAAACAAGGTAAAATATCACGATCACTGCCTTGATCTTGACTCTGCTCGTCTAGCCTCATCTGGAGTAGAAGGAAACAGCTCCACATACCTTGATCCTATGGTCATTTTATCCTTGGACATTGCCCTCTTAGCCTCCTCAGCAGAAACAAACTCCACATATGCCTCTCCAGTAGCTTTTCCATCAGGTCGACACGCAATGTGTACCCTGTCTTCTATCAGGTTGAAATCTTTAAAGAATTCAACAATTTGAGATTTTGTCACTTGGAAGGGAAGGCCACGCATCTTCAATATCTCAGTATACTCCATTTGATCTTTATCACTGAACCTCTTTGACCGGGAGGGTGGAGGACTACTGCCATGGTAATCGTTATCATATATTCCTTCATAATTTATCTCAGCAGCAACAGCATTATAATAATCCTGCTTCTTACACCTGAACACTTCCACATACCGGCGACCCATGTTCTGGCGATCTCTCTGTAAAGCAAACTCAACCTGCATTGCTCCTGCAAAGACTACAAAGGCCTCACCTGAGAACCGTCCACTCTTGTTGACCAGCAATACATCTACAATGGTCAGTCCAGCAAAAAACTTCAAGATGTCAATGTCGGTACAGTTGAATGGAAGCCCCCTGAGACGAACCACAGGAAAGGGAGGGGGCTGAAAGCCACCAGCATATCCATAAGGTAAGCTGCCTGTCCCGCTGCTCACTGCGAAGTATGGATTGGATTCCATCATTCTTTGTCTCTTTGAGCCAACCTCGTACCCGTCCGAAACCCCCCCGCTTCCCAACATTGCCCTTCAAATTTCCATACCCAAAAAAAAAATCCCCCACTCAACATGTTAATAAAGCCAAACCCAACCCTCTTTTCCCTGACACTTAATTTCAATTCCTATTTTCATAATATTCATCACAACTCCCACAACCATACATCAGAGGGAATAAATAACAAAAGATAAACCAGACCACCCATAGAAACAGAGAGAATCACACAAGGACCATAACCACGTATTTTATTCAAATTAAATGGTGAAAAAATCATACAATTGCAATCGAAAACTGTTCAAGGGTAGTACTTAACAAAGCAATATACCAAATGTTATACCAACACAACCCAAAAAGCTAATTAATTAAAGAATCATATAAACACAAAATAAACACAGTATTTTCTCTGCCAAAAGACCTCATAGGATATAAAATATTCAAAATGAAAGAACACACAAAATTAAGAAAAAAATCATAAAGCATTTGCGCGGCCTAAGACCTAACAGATATTTTCTTTGGCGAACCTGACCCAGCCATGGCCACACATAAAACTTAAATATAATTTCATGCAATAAATAACCTCCAATCACCACCTAAATCAAAACACATATCTACGATAAACTCAAACCAGTTTAAATGCATACACGATTTCTGATCATAAGAACCACTGGACAGATATGAAACCCCCCGGAGATCACCAAAAAGAAAAATAATTTTGAGGGGAAAAGAAAGGAAGATGAAGTTAGGTTGACATACCCTCGGGGACCATACATGTTTCCAAGATCGCTGAAAGGACGAGCAAAAGGCGCTTCGGTAGACGGAGGAAGACGATACGGATCCAGCGCTGCGATCACACTAAAGGGGAATCCCAAATCGAACTGCAAACCCTAACTAGGGTTACACGCGCTTCTACTTCTTCGTCCAACACAGAGCGCACCCCTTTCAAGGTTTGCGTTGGGTTTAGTAATTTTTTTTTTCTCTACTCAATTTCTAATTTATTCATAATTTTTTACACATCCCGAGTAACCAGAGAATATATAGTGCTGGATTTGGCGTCAATGACGAATTTCTTCTCCTGTATGATCCCCCTGACCGTTCGATGAAAGGGTAATATAGGAAATATATAGTTTAATTGGTTAATTAGTGATAATTTTTATATAGTGTAATGTAATAATGTTTTAACCAATTCAATAAGTTATAAATAAAATATAATTATCACATTTTGTTTTATACATTTAGTAAATAAATCAGGAATTTTTATACATAAAAAAAGTCATTATTTTCGGTTCTTGCATATACTAAACTATTACCTCTTTATATTAGAATAATAATTTTTATTTATTCTTTTATAAATATATATTTTTTCTTGCATTACGTAGAGACCAAATATTTTAAACCTTGCAGGAAAAAAAAATTCAAACTTAATAAAAAGTCACTTTATATTTGAAATGAGGTAACACAAATAATTTAAAAACGTGAAGGAAGTTAAGTCCTATATTAGACAAAACTGCAAAAGGTAGAAAAGTAAGAACGCTATTTTGGCATGAAAATGAGAGTGGATCCAAAAAAATTGTTTTGAAGGATATATCTAATAATCTAAAGCTAAGATTCTCTCAGCGATAAATCAAAGTAGAGGACCTCTTATGCAATATTTTTCATTTTATTTTCTTCACTTTTTTTGTATACTTTTTTTTTCTCACAACAAATATTTTGATTTTTTTTTAAGTGTTACCCAACGTTTCTAATTATAAATATATTTCATTATAGAAAATAGTTTTTTGTTTATTATGCATAAAAAAGTTGTACAACGGATAGTATATTAGTAGTCATTCTTTTATGCAGTGTTTTGAGTGTCCCACTACTAAACCAGTCAAAACTTTGACCCAAGTCACAAATTGCTAGACATTTATACTTCATATTTAAAATAAATTTAAATATATTTTTATTTCTTATAAAATTATTAATTTTTAATCTTACTTTTATATAAAAAAAATTATTTTTATAAAATTTTAAATTTATTTTTATAAAACATTTAAATTTTGGTTTTAGCTCTCACAAAATATTTTGCATTAATTTTTACTCTTTCACAGATTTCTTAAGATTTCTTTTCCAAGTAATATATATGACATTTGTATGTATTATTGAACATAATCATTTAACTTTTTGTTTAATATATACATAGTTAATTAGTATTATATAAAACTAAGAATTAAAAGTAATCATTTTTAATTTTAGAAGAAAAACACAAAATAAAAATCAAAAATCACTTATTTTATATATATAAAAAATTATATCTTCAATTAATACATTTTGTTTAATAGATCTAAAATATATTACATACATATTCATGAATAACAAAAATTAAGAAAAACATGACATTCAGTAGGATATTAATTCTCCAAAGCTAATGTAGGAATCTAAACCAAATTTATGGATGTAATCATTCTTTAGTCTTTGTAGTAAATTTTCTATTTATGTCAAAGTAAATTTGATATTGTATTAGTACAACAAATAGAAGTAACCTAAAATACTTAGGCTCTATTTCAACTTTAACTATAAAATATTGAGATCACATTTAAGTTCAAATTATTTTGAAATTTGTTATTCAAGTAAACAAACATGCACTTGTTAGTTAATTATAAATTGATCAAACTTTTAGCCTTTTGGTTATAATGAAAACAGATCACAAATAGTTCTAATCTAAACTTACAAATCACAGATGTTCAAATTCACAAATCCATTCATTTTAGATCCAATCTAACTGAACAAATAAATATAATTAATTCAAAAAAATTTAAAGAAAAATTTTCTTATAAAAAGACCAACCTAGGGGTGGGGTAGTGACTGCAAATGAAAATTTTGGTTGCATTTGCAGAATGGATTTTACAAGTAGTCTTTACTAAAATAAAATGGTTATAAACCAAACCAGGGATGAAGGAACAAATTTCAAGTTGTACAAATCTACGAAGTATTTTTCATTCCATTTAAAATGCAGGATACCAGTCCAAGCAGCTAGCAATGCTTTGTCATTCTAGATGAAGAACATCACAATCTATTTGTTATAGGTGACTTTACAAATAAATCTGCTAACCCTGGTAGACACTATCAGCCAAGGTATTATACCAACCTGAAATAATATAAAACAGTTGTAACCCCATTCATAAACTATCAGGTAAATAGTGTATTCTAATATTTATACTACGTTATTTAATGGGTGCAGAAAAAGTAGATTGCACTGTAAATTGTACAATGCATAAAAGTATGAAAAATTACCATCTTCCAGACGAACATGAGTTGTCCAATTGTTCGTCGCTAGTAGTTCTCTTAGTGGTCACCATTCACTTAGGATGACTTTTTTGGTAATTTTTCAGTTACTTAAGTAAGCTATCTTTGTAACAATTATTTATTTGTTAGAAATTTTCTTGTGATAATTGAAAGTTTGGTAAGCTTTAACTTGAGGATTGTTATAGAAATATCATCTTCATTGTATGGTCCAGACACATTTTCAGCAATTCTTGCGTGAAATTTTCTCTCCTACAACAAAACCTAAAGAGGATCTGATTTGAATATTGGCTTTCTTATACAAAGTTTCAAATGTAAGAAGGAAAGATAATATCAATTGCTTACTATAATATTGTCATTCTGAATCCCTCCAGTTCTCCAAGATAAGAATCTCCCTGCAAAAAAAATAAAATAATACTAAAATAATTTTCAGATCATAACCACTAATAAAAGGCAATGAAAAATGCATGTCTCCTTTTCCCACATTTGGACAAAACTAGTGTGATTTTCTGTACAACACAAGGTTTTAACTTCAAACACATTTAATTTAAATAAAAATTAAATTCTTTTATATTAACATGGCATCAAATTTAAATAAAACGTATATATAATATAAATCTAAACAAAAATTGAGGGTGTATTAGGATGTTCAAGGATTTTAAAAGACTACACATGGTATTCAATCAAGACTTTAAATAATTGAAAAAAGTTGTACTATTCAAGAAGGATTTTAAGGATGACAACGAAATTCAGTAATATTCAATTAAGATTTTCACATTTTATAAAAAGTTTATTGATATTCAAAAGCATACAAATTTTCATGGATTTTTTTTAAGAAGGATTTTGATATATTCACGTGACTTTTTGTTAGGGTGCATAAATATCACACCCATCAAACATTTCCACCTAAACTTTTTGAGACTTTTCAAATTATTTTTCTAAGAGATGTTAGATTTTTCTTTCTTCTGTTACACGTTATTTATTCTCTCTTTGATAAAGAAAATATAGATGTTCGTGTGCAGATCTTGATAACTTTCTTCACAAAGAATGTTGTTATGATGACGATTTTACAATTTAACCAATATATATATCTTCATCTTTAGTATTTTTGGATAATAAAGATTGGAAGGTAGTGCTCAAATCTAAGACATGGATGAAAAAATGCTACATAAAGCACTAATATAAGAGGAAATAAAATTAAAACCAATTAACTGTTGAAAAATTGTACTGGATCTTTTCTTTAAGCAAAAATTATTTTATTATAATTATTGTTTCATTGACTTTGGTAATTTCATTTTCTTTTCTCCTCATTTTCCTCCCCTAGAAATATTTATGAGGAAGTTGATACAAACAAACTCTAATACTTCAATTATATCAATTACTATACACATAAATGTCACATCTTAGCACTATAAAGCGTTTCTAGTTTGCAGCTAAACTAGTAAAGTTTAAGTATTAATCATAATGCATTACCAAATGGTTGCACAAGTTGCTGAGATATGCAAGCCACAGGAACACTCCAAAACCAGGCAAGCAAAATTAGATATGTTAAAACCTGCTTCACACAACCATATTAATATCTTATCTGCCTTTGCAATGAAAATATGTAAACCTGAAGACAGTTTTTAGATCAGGAAATACCTTTGAGATAAGCAGGGATTTTGAATACAAAGCAGTATCCTTGTTGTGTAAATTTTGACCTGCATGTTAGTTTAAACTATAATTTTTTCCAGTAATGCTACTTTCACCAAAATGTCAGCACAAATAGCGTATAAATTCTGATGTGGCTACATCTAGTTCTACCTACTTAAGGATCCAACTCATGAGAGAACAAAGCATATTGAAGTCAAGATGCATTTCATTTGCAATGTTGTAGCACAAGGTGATGTGTTACTAGAGAAGATTTCACAGGTGACAATTGTGCAGAAATGATGACAAAAACTCTTCCATCAATGAAATTCAAATAAAGTTTGAGCTTAGTTAGAATTACAAATGCTACTTGACATTGAAAGTGGGTGGAGCAACAGTGATAGACGATTAAAGCTAAATGAATATAATTTTATCGTTATTATTAGTAACTAAAATTGATCAGAGGCTCTAACACTCTCCCTTGTTTGGTAATTAAAATCTATAACAAAGGAAATGAGAGTTACTTCCTCTTATTTAAATAAAACAAAACAAATTTACTATTATCCAAAGATAGCATGAGCCTGGTGCGCAGAGAGATATTTGCAAATAGTCACTTTAAATCACTATATAAATAGTAACAGAACAATTACATCAAAGTAGAGCATTTTATAGTCCACTCTATAAATACCTTTAAATACTGTTGAAGTTCATTCACATTAAAATTCTTTTCCACTCTCTTTGCTTCTATTTAAAGGTGAGTTTTTTCTTCTCCCGTATTTTTGCGTGTGCCATAGGTATTATCATAAAAAACCCAAACTCGTTCACTCCTTTTCCTCTATCTTTTTGGTTAGTCATAGCAACCTGTTACTATATACTTGTATGTTTGCTTAAGAGCTAAGACCTGTAACTTTATTGCTAATTCCGAACTCCACATATTTACCTTTTTATTTAATTTTTGAGCATTTATTCAGTATGAATTATATAACCTGTCTAATAAATTTCAAAATAGTAGTCATCCACTACGCATTATACTACCCCACATTGCATTTTTAGGGTCAGACACTATTTAAGATTAATGATAGAAGTTAGAACACTGAAATTTGCTATTTAGGCGCACTAATTAAAGAAAACAGCTGAAACTGTCCTATAGTTGTAACTACTCCTACAGAGAATAACTCTTTCCTAAGAACTTCCAAATACACTCCTCTGCCCGCCCACTTCTTCCTCATTTTCTATAAGAATTTTACAAAATGACTGTTTCTAAACTAAATAACTGTCTATAATAAGACATTATACAAAATAACTGCTCCTAAAATACATAACTGAACCCAATTAAACAATATACAAAATTAAGAGTATGTAACCACTCCTATTTTCTGTCAATAAATGTCATATCTGCCCCTAATCCTATCCATTGGTAATTATGGTAATATGATTAGTAAACATGTTCTTATATTACAGATTAATTCATACAAATAAGAAGACTTTATAGAGATGGGTTGGAAATACAAAGTGATGGTGACTAGACAAGAATACTTGGAGAAGAATTATTAATGATAAAGATTACCGGAGAAATATATTTAATCAGCAGCAAAATTATTGTTAATTGGATTTTTAGTGTTTCTTCATTCTGAAATTTATTAAAGTTGTTTGATTATCTAGTTGGCTTGATCTAGTTAAGGATTGTTGTTTGCATCCAATTGTAGCTTATTTGGAATTTCGAATTGGCATAACTTGTGTTCAGTAAAATAAAAATCTCTATTTTCCTGTCTATATTTTTCTTTTCCAAACTCTTTCTTCCCTTTCCCCTATTGAACTGCTTATCCAACATCACTGATAATAAAAAATCCTCCCACAAGAAAAAGCCAGCAAAAGCATAAGAGACAAATAACACGAAAAAGTCGGGTCAAAAGGTTTGTTTTTTTCCTTTAGAGAAACATTCCAGAGAAAACCACTATAAATATCAGCTCAAAAAGAGCTTCTACTCATGGATTTTTCAACAGTATTACTTCAGCACAGAATAATGTAATACTGGGGGGAACACAAATAATGAGTTTAAAATCACACAAAAAAATATAGCTGAAAAGAACATATCAACCACCCACCAAACACAAAATTGTAAATTTGCAACATCACACTTCGTTTACATAGAATTCAATATGCAACAAGAAATGACTCGAGTAAATAACTTACATTTTGCAAGTTCCTTCTCCTTTGCTGCGGCTAGTCTCTTGAGTTTTGCACCTTGTGCAAAGGTTGATGGCCTGAGAGGACAATGAAATGACTCGTGTATTCTCTCTCACAAACATATACATAAAATATTCAAAGTTTATATTAAATTTAAATGTAAGATATTTCTATTTCACTTTAAAATTTTCATAAAGCACCACACCACCTTTACTTTGAAACTTTTGTTAGAAAATAGAAACTGGAAGTAAACACAAAAGCAAAAAGAAAACAAAATAAAAGAAATAAATGATATTTCGGGTTTCACAAAAGAATTTGAATTAAGACAAAAATAAATGAGAAGGTAAAAGAGCCCATAGTTGGCTTGAACATAAAAATTTACATGTATACTTTCATTACGTCAATTGAAACATATTGTTATTTAATTATGGGTTTTAGGTATAGAACAAGGAAGAGATATAAAAGAGAATGAAATACTGAATTGGTAGTAACTGAGATAGATGTATTGATATGTTCAAAAACCTAGAATACAAAACACTGTTAGGGAAACAATTATGAGAATAAAATAAGATGACTAATCCTAAGATAGGATGTGGAAATAAGAATACTAATCCAAAAGGATAACCTAAGACATGATAATATATTTCCTAAATTCTAACAATTACCTATGTTATATGTATAATCTTTTTATCGTAGATCTAACCAAAAGTACAGAAAAAAATGAGGCTACTAGCTTCCTGCTCATGTAGACTGTATGCCCACCCCTGTAAATAGAAGTTGAGACTAAAATAGGGAAGGACAAAGATGATTCTGACCATAAACAGTCGGAATTCTAAATAAGACCCATTTCTTTTTGTGTGAGGAAATAATGGCCATAGCATTAGTAACTTACTGTGACAATGAGTTTGCCTCCTTCAAAAGTTCCTTTATTTCTACATGTAACTTAGCTTCTTTTTCGTTGTCAGATCCACTCTGAAGCAAAAACATACAACTAAAAGAAATTAATAGCATAATCTAACAGTCAATATGTTGGATATATTTCTTGTCAATCAAAGGACAAGTGAACAAACACAAAATTATAGAAGAAACAGAGTGCACTATCAGTGCAGCACCATGCAAAGGGTCTCTCTTTTTCTCATGAAAAGTCGGCAATCTTTTAACGGAAATATTAATGGCAATTGGCCCAAGCATGCTTGTCCCCATCATAAGATTTAGTCACACAGCAAATGATGAAACTGAAAAACCATACATATGGATAAAAAGAAGGAATTCAAATTGCAGCCTTACAAACTTACAACTAAAAGCCCTTAGTCTATAAACACGACAATTCATCCCTTAGATATAGCATTTTGCAATTAAAGAGAACAATCTTACAACAGCCTCAAAATTGTCCTCCTGAAGTCTCATGACAGCTTCCTTCATTCTCAGGCTTGGAAATCAAGTAGAAAATTCAAATTGAAAATTTCAAGGCCTGATAACAAAAAAATGTCAAGAAACTAAAAAGGTGGAAAAGATAAATTCTGGTCTAATGTCAGGTCATCCTGCTTCACTATAGGTTCTATTAGCAAATGCTAGACCAGAATCACAATGGCCCAAGAGTTTGGAGGGTTTACTCTAAAAGAGGGTAGGGTACATGTGGTAGCAAGTCAATGGAGTATACAGCACACACATTGAGGAGTTTGTTCAAAGGAAACGAATCAATGATTTGATGGGGGCATGAGGGAGAGACGAGGGTAACTGAGGGAATTGTGGATATTTCATCTCTAAACTTGAGACCAAGAGCTCTTGGGGCTGAAAGTGTTTTTGTTCACTGTTTTTTACACCATCGTATTTGTCTTCTGCATCTTTTGTGTGAGTGTTCTGGCTTTGTGCCATGTGTCACTATTTTGAGTTTTTTTTTTTTTGGTTTCATGGCATATTATTCATTTTCACTAAGCAAGATAAGTCACTAAATCAAACATGACAATTCAGAACCTAGTTACCCAACCAATACATTTTTTTTAAATAAAAGCATAGAATAAAACAAGATTTGAAAAGTGAAAACTATCCTTCTTAAAATGTTCTAACTTAAAAATAGTGAGATCATATCAGCAAACTGTTTCCCAGAACTATAAGTGTGAAATGGATGTGATGTAACACATCTTTATCAATTACCATGTAATGAAATTAGCATAAAAATCAAATAACCAAAGCTACAATTCAGCAATGTGAGCCAACTAAGATATATCTTAAACCGTACAGCAAAACAATCTTAGCATCATTATCTGAATCTATTGCAAACAGCGGTTTATTAGGATAAAAATATCCTCCAAATCTCCTAATTGAGTATGAGAAAATATCTTCAAAATCTTTTTGTAACATCTTTAGAACCTTCTTAATTATTTCAGGAATATTTTATTTCCTTGTTTTAGATAAATTGCTTGTTATAAATAGAAGTGTTGAGAATGTAATTGATGTGATTGTAATCAGTAAATAATTTCTTGTGTTCCTGCATAATTCAAGTGAATCCTTTTGAATTGTTGGAACAATAAAAAACTAAAAGATGAAACAGAAAGATGACCTTCTTGAATTGATCAATCCACTGAGAAGCTAAGTGAAAGGCTAGAACAACAAAAAATATGAAAGGAGCTGCTAGTGACCACTGATGTTCTTCACTTGCTATGTCTTCCATCCTCACTTCAATTTGAAAGGCTCAATAAGCTCTATTTTATAGGTTACTTTTGTTTCTTTTCTTTCCTCCCGAGAAAATTTGATGCTATGAAAACCAGACCAAACCACAAACCTGTAAATTTTCATATTAAGGTTCAACAAGTTGATTCAAGTAGTTAAACCAGATGATGTTGGACAATAAGACTCAAATTAAGTGTTTATCAATCACAAGTTCTCCTCAAAAGTCACAAGATTCATAAACAATGATTAACAATACAGTGAAGGGAAGGGCAAAAGAGAAATTTACAACATGATACAGCAACACATTGAATGTAAATACAGCAAAAATATGTAACAATCAAATCAAAACTAGGATGCAAGCACTCATGACAATAACAGGCATCATAATTCACCAAAAAGATGCAGATACAAAATAAAAGAGAATCAATCTAAAAATAAAAATAATTTACCCCTAGTGACAACAAGTGAACAAAAGCTTCAAATAAGTTACAAATCCAAAACTGAAAATCAAAATTTAAGAGAGAAGAGAGTCCACCAAAGAACTTAATGATGTCAATGTCCATGCAGTTGAACAGAAGTACCCCCAAGATAAACCACGAGTAATAGAGGGGGTTTGAAGCCACTAGCATATCCATAAGGTATGCTACCTATCCCACTGCTCACTACCAAGTATGGACTGGATTCCATCATTCTTTGTCCCTTTGAGAAAACTTCATTCACATCCAAAACTCCCCTCTTGTCTATACTACCCTTCAAATTTCCATACTCTAAAATCTCCCTTTCTCATACACATAACTTGGCAAGTCCACTGTGTATTTCTTTTAAAGTGGGAGTTATTTTTAGCTTTTATCTCTTTTGTGGTAAAGAGAGATAATTATTTAGACATTTACCTTAATTAGTGTTTTAGTTTGGGTCTGGTTTATTTATTTAATTGAAGTAATAGACAAGAACCCGCTGCTTCCAACTGTTATATTATCTTCAATTATATTTTAACCTTTTATACTGTGTTGATCTATAAATTTAGTTGTATTGAGAATAAACAAGTTATCTAAAGTCTTCTGTATTTCATTTTAGAAGATTTGATTCACTGATAGTTGACATCAGCTTACTATGGCCTTTTTCAAGTATAATATTGAATCTCAAGAATAACATTGCTAATTAAGAACAGCAGCAATGGGGGAGAGAATTTGCCTTTCATTTTCTTTCTTCTACCTTCATAGATGAAATAACCTGATAGTAGCCTTAAAAACAATATTAACTAAATCTTTAACTAAAAATCCCCAAAGCTGAGCAGGCTCTATGTCTTTAAAGAATATCCTCAACACCAATGTACGTTATGAGAAAATTATCATTATGAGTTTAATCTCATTAATATTTAGAATTTTAATTTAGTGGGGTGAATTAATGTTTAGAGTTATTTTGGCTAAAAACTAGATAAGTTTCCTATAGCAACAAATGGATCATTTATAGCAATCGGGAGCACCACACAAGTATCACCACAGTATATTTTTATCCAACATAATCCATTCAGCGGGGAATATATATATCAAATATAGAAAAGTTATACAAATTACAATTGAAAGTAGTCCAAGGTTAATAGTTAATACTAGTGAAACAATATACCTAATGTCACACCAACACAACCTAAAAGATTAATTAATTAGAGAATCATACAACCCAAATCTATGCAAAAGGCTACTGGGTGTAAACAATAACACGAGGTTGAAACAAAATTAGAGCTAACAGATACCCCATATTTTCTCAGCCACAATAAATATGTAAGACATCATAGGATGTAATAAATTATTCAAAATCAAAATACACTCAAAAGTAAGAGAGAAATGAAAAAGCATTTAGGTGACTGGCCTAAGACACGAATTTCAGATAAAAGCTAAACACAAACCAGTTGAAATCCACACACCATCATAATCATAAGTACCACGGCACATAGAGATGAATCCCAAATAGCAAAAGGGAAAAGAAATTGAGGGAATCAGAAACCTAGAGTTGGGTTACCCTGGAGAGACAGTACATGCTTTCGAGATTGCCCACCTTATATGAGGAAGGAGGATTCCGGCTCTGCTATGTGAAACCCGGTTCAGTATGCAAATGTTAGACAGTGGCACACCTTTGGAAACTTAAAATTTTTTTTTTACTCTTATGCTCCGTTTCCGGACTTTATGTTACCACAGCATGTAGAACTGGTTATAATATATTTAGAACCAAATAAAAGAAATTGGTTAAAAAAAAAATATATATATATATATATATATATATATATAAAATTTAAATTTACTAATATTTGTACTTTACAAATTATTATGTTTAATTTTTAATATTTTTAATGAATATGTTTATATAACTTGTTGAGGAAACTACTGTAATTAACTTCAGTGATCCTTTATTAAAAATATGATAAAAAATGTATCATATATAATTATTTTATTTATTTTGTATATCAAGAAAGATAAAATGTTGTTGAGGTTTTTTAATTATATCCCAAGTTGTAAGTTGGATAAAACAAAAGGAAAGTTTGATTTTTATAAGATTTGTATAAATGTAGAATCAGATTGGTTGGCAGTAAGTGTCTGTGTTATTCGTGAATGTGATTTTTTGAACAGATAAGAGTGAAATTTTACAGAGAACCATTAAGTATTAGGGTGGACGAAAAAATAAAATATACTATTAGCAAAAAAAAAAAAGAGTCACATAAAGGTTGAAAGAGTTGCATAAAAAAAATTATCTTAAAAAAAAAAAAAAAACCACATACAAAGAGTCATATCCATAATTATTTATTTATTTTATATCTATTATGTAATCAATGTCCATAATATAAATAAACATAAGATTTTTTATTAACCAATATAAAACAAAATCACATGTTATTATTACATTTACGAGATTAACTAATGTATTTAATATCTTAAAAAATTGTAGAGATTTGTTTACATCAATTTTTATAATTGATATAAAAAAATGATATTAAAAAATATATATTATCCATTATTATAATTGATATGCAAAATATATATTACCTCAGTTACTATCATAATCAATACGGAATCACAGTTCCCTATTATGTATTATTGATGGTTATTGACTTAAAAAGGTAATTAAAAATGCATATTATATGTACCTACTAAAGAAAACTTAATCATTTTTTTAATGTAAATTCACGGGGATTACATGAATTGTACAAACCGAACTAATAATTGTTTCACACATCTATTAAAAATATATATAAAATAGGATAATTATTCTCAAATTATAACTATATATTTTAGATCAATGTTATATTAACCGATATTATAAATTAATATTTTTAGACCAATGGATACTCAAATTTTAGAAAATTCAAAGAATATTAAAGAACACCAAATATTGAGATGTTATATTATAAAAAATAATAAATAATTTTAATATATATTTTCTTGTTATGAATACGTTATTTTGGTCAAAATTTAATTATTATAAACAGTAATAATATATTTTTTAAAAAGATATAGAAGATTTTTTCAAAATATATCTTATGCTTTCTTTGATAAATATGAAATTATATATATATATATATATATATGGGAGATTATATATATATATATATATATATATATATATAATTAAAAAATAAAAGAAAAATATCACCATTTATTCTAAAATTTATTTATTTATTTTATTCATATCATATTTTGATAAGTGATGTTTAAAAGGGGAAGATGTTTTATTTTTATTGTATATAAACTATATTACTTGCATTCATATTAAAATAATAATAACATTTGTGTTTACTTAAAAAAATCATGAAAATATAATAAACTTATTATATTTGCATTCTTTTATAAATTTTAATAAATATTTTAAAAAATAAATAAATTTACTTTTATATTTTTAAAATATAAAAATATATAAAATAAACATATTCCCACTTAAATTGCACATTTTTAGACTCATGAATCCAAATAAATATAAATATGTTATATTCACAAATTAGAATAATCATTAATATATTTTAAACATTTTTTTTACATGTTTCTTACTTTATGGGTTATTTAAAATTGATTTTATCTTAACATAATATTTTTAAAGATTTTTTAGTATCTTATATCTTTTATGATTTTTTGTTTTTATATGAACAAAATATTTTTAAAGATTTTCTCACCGTATTATATCTTTTAATATATCATTTTTAATACATTTAATTATAACTTATTTTTAATATTTTTTAAAATAATTATCATTAATAATTAAAATATATGATATAATAGTAGAAATCATTTAATCATAAAATAAAACATACATTTGATTTTATATAATATTAATTAAAATTTGTCTGTATCATTTATAAAATAAAAAATATAAGATAATTTTGGTGTATATGCCAGGCAAATTAATAGACTACAATTACTTATAATTATTTCTTCATCCATAATTATTATATTTAAAAAATGTAATTCTGATAGTTATTTTTTTATCCCTTTTATTATATAATAAGTTTTAATTTATTATAAATTTTATTTATAAAATACATATTAATTCTATAATATTTTATTCCTAAATATTAGTTTAATGTAAATAATTATAATTTATTGTTTTATAATATATATATATATATATATATATATTTACTTTGTGATAAATTTTTGGTATGAAATCTTTTTTAAATAATTTATATCTTTTGTGAAATCATTAAATTTAAAATAAATATTATTTATCTATTGATTAAATATAATTATTAATTATATGATTTTTTTTATATTTCTTAATTTTAATTTTATGATTGCCAAAATTAATTCAGAAAATCTCTTATCATCATTGATTTATCAATAAAATATTTAAGAAAATAAAGAAGATAATTTTACAAACATACCCCTAAGAAGCTAAAAATATCTCATCACAAACTTTCACGTGGCGCATTGCTCGTATTCCCGTGGCATCTTGGTAATATCCCAAACCACTGCAGGGGTATAAGAGTCATACCATTAAGCCAGTGACGCGTGCCAATAAATTCTCAAAACACAATGCACAGTGCTGAAATTTCAAAGCAACCAGCCTCATCTCCAAATATCACACACAAAGGAAACACATTCTATTTGAATGCGATAGTAAGAGCGAGTTATTTCACAGCACACGGATCGTTGACGTGGCGAAAGATCGTCGAAATCCCGCGTAAAACCCCAACTTCAATTTTTTCGCGATTCGATTTTCAATTGCGTTTTCTCTACACTGCCCCTCCCCACAACCCTTCTTATCCCCTCCTCTCGCGCCCAAACCTCACAACACAGTGCACTCTCACCTTTTCCCTTCTCTCCTTGAAACCCTTGCTCCTCGCCGACTTTGTCCGAGTCTTTCCGCTTTCACTGAGTTTCGCCATGCCGAAGGTTAAAGCTGATTCCAAAGCCGCCGATAACAGGTATTGTGTTTTATCCACTGACTTATCTATACGAATATGTTATTTTATAATTTTTGCTGCGATTTGGATCTGGTTTTTCTGATCTAGATTCTGTTGTTTTGGTTCTGTTGCTGTTGTTGAATGTTTGTTGTGTTATATGGTGATGTGATTAGGTTGAAGCGCAAAGGCGTTGGTGCAGGAAGGAAGCAAACAAAGAAAGCTGCTAAGGATCCCAACAAGCCTAAGAGACCTCCCAGTGCTTTCTTTGTTTTCATGTATGAATTTTTTTTTTAATACTTTTATTATTTTTTGTGTGTGTCCTATATCTAGGTTTTTTGTTTTTAGGTCTGAGTTCAGAGAGCTGTTTAAGAAGGATCATCCTACCAACAAATCCGTTGCTGTTGTGAGTGTTCTTGTTATTTACTTTTTATATGAAAAATATACTATGTTTTGTCTTTCAAATTGTGGATTCTAATTTATATTTTGCTATGTAAAATATTTTAGGTTGGGAAAGCTGGTGGTGATAAATGGAAATCTATGTCTGATGCTGTGAGTATTTATTTTTAATAAGTTATTTTGATGACTTTCTGTGTATAATTCGATGTAATTAAATAATTACAATGATTCGTTTTTGACCTATTTTGTGTTAATCTATTTTAACTTATCAGGAAAAGGCCCCTTTCATTGCTAGGGCTGAGAAGAAAAAAGAAGAGTATGAGAAAAGTATCTCAGCCTACAATAAGAAATTGGTGAACACAGCATTACTTTATTTATCCTTTCATTTATTATTGTTTTTGATAAAATGTAATTGATAATTAATTGAACTTGTGATTTTGATCTATAGGAAGGAAAGAATTCAGAGGAAGAAGAATCTGACAAGTCAAAATCTGAAGTTAATGATGAGGAGGAAGAGGAGGTATGGTAAAAAGAATCACTAGATATGATTTATACTCATTATTAACTAATTGTTCATTTAAATGTTGTTGTTTTCCTTCTGTAGGAGGATGATGAAGATGATGAGTGAAATTGGCTTATACAAGATGGAGCGCATATTGATGTGGGAACAATATTTTGCATAGTTGTTGGGTTTAGTATTTTGATAGGATGGTTCCAATCCACATCACATTCTGATAATTAGTTTCTGAATTTTTATTTTGTCCTCTTTAGGGTTAGGTTAGTGCACAATGGTAATTAGGAAGTATCAAGATTATGTACTTAAATCCAATGCTATGATACGTTTCAATTTTATTTCGGAAGAAATTTCAGTCTCCAGTTTTAATTTTTTGTTTGTTTGTTGTCGCGATGCCATTTTTTTGTTCATATTAGCATCGATTATTGGTTCGGCAGTATAGAAGAATCTATACTTAGGTTGACTTTTAACAGTCGAGAAAGTCTATCTTTCGTCGCACTCGTCTAATATGTTTTTTTCCTGCTTTTCTTTATCGGTTATGGCCAATGTCCCAACAAGTGGGTTTGCACTGATCAATTTAACTCCCTGCAATTTTAGTTGAGTGTTTTTGCTCGTAAGAAACCTTTGCTTAAACTATGTATACGTACACTTGTTTATGTATATTTACAAGCGTGGCGCAGTAAAAACACTGCGTACTGTCTCTTGCGGCTCATATCATGTTATAAATGAGTGAGATTATTGTGGAAAATTAGTTTATTTGTTCATGTTATCCCTTGACTCATGTTCCTTGCTTCGTTCTTGGCAGAATTATGACTAATCTATTAATGATTTAAGTGGGAAAATTGGTAGAATTTTTTCTTTATATACAAAATATTTCCAGTCTCAGTATCAAAACCAAAACTAAAATAATTCTCAGTCTTCCAGCGTTAAACAAAATATTAAAAGTGCACAATCATAAGCCACGAAAGAAGTGATAAAAAGACTTCGAAACTCCTGCTCCAAACAACAGATGTTCTGCTTATTTTCGTTTATCCTGTTCAGCAATTCGCAGCACTTGGTTCGCTAATAATGAAAATGATTTTGCTTTGTCTTGCATTTCTGTGGTTCGGAGGTTGATTCCCTGCCAAATTGGAAGAGAATGATATGTATGTACTAAACAAATTTGACATGTATACTGGCTAAGGTGTTCAGGCTAAAATTTTACCAAAACTAAAGAAAATCTTTTTTCAACATAGAGATACCTGCAACTTATTCATGTTCTCCTGCAATTTGCTTTGTGCCAACTTAGCAACGCTTGTTTCCTGCAATAATACCAGATTCAAAGATTGGAGCATGTTTCCATTAATGATTCCTGCAATACATATCTCGGTATGTGCTTACATTGGACGAAGAACACCCATATTTCTTCTTAATTTGATCGACAGCACCAGCTTGCTCATCTTGTTGTTCTTCTTTACCTGATGTTTTCTGGATGTTACCCGTCATCTCTTTTAATCTTCCTGCATAATGAACCTTAAACTAGTTTAACTAGCAGCACTTAAGATAAGCACTTTAATCATCTTCTGCTCATTGAAAGTTAAAAATGCAGTCTTGTTTGCCTGAGTTAGATGTAGGAAGGTAATTTTTTAAAAAGGAAATCTACAAGACTATAACAGAAGCAATATGTATTAGAGATATGATCAGTTAGGAATTTATTATTAGAGGATAACTACTTTGTACGGTTGGTGAGAAGTTTGTCAGTAGAAGAATTAATTTGTTCCTATGTAAAGACCCTATGTAATCCTTTTTAATATACTCTTCTGATTATCAAAACCCATCTTATTTTCTGTTTTACCTATGCTAATTTTTTTATGAAATTTTCTGTCAGGATTTTACCCCATACATACTTCCAACATTGAAATTCAGCCACCATTATGTCAAACTATTCCTTTACGCAGGTCAACGGCCTGGTTCTAATAGGTTTGGGTAGTTTCACATGCAGGAGGTTATAGGTTCAAGTCTCAGCACTGTCATTTGTACTAAATAAAACATTTATTCCTTGTATGCAGGGAAAATGCATTGTTCACATGCAGAAAAAGGGCTAGAGCCTATAAAACAAACTGTGAGGACTCTTGGACAAATGTACGCTAAATGAAGGGTATTGCATTTTCACTTTTCCAATATGAACATAGTAGTGTTAACTTTGATGTTTTTTATGGTGAGCAGAGATGATTTTAGCACGACCTTTTCAATTTTGTCACTAATCAAATGATAAAATGAGTGATCTTATTAGCAAATATTATCTTATTTTATCCAAGTCCCAGTAGTATAACTTATTGACTATGAGTAAGTGACTATCTCATAGAAGTAAATTCACAAACCTTTTAGAGCCTGAAACTTTCCGGTCAATTTCTTCTTACCAAGACCTCCCAATATACCTTGATCTTTGTGTTTTTCTTCGTGATCATCTAGGTCAATGTCATCTGTACAGAAGGACACCAAAAATTGGTGTCTCAAACTTATTTTCCATATGATAGAAAACGAAAACTGCCCCAGGGAGCGTCAATTTATATAATATTTGTATATTCTGACTAACAAAGTCAATGAAAAGGCCATATATTCAGTAATATAAATAGACAATTTCTGTATCTTCGTTGAAGGCCATGTAACATTCAGTAGCTCATTTCTAAGATATTTCCATACCTATACTTATTTCAAGCTCATCTTCATCAACGGTCAGATTATCATTATTATCAGCATCACATGGAAAATTTTCATTTGAAAAGATAGCTGAGAGTTCTTGGATACTTTCTTTAGAATCTTCTGTTTCCAAGATGGGAGCATGCTTTTCTTTACTGCTAGTAAAATCTTTGATGACAGAGCTGAATATACCCTGAGAAGACCAAAATGAAGATCAAACACCTTTTATCACAAATATAATGAATATATAATTTCTAAGAAGTTATTAAAATATACTACTTACCCTTTTCTTTTCCTTATTTACGACTGGGCTAGGGGCAAGCTCGTCTTGTGAAAGCAATATTTCTTTCCTGTAGATGTGGCTAATAGAGTCCAAAAACCTAGAAGTCAACAAAATTGTAAAAATGAGACTACTAATATGGAACATTACTTCCAGTTCTCATCTTCTCCGAGGAATATTATTCCGACATCCATAACCAAGTAGTTCTATGTAGTCTGTATACGAGCAACAGATAGATAACAAGATATGGCATTTTGACTCTTGAGCCATATATTGTATATAATTACAGACCTGAAAATATTCCTTCCGGCCAACAATGAGACAACAAAAATTTCCTGGTCACCATTCACCTGTAAATGGAACTAGAGCTTATTAATATAAAACTTCCACAGAAACTTGTACCGTTAAAAATTATGCTCTTACCAAAACAATATCTCCTTTGGAAGAACAACATATCTGGCTATCTGAAAATGACTTCGATTTTGGAGGAGAATAACTGAAACCTCTAATTGAAGTCTCCACAATCAGGGATAATTCTTGCAAAGACCTATCATATAAAATGTCTATGTATTAAATTATTATAGCGAAAGAGAAAAAAATAAAAATAAAGTACTTTACATGCTGTTAACAAGCTACAGAAATTATCCAAATTCTAAGAAACACATTTGTTGGTTTTTGGATAAATGATGAATTCCAACTAAGACAATATAAAGCCCTTGAATAATTGAACTCATGCTGTTTGTGGACTACTAAGAAACCGATTGCTGCTTTCTTTATTCTCCAAAAACAAATGACAGTATTAAAAGACTTGAAATAAAATTTACACATTTTTCTTGTCTGACTTGAAAAACACACTGGAGCCAGCAAAGATGGGGAAATCATCGTTACCATTACAAACAATGATATATATATACTTTTTTTTTTCTCAATTTCTTTTGGGGAAAAATTATCTTCAAAATCGGTGTTGTGTTGAGTCGTTATTTTAACAAATGGTGCCTTCTCATATGTTCTATACCATCAAAATATGTACTCATAGAAAGTGCAGCCGAGATAAAAGCACCACCTTAATTCTACTTTTCCACTAGTGAAAATAAGTACAAGGCCGACATCAGAATGGCTACAAAATGTTGATGCCCAGCAACATGAAGAGGAATGAAACTTTTTCTTGTATAGCACCTTTTTAACTCCCTGGAATAAATCATTGCAAGCATCAGCTGATGTTTTTTGTTATTCATGACTCCTGATTATGGATGTAAGGAATTCATGCATCACCTGAATCGCATGGACCAATGAATAGACATATAAAGCTTTCTCAGAACAAAGCAGAATGTACTGCTGCTTCGTTGTTGCATCCTCAATATGGTTCCTTTCACTCAAGTCTAATCCATCTTTAGTAATTGATCCCGTGACCGGTCTACCTTGTCCATCTGTGTACCACAACCACATTTCTGTCACCATTTTCAATAATTTCTTTCACATCAATCAAGAACAGTGTTGAAATTTTGATCGTTATCAGAATGAGCATCTGTGTCACTTATGTATCAACGAGTTTTTGACAATTTAGTTGTGCTAACTAAGCAAACTCTTACCCAAAACCTGCATAAATAGAGCTTTAGAGGGCTTCTTGGGATGAATAGTTCCCGTTCCTAGTGTGTTTCCATTTTCTTTATCTATTGACATAACAGATGAATCTTTTGTTCCAACTGCTAAAATGTTTTTTTCAAAACCATGTAAACTGCAGGTTAGGAACTGCAGAGAGATGATACCAGCAGAAAGTTCACTCGCAATATGTTTCTGGTATAACAAAGTTGGGCCATCTATGTCAAAAACTGAAACCTGCAGCAAATTGGATCAATAAACGTTACTGCATAGAAGTTAGTTAGCAAAGTCTATAAACAATTCTAATCTCAAAGCGCAAGGAACACAAAAATAGCTAGTTCCATACAATATTTATTGACCATTTATTAACGCTGAAGTAACAACTCATAGAAATTACCACTCCAACATATGATCAAGGAACAGAAATCTGATAGAATGTAGTACAAAGTGGAAATACAGTATGATCTTTTTTGGTTGTGCTAAATGATCCTCATTATTTTTGCAAACGTGTATAAGGAAGTTATTTATGCAGTCCAAATGATCCTTGGTATTTATAGAGGGCACTTCTAGTTGCATTTAGTGGCTGAGGGGTTAGTGTGGTAATGATGCTTGTGGGAATATCCTCGCTGATGACCAATATATTCATCTACTGACCTATGAATTGTGCACTTCTATTTCTTTTGATATATCCGCAGAAGTCGCATTTTCTTTTAAAATTAGCTTTTGGAATTTGTACATCAAATTCATTTCTGTGAATACTTGGAATAGCAAGCCAAAACCACATTTCCAAAAACTAAAAAGAAAAAAGAAGATTATCTCACATGTCCTTGATCTGAACCAACGGCAAGATGCATTGAACTGGGATCTATGTTCATTGAAAGAATGGCACCAGTACTCTTCACACTTTTCACACTTTGGATTATATGATCAGTCCCTTTCTTTGTACCTCCTGTAAAAAAAGGAATGGAAAAGAGAACTCAATATCGATTAATATATGAATCATACTAGCCTTTTGATAAATGATAGCCAAGCAAAAGTTATGTGCTGTGCTACCACATACCAGTAAGCGACATGAAGCTGTTAGTGGCGTATGGTTCAGGTTTGAATCTAAAGATGCAAATCTGTAAATCATGTTTGTGTCAGAAATATGAAAGGCATGTGACAATGATGAGAGAGAGAAAGAAATTATCATATTAAGGAACCTCACCATCCCACTCTGGTCACCAGAAACAAGAAGTGGAGAATTGCTATCGAAGTATAATGCTGTCAATGGTATACCACTTAATGAACAGTCATTTTCACTCTGCGTTGAGATGGAGGAAACACATAATAAAAAAACACATGAAGAGAAAATAAATGTTAAGTATTCTTTTTAAATACATGGAAAATAAAATAAATTATCTTTAGCCTTAGAGCTTGCTTGAGCTTAAAGTTAATAATGTCTTGATGTCTAACATGCTTGGTTACTCAACATTTATTTGGTTACAAGGATTTATAAGCACATTTACAAACATTAGCATGATTAGCCAATACAATCAATAGCTTTAATTATCAAGACAAAACAGTTGACTGATGGTTTGCATACATGAATAGCTTCTTTTGGAAAGTGTGGAATATATTTCAAAAGGAGACAAAAAGAGCACTTTGCATATTATACAAGGAATTAGTGTATAACAAACTGGAGGTTGTTAGTAAAGCTAACATTTTGTATGAATTAGTTTGTTGTACAAACTAATTATTTCTTTTCACTGAGTAGGTGTACTGATAAAAATATTACCTGTTGCTTCAACTGCAAAATTGGAATGAAATTGGGGCATGAAGCATCCCAGATGGTTATGGCTCCATTGCTATGTCCAGTTATGTACAAGTTTTGAACTTTGGAAAATCCAGTAAATTTGGCAGAACTTAGGCTAATCCCATCCTTCTGATTTGTTTCAACAGGAACAAACAATGGATAGTTTTTGAAGAGCTGTGTAATACAATGAGACAAAGACACAGGAGGTCCAAATCAATGCATTTATAAAAAGATGGATTGCAAACAGAATGAACATGGTAAAGTAAAATTATAGTTTCATTACCCTGTTACCTCATCTGCAGAATTTAACACATTGGAATTGTTGGAGATGAATTTTGCTGTTGTGATGCTTGCTTCTATCAGTGGTAACTTCACAATTACTTCCCTTGGAAGTGAAGGTGTGGACTTAGATTGGCATTGTAGCAGATACCTTTCAATCAAACTATCGTCATACAAATATAGATGGCCAGACTTCCCAAGCAAAATGAAAGAATTTTGTTTATGCTTGCTTTGCTCAGTTGAAGTTGATGATATGATCTCCATGTCAGTGCAACATTCAGACAGATGAAGTCCAAGCTTAATTGTGCGAGATTCTGTATTCTCATTCAGCAACACTACCTGCCACATGTAATCACATAAGTTGGTATGATGTAACTGCTATCAAGATCTAAAGTATACCTAGAGGGAGTTCAAAGGATGAGGGCAAATTCCTTTTACATCTCATTTAGTTAAATGAGAAAAATTTGATACTGAATGGCATACCTAAATCTAATTCTTTGGAGAAAAGGACACTGTATGCCTTCTGAAAATCAAAGTTCTTGTAGCTGGTAATGGTGAACTCTATTTTTATTTGTTTCAGAAAAGGACTATCATTTAGGAATATCTCATTATAAAGAAAAATATAAATACAGAAAAGTTCAAATAATTCATCAGGTTGGTCATGTGATGAGGCTAGTTATTTGGAGACTACATTCGTCCTAAGATATTTTGTTATAAACGCTTTGAGCAAAGCATTAAAATACCTGCAACAAGTTTGAAGTTGCATAGTCAGAAGCTCCCATAACATATACTCGACTAGCCTTTCCTCCAGCATAAACCCATTTTATTGATCCTATGGAGATTTTTTCTGACTTATATCCTAAGTTAAGTTTGAGCAATGGAGTGTTTTGATAACTACATTCAGGTGCTGAGCCATTTCCTATATTTAAAGAATCGACGCTCCAAATGAAGAGCTCTCCATTGTTGTACCCTACAGCCACTTTACTTCCAAAAGGACACACCCAACATGCAGAAGTCACTTTTTTTGTTTCATTATGCAATGTCTGCAACATATTTCCACCAGTTCTTAAAATAGATCTACTTTCCTGAACATCCCATAATATCATTTGGCCATTTCTAAAGATTATGAGAACCCTGCAATGGAACACAAGAGAATAGAAGTTTGAGTTTACAAATAAATGATAAAGTAAAAACCAGAGCCAAAATATTTATATTAAAACATCCTAAGGATGTCTGTGTTTATGGAGATTACCTCTTACTTTCAGCTGCTGGTTGAGGCAGTATGTTTGTCACAACAGTATCATCAGACACTTCAGAGATCCCTAAACAAAGATGATTAAGGAACTTAAACTTACAACCAGATACTTTAAGAGAGAAATAAAGGACGGGTGAAGTGGGTGGGTGTTGAAATCCCAAGTACAGGCACGACTATAAGCTTGCACAAATATAATGCAATCAGCAAACACATGATAACTCGCACTTCTCGAACGGTTTCTAATTGGAGTAGTGAGATAAAAATTCAAAAATATCCATCACATGTTAAAAATATACGCTTGTATACAATAACTACATGTTTGTACGTTGACATTTTGGGTCATGTAATCGTTATACTCAGTATATCTTCACAGGCCAAACAGAGCCGAGTGAATGAAATTGTTTAAAATTCCCTTAAGATCATGTCAAGAATTAATATGCCTCAAGAAATTCCTCAACAGTGCTGATGTGTTTTGCGTGATCAATCGTCATATTAAGAACCAACAAAACGTATAATCATCATAGTGTACTCTTTTCTTCAAATCCAATTGTGAGTTTAAGATTTACATGTAACATGTGAAGGAAAAAGTAACAAACAAGGCTACAATATGTTTCTCACCATAGGAAGCTGATAGAGGTATGGTGTATTTCATCTGAACCAAATGCCATGATGGTTCTTGATTAAGCATCAAAACTGAAATATCACCATTGGAATGCCCGATGTACCTGCCAACACAGATACATGCATGGTCCTAACTTACACAGCTAAACTTCATAGCTTGTTCTGAATTAGACTTACTACTTACATGTAGAGGCTATGTCGAATGACTGCAAAGCACGTGATTTCTTCTTTAGCAATGTACACATCGGATAACGATTTCTTGTCTATGTCCCAAACCTAAATGTAAAATTTCTTCAGGACAACCGATTTTCCAAATAAACTGATCTTAAGCATGATAATAACATATCTTGATGACACATTACACTGAAAAAGAAAAACATAATAATATTCCGAATGATAGTTGTGGAAAATGCTTAAATTCATAGGCAACACGAAAAAATACAATAAAATATGAGCAAGTTCATATGTATATACTCGCCTCAATATGGTTATTGGAAGTAACATTTATAAGGACACCTTGGTTCCGGATGAACTGCATGCATTAAATATGATAGCATTGTTAGGGCACATGTATACTTGGCATTCCTAAAGAAAGGAACATTTTTCCAGTAGGGAATTTGTCCCATTTGCATGGGATAAGGCACATAACCTGTAGAAACTTGCTAGGCAGGGCTTCACTAGATTCAAGTATGGCTTGAGCATTATCTTTTCCATATAGTTTAATCTGGCCATTCCTTTTGAAAAACTCAACAAAATCAGTCTCAAGCATAAAAACTCACCCATTTCAACAACCTAAAAATGTTCACATAGTGTCCCCTTCCCAGTATTTTTAAACTTCTAGTGTCACTTAGATGGTTACATAGGAAGAAGTTCAACACAAAATTGATTTGACGGTAACAACTATGGGAGTATACTCATGATATGCACTATAATGGCACCTTATTTTGAATCCTTATACAGTTTAAGACAGAGTAGTTAAGGGGATCATACTTTGTTGAAAGAGCCAGTATCCTCTGAATGGTGTCATAGGCGAACTTGGCACCACCAGATGGCACCCCATGATGAAATACCAACCGTGGATCTACATCACTTGCTTTTAACCCATCTGATGAATTTCCACCACTCTGCATATTATTTCCACCATGCAACTTTATTTACTTTTTCATGTTTTTTTGTAATTTTGAAATTCAGAATCAAACTGAGAAGAAAGAACAGCTACTTCTATTTACGCAAGTGAATAACAAGTAATTCATCAGATTCACAAGTAACAATACCTTAGGGCCTGATTCTTCTAACCTTTTAACAATTACTTTAGTCTTTGAAAGTATTCAAATCCAGAAAAATCACTTGCAATAACTTTAAACTAATTCTAGTTCTTGAAAATATTTTCAGAATCTTATTTAAGTTCTACTACTAAAAATAACATGAAGTGAACAAATTTAGATATTAAATTGTCGTTAATAAATAAATAAATAAAACAACTTATTAAACTAATTAAATTCTTATACTAAAATGTCTTCTATAGTTTTGAAACAGGACTAAAACAAACTATTGTTTAAAAGATTTTTTTTTTTTTCGAATTTTAATATCAAATCACTGTATAACCTTGGATTCTAGTGGCAGTGGGTCAACTATTTTTGACCAACATTAACGCATTCAAACACGGGCCCACTCACTACTACACCACCGACCATAATCGTATCCATTCTTTTAAACAAAATAAATATCCTATCTTTTTCTTTTCCTTTTCTATTCCCCCTGTCTTTGGTGGTCATTAATTACTCATTTCACTTTTCTTGTGTGTAATATTAAACCAGATAAATTACTTAGTAAACAAATTTATAAGAAATAGGGTATGCAGAATTAGCAAATAAAGTGCGTGATTTAATTAACTTTTTTTAAAAAATGTTATCTTCCGTTAAGTGCTTCTCTGAATTACTGTGGAGGATCGTCAATACCTCGAATTGGTCCTTAAAATGAACTAATTATTTTAAACATTATGTGGAAAAAGCATTTATACACCAATAAACGCTTGTGTCTGTTTCCATAAATGTTCGTTTAATTTAATTAATTTTTAAGTATGATTAAGTTTTGAAACACAAAAACTGAACCAGCCTAAAACGTTTCCTTTTTCTTTTTTTTTTTGAGATTCTGCAACATAAAAGTATATCCGTTTTTTTAAGCCAGATATGAAATATTCTAAAAATTAAAATTAAAAAAAAACTGGGCAATGATGTAAAAAATATTTAAGGAACCCAGTTTTTGTATCCCACATGCTCATCATATCCGTTTTTTTAAGCCAGAAATGAAATATTCTAAAAATTAAAATTAAAAAAAAAAACTGGGCAATGATGTAAAAAATATTTAAGGAACCCAGTTTTTGTATCCCACATGCTCATCATATCCGTTACACTATTCTTAATCTTTGAGCAATAGAATTTTAATATGAAGAAAAATATACGTAAGAGCAAGGATAAAAAAGAAACTTAGCAGCGATATCCAGGGTGTATAAAATATATTACTTATGTGTTTTAAATTGTATTGCTACGATCGAAGAAAGTCTTACTTTTTTTAATTAAGAAAACTACTATCCAAGTTCAAAAGCAAAGGAAAGAAAAGGAAATCTAGATTCCGAAGAAAAATGGTGATGTGAAACGTTGAGTGAAGAACACATAGCTTAAATTGGCAGAAAGAAGTGATGGGTGTTTCAGTTTTAAGCAATTAATGAATCTGAGTGAGTGATGATAAACATCTGAAGCATTTTGATGATGATAATTATGATGGACATGGAAGCAATGGGGGAAGAGAAAAAGAAGAACATGAAAGAGAAGAGAGAAGGGACAGTGAGTTACCTTCTTGATGGAAGCTTTCTCCATTAATTTCTTCACAAACATTTCTTATTTTGAAGGATCTCAGAATCAGAAATTGAAGAGAAGAGAGAAAAGTTGGGAATGTGTTTGGTTTGTGATGACTGAGTTGCTTTTGTAAGGAGCAGTTGATTGCAGTTTCTCACTTTCTTCTCTGTCTGATCGTTTGGTTCTGAGAAAAGACAACCAAGTAAGCCTGTCACTTTTATAAGAAAAATTGGCTCAATTTGTTTAATTCATTTCTAACAATGTAAATTTTAAAAGAAAAATGTGTCCATGGTATAACAGACATAAAATAAGTTTTCTTAATAACCAAAATTCATATATATATATATATATATATATATAATAATATTTTATTATTTTGTTATTATTTTTTATCGTTACCCAGATCCTTGGACAAGTGGGATAGTAACACGTGTCAGGAGTAAATTGCAGTGTAAGACCCGAGTCATGGGCCCGGATTTTATTGGAAGATACGTGGCACCACAAAATGCACTTTGCTTATGGGCTTCAATTTACTCACTCTCTCCACTTCAATTTTTAGGATCTTATAACTTTTCATTTTTATATGACGTATCAATCACTTCATCGTAACAATGTTTGCAGAGTTAGGGAAAATATAAATAAATAAATAAAAACTCCATGAAATAGTTTATTGAAAAAGACCAAAACAAACTTTCTTATTATTAATTAATTAATATTTTAATAATTCTCATTAATAATTAATTTATAGTTTATTTAATAAATAATTTATTAAATTTAATAAAAAACTACCTTTACTAATTATTGATTGATAAAAACGTAAATATTTTTTTTAAGTTTCAAATATTAAATAAATAAATTATATCTTTAGAATAGTTAGTATCAATAAAATAATGTTTCGTTACACAAAGTACCTAACTAAAACGAAAAAAAAAAAAACATGAACAAAAGATAAGCCACCAATTGAAGATGTTTTCTCTCCAAATAAATAATTGAATCAATTTTTTAAACAATATATTTAAAATAAAATGATTTAAATAAAATTTGTTATGGTTGATATAAAAAAAATTTATATAATACAAATATTATTTCTTTTCACCTTTATTTATTTTTTGTTATCCTCAATTTGTTTTCATTTTTTTCTCCCTCTTTTTTTAGTCACTTATCTTATTATTCTAAATTAAAATTTGATAAAATAAATTTTTTCATATTTTTTAAAAATAAAAATATTTAATTTATTCTAAAATATTATAATTTCATATATTATATTTTAAACAATATTATATTATAAATTTGAGGTATTACAAATTATCATATTATAATTATTGCAAAAATACATATCATTTCTCTTAAATTAAATATATATATATAAATTTTTTAAAATTAATATTAAAAAAATATCAACTAATTATTTAAAATTATAATGATGATAAATAATTTTATTTATTATAACAGTAAATAATTTTATTTACAATAATATAAATAATTAATTTTAAACTATTTTATCGTAATAAATCAATTACTCATCTACTTAAATTATATAAGTTTAATGTATTTTTTATTAAATAATTTAATTTAATTATAATTAGATTGAGTTATGAAGATTAATCAAATAATTTAAAACAATATTTATTAAAAAGTTACTTTAAAAAAATATTTATTTTTTTTAATAATTACAATGTAATAATTTGTAATATTTCAAATTTATAATATAATATTTTTAAAATATAATATATTAAATTATAAGATTTTGGGATAATTTAAATATTTCTATTTTTTTAAAATAGTAAAAAAAATATTTTTATTAATTTTTAATTTAATATTTTTATTTAGAAGAATAAGATGAGTGATAAAAAATAGAAAAATAAAAAAATATTAAGACTGAAAAAAAAAACAAAAAATAAATGAAGAGAAAGAAAAAAATAAAAAAACAAAATACTTGTATTATATTAGAGAAATTTATTTTCTATGATTAAATTTTGTGTATGAATATTAAATTAGTATAGTTGAATAAATAAACCTAGATAGAAGTAATTTTTTGATTTAAATATATTATTTAAAAAATTGATTCTAAATAATTCAATTTTCCAATTTGCAATTTTCGATGAAGTATCTTTCTCGTAATACCATGCAATTTGGCATAATTTTGATGATCATAAGTTGATTTTGATGTTTCATTTTTTATGTTTAGCACAACATTATTATTTGATTTACTTATTTTTTAACAACACATTATGTTATTGAATATGTATTAACTAAATAATTAATATTTTTATTATATTATAATTTATTTTTATTTATTCAATATTTATAACTTAAATTACAATAAAATTTATTAAAATATGAACTAATTAAAACTTATGGAAATTAATATTTTTATTAAATTCAATAATCTACTAACTTATTTTAATTAAATAATTCATTAATTGTTGCTTCATTAATTTATTAAATATTAAAACATTTAATAATTAAATAATTATTAAAATTAATATTGTTTGTTAGTTAAATAATCAAAGTTTAATAATTTAATATTTAAAACTTTAAAATAAATTATTATTTACTAATTATGAATTAAATGAATGACTGGAGAATAATTTAATTTAATTTTTAGAAAAAAAAACTCAAAAGAAAGTTGTAAAAAAGAAAAAAAATAGAAAGGACTGTTTGAATGCAAATGATATTATTCTTAAAGTAAAAGTTTATGTGTTAAATTATTTTATTATAATTAATAAATTGAAATTAAATTATAAATGATATTATATATTTGTATCTCTAAAAGATATAGTAAAATTATAATCTTGAATAATCAAAATTATTTATAATTTAATAAAAAAAGCTAATGAATGTATTATTAAATTAGTTGATACACATAAAGTGATATACAAGGGTATGTTTGTAGCTTTCATTTTCTGTGGTTAATATTTAACTCTTAATATTTGTTATTCAAAGGTTGATTTTTTTTTTTAACATTTAAAATAAAATATTATATTAAAGAGTAAATAATGTAAGGACTGGTGGTATAGATAATTTTATCATTAATTTTCCGGATTTTTAAGATATATATCTTGAATTTTGTATTAATATATATTTTTTTGTTTAGTAAGATTTTGTATATATCTAATATATAAAAATTTAACCCTTTATTAAATTAAATGATATTATATACTTTTTTTTAATGAATTTATGAGGATGAAAATATAAGTGCTAATAACAAAGAGAAAATTTATTTATTAAATATTTCAATTTTAATTAAAATTTTGAATTATTTGAATAATTCATGCCTAATTCGAAAAAAAAAAAAAAACTCATCAAGCTTAAACTTAGTAGTGCATTGGCCCATTTGTTTTTAAATGATAGGAATTTTAACAACGAAAGCACGGAGGTAATGCGATTTAAGATTTGGTAAGCCCAATTGAAAAATATTTTGAAGGTGGCCCAATAGGCCTGTGAATTCAGAGAGATTATAGTCATTAATTACTAGTCAAACCCCCTCACATGTTGGTATTATTTTATTTGACAATGGAGAAATAGGGAGTGCAAAATGATAATACACAACGCGAACAAGTTTTCATTGTAAAAGAAACTCTTATATAATCATAATCAAGTTTCTGATGCGTGTTTTGTTCATCAATTCATCCAAACAACAGAACATAGGAAGAAAAAATTGTGTTCAAAATATATATTACTTTAAATTAGGATCAAAATATTTATGTTGTGATGGAAAAAAATGAAGAATTTAATTAAAAAAAAAAACATCAAAGAACATTGAATTTCATATCATGAACTCTACCAATTAAAGTTGACTTAAATTTATTGAATAAAGAAAACAAAAAAGGGAAATTGGATTTTTTTTTTTCATTGTGTATATCTTGCATACTAAATAACCAGAATACCATATTTTTTGTAGACATATTTTTTAATTAATAATATCATCTTACTTTAGTTTTTTTTTTTTTTTCTTTCCTTAGATTGTACCTTCTTTTCTACTACTTTTATTCTAAGCCTTAACATACGATAAAGGAAAGAGAAGTGAGAGGAGCAGAAGACAAATAAATAAAACCAAAATTCCAAAGTGACGTGATGTCTAGCGCCAAATGGAGGCGTCGTGTGCGTACAACGGCAAAACCACAGACCTCTGAGCTGGTTGTTACGTGATCTCAAACTGCAATCATATGATGCCAAATTTTATTCCATAACAATATAATACCATAACTCATGTGAAAACTTATCCTTACTTAATCATATTTCATCACTCTCACCTCTTGTTCCTTTGACTTTCAACTCTCATCAACCCTCCCTCTTGCTTATGTGATTAAGCTATGGATAGTTTACTTAGCTCACAAGATTAAACCAGAATATTCCCTTCAAGATTATGCAGAGATTCATTGGTTTACTACAAAATCATTTGCTTAATAATAAACAAACCTCACTAGTCACCATTGTTTGATTGTGATTTTGGCTTCTATTACCACGTAACACGTCCTATATCATAGCCATTGATGACCACTTTACATGAAAAAAATTCAAAATGTACGAATTTTGGGTTGTAACCAATTCCTGGGGGTTCGTTTTTTCCTGATTTCACTCCCTCAATCAATGACTTTCTAAGATATCATTTTCCTCCTAATAATACGTTATTTATTGTTAAATTCAGTTCATCCACTTGCATGACTTGGTAAAAAATTTCACTCCCGTGGAAATCACAAAATTCACAAGAAAAATGACGCGAATTAAGAAAAATACAAACCCATGAGTCTAATCAGTAGACCAAAACAAAAAAAAGGTGAGCTATTGTTCTATGGTACAGCAAGAGTGACAGTAGATTTATCAAAAAAGAAAGAAAAAGAATGAAAATATGAGAATGATTAATCAATTAACTAAATAAATGGCAGAGAGGGAACCTTCGCTTTCATTCATTCACTTCCAGCAATGGAATTAGAGGCCCTGTTCCCTTTTCCCTACAATATGAATATAGTAGCTTTTTCCCTTGTCGTCATCATTATGAACTCATTATCAATACTTTTCCAATGAAGTTTTCATCGTTGGCTCTCTTTCTTTCTTAATACAAAATCCCAGTTCAGAATTTTCCACTTTTCAATGACAGGCATACATACACACTTCTCTCTTTCTCTCCCTCCATCCAGGATTTAGCAGTTTTGTACCACTCTTTCCAATTTTGATATCAAGTTTGAAATTTTGATGCTTTTCAAGAATACCCACTTTCTTGTTTTTGTAACGCGTGAGTTGACTCATAGCTGAAGTTTCAGTTGGTGGATACGGTGTTTATTGTGGTTCTGCTCATTGGTATGTGTATTTTGATGTAACATGTTCCCTGTTTCTCACTTTTTTCCTAACGTGCATTTAAGTGTTTGGTGAAGGAATCACTTGTTCTGTACGATGTTTATAATTCTGATAAAAAGATTGCCAATCTTATTTGTTTACTCTAAGCTCTAACTGGTGCCGGAATTTCGAGGTTCAGAGTTTTTGGTACTTATTGCTTTTCCTGCATTTTCTCAGAAACCTGTTGTTGGGTTTTCTCTTGGCTCTGTTGGGTTTTCTGTCAGTTGATTCTGAAGTTATTGATTTATGGGGTGCTTAGAAGACCAAGTTCTTCTTTCTCTTATGGGTTTGCATGAGAGTCAAAGTTTTCTAATTTTTCTAATAGGCCTATTTATAATTTTATATCAAATATACAAACTCTATCGTTTACATAAAACTCGAAAAACTTTGATCAGTTTTCTTTTCCTCTCGATATTACAATGTTATTTTCAATTAGATTTCAGTATTATGTTCTACATCGGATGCAATACTATACAATCTAAAATGCTTTTGGCCTTGTGTTAGCAAGGTTATTTAATTATAACATCATTCAAAATGCATAAAAAGTGCAGTTTTTCTATATGTTTTACTATGGAAGAACTGATTGGTTATTTCTGCGAAAAAAAAAATACTAACTTGTTTGCGTCATATATAATTTTGGATCTTACTGCTTAACGGTTTTATTTAATTTGAAGATCTGAATTTTCTAATATAAAATGCTCTTCAACTGATGCCCCATTAACTTCTGGCAATCCAGGGTGTAAAGAGAAAGAGTGCTGGTTTACTTCACATAGTACAGAGGGAGAGTAAAGGACCTGAATTTTTATTGTTTGAGACATGAACCCTGAAAAAGTCATTACATGAGAGTGTTCTGGTAGACTTTTTGACCTTATGGGGGGCTTATTGCACATGTTTGAATTCAATCGGGGTAGGATGGCAAAGAAAGTTCACGCCCATAAGAACAATAACGGTGGTAAGTGTTTTTTTTACAAAGAGACTTCACTCTTGATACGATGGACCTTTTGGGGTTACATAAGCTTCAAGGAAGCTAAACTGATCATTTGTTTCCTAATCTCGAGGGATCCCTTTTCGAATATGGAAAGCATCAAGTGACTATTTCCTTGTCATGTTTTAAAGTATATTGTGTTAAATAATATGAAGCAGTCTGAATATCAGGGCTCATGAGTTTGTGCATTTTGTTAGATATGTTGCTGAGACTCCGTTCATTGTATTGTTATTAATTATTCTCTCTATTGTTATACTATTAACATGTTCTAATTTATCCCTCCTGAGCTAATTAGGTAAATTCTGATTTGTTATTATACCGTGTGTCATGCAGATCTGGAAACATCTGGAAATGGCATGGAGCTGCAAGTAGAAACCTCTCAGGTTCCCTGTGCAGAAGGAGAATTACCAGTAAGATTCTCATCACATAACTTTATATGCTAAGGGTTTCATTCACCATGCATACATTATATTTTTCTTAGATGGAATGAACTCTGGTGATTTTCAGTACTCCAGTCAAGTAGAAGATGGCTGGTCAAAGAAACTCGGTTACTCAAATGTAGATTCGGTGAAAAAATCGAATAAAGAGGATTTATCCAAACAATCAGGCGACAGAAATAATGCACCTAGCCTTGTGGCAAGGTTGATGGGGATAGACACCATGCCATTACCATTAAACACTAAATCTATTGTTTCATTGGATGAAAGAACACATGAAAATATGGAGAGGAAGTTTTCAAAGAAAGAAATGAATGGAAAGGGTTGGTTTGGTAGGGGTTCTTCAAACTTGAATTCTTTTAGCCAAATGGAATTTGATTCATTTTATCAACACATTGATGATAATGATGAAGGGGGACATAGTTTTGGAAAACCAAGGCCAAGGGAACATCCTCAAGAAGAAGAACTCCAACAATTCAAGAAAGAATTTGAATCGTATCAAGCAACAAGGTTTAAGGAGTGGCCCAAGGTTGTTGACATCGGAAGTGGTGCTATGAGAATGCTTTCTCAAGAGAACCCGAGCAAGGAGAAGATGCAACATATTGCAAGTTCAAAGACAGAGAGCCACTCATTTAAAACACAGCTACCAAATGGTGACCTGATGGAGTCAATCTTATCCAAGAAAAATGAATCCTTTCCATCAAGAAGTAAAACACTAAGTAGAGACTTTGAGGAGTCTTTAATGATGAAATCCAGAAGCAGATTATTAGATATATGCGCTTCTCCCACTCAGATAGTTATCTTGAAGCCTGGTTCTGAAAGGATTTGCAATTGCAACCATGAAGACAATTGCATCAGTTTATCAGGCACTTTACATGGGAGAAAAGGTATAGAAGATTTTCTTGAGGAAGTGAGAGAGCGTTTGAAATGTGAACTCCAGGGGATTAGAGCAAGTGGAATTGAGGCACCTTTCAATGAAAAACTATCTGATGCTAAAGAGGTCAGAGAAAGTATGCCTAGAGATGCTGAACCAAATTTATTCCGCTCAGAATCAACGAGATCATGCAAAAGTAAAGTGCAGCTCAATGGACCAAGTTCTCCAGAATTTTTCAACATAGATACCAGGAGATTCTTGTCAGAGAGGCTAAGAAATATTGTGAAAAATGAATTGCATTTGGACGTTCCTGAAGTGGCTTGTTATTTAGACAATAACAGAGTTAGACTAAAGCAAGATACTATAAAGGGTGAAAATGACAAGAGCCAGTGGGAAATTCTGAAAGAGAAAAAAGAATTACAAACATGTTCCTACAGTGGGAAATTAGATGACGATGTATTGTTCCCGAAGGAGTTGTCGCCTAGGAACCTTGAAAGATCCTTGTCCGCTCCTGCATCTGGAACATCATTTGGAAGACTTCTTCTAGAGGACCGCCACATTTTAACCGGTGCCCTTATTCAGAGGAAGCTCGAAGCTGTTGAAGCAAGGCCTGTGGAAGTTAAAAAACAGAAGAAAGATGGATTTAATATTAAAGAAAAACTTTCCAATTTTACATATACTCTTGGTCTAAGAGGTAAACTGTTTGGCAGAAGGATTCAGCCAAAAGTAGAATCAAATGGCAGTAAATATGGTCCAATTTTGAGAGATATCAGGAGTGGACCTACTGTTCTCATGAAATACGGTGACAGACATGTAAGTTTACTACATACATTTTTCAGCATTCTTCTCCATGACCTTTGTTTTCAATTATCTTTCATAAATGTTTTTATCTAAACATCAGTTTATGTCATATATGATCTTTAGGAGAACTCCACTGAGTTACCTCCTAGTCCTGCATCTGTGTGCAGTTGTGTTGATGGAGAACATTGGAGACAGACTGGGTATTCAAGTGAAACATCAACTCCAGATGTATCTTCATTAGATGATATTTTTGTTCCCAAGGTTTTTAGAGATATCAGCTCTGGTTTGAATGGTGAGAAACAATATTATCTTTCAATTTGAAACAATGATTTCATAGACAGTTCATAAAAAGAATGTCAATGTCGTCTCATTATTGTGTTGTAGATTTGTGCATTATAGTTAAATGTACAAACAGCATTTAGTTTGTTCTTCAAATAATAGTAACCCTGCTTGGGAGATATTTTCATGGGCAGCACAATTTCTGTCACAGCAAAAGTATAAAAAATCTAAGTCACGTGTTAATATTTCTACAAGTTTTGGCCCTTTTATTATCCTCGTTAAACATTCATTCTATATTTAGATCAATTTCAATAGAGCTTTAGAAATTTTGTAAAACACAATAATTTCGATTTGTTAAGTTGGTGTTTTACAGAATGAGATTAACAAGAGAATGCAGATCCTTTGCTTATCTGTTCGGTGACTATTTTCTTAGTGAAATGTTGTTCATATTAATTATACAAACTTGTTAACAGTTGAACTATGTATATATATAGTTCAGTGTATGTTCTAATTGGTTTTTTAGATGTCAAATTCGTTCTGACAGTTCTCTTTGCCTACTTATTTTGACAGAGCTAAAGAGACAACTCAGTCAACTTGATTATGAAGGCTTTGATGATTTCACTACAAAGCAGGAGCCTATTGAGTCTGAATTAGTTCAATTGGATGATCCAGCAGAATCTTATGTAAGAGATCTACTTGTTGCCTCTGGTTTGTACTTTGGTTCATGGGATAAATCTATTGGAAACTCAGTTTTTGAAGAAGTGGAAGAATCTCATAGGAAATTGGTCAAGGAGGATGAAAGATCCACAAAAGATCATAACAAGAATGAGTTAGAGCACAAGGTTTTGCTTGATTTGTTAAATGAGGCACTTTCCATTGTTCTTGGACCACCTTTGATATTGTCTAGATTTAGAAGGAAACAAATCAATTCCTCGTTGCAGCCTCCACCATGTGGAAAGGAACTACTGAAGTTAGTATGGGACATTGTCAGTGTTTCTTTACATCCAACGTCTAACACAACTCTTTATTCACTTGACAGTTTGGTGGCACTAGATCTAGGATCTATTTCCTGGTCTGGACTAACAAATGATGAGATTGATACATTGGAAAGAGAGATGGCATGTACAATCACTAATGATTTGGTTGAAGAATTCACAAAGGATATGCTCTTACAGGTGTAGTGTGAGATATTATTTTGCCCTTTGTTAAGATGACTTATTCTTCACAATAGAGAAAGACATGTACATGATATTCCATAGTAACCAGAGTGAAAAATTACTTTCTACTAAGATAGTTGAGAAAGAATACTGCTAAAATATAATGTATATTACTTTTGTGTGAATGTTTGTGATAAAGGGAAGTACATAGTGTACACTAGAGGTACCAGGTTATTGTTTCAAAACTGAAAATCAATTGGTTTCATAATTTAACAATTTATGTCTGCTACAGTGGTTACTTTCTGTAAAGACTTAAAATACTTTTGAAAACCATGTCAACTAAAGTGTGTGATGAGCATTGGATATGTGAAATTGAGGAGGTTGAAATTGAAAAAGAGACCTGAAGCACCAAAATTGACTGTGAGTTCCTGATTTTATGTCTGTCAAGCATGTGCTACAAAATGTGAAACAGAGAAATATGGGCAAGTGCTAGATCAAGAAGGGAAAAATAGCATGGAACAATAATTAAGGTTTTTTAAAAACATGACTTAATCTGTGTTAAAACATGACCTTTTATTTATATAAATATATATATATATATATATATATATATATATATATATATATATTTTATGAACAGAAAGGCTTGTCTGTGCTTGTGTGCAAGTTGATTGCAACACAAACCCTATGGGTACTAATTTGTAGGTGACATGTCCTAAGGATGGAGTTGATGTGTCTGAAACTGTTGACTAGACTGTGTTATGATGGAAATAGACTTCTGAATCAACTTGTGCACTGAGATCTGAATTTTGTTTACGAGAACGCGGAGCCGAGTGGTTATATATTTATTACTACAATAATAATGTTAACTTATTACATGAGATGGATTTGAACAAATAAAGAACAAAGAGAATGAATAGTAAAGTTATTTGATAAGAGAGAAAAATGTTATAGAAAAAAATATAAAGATCATAATTAATAAAATTAATTTGATTGATTAAAAATTAAATAATAATATAAATCAATAAAAGATTAAAATATGCTTTGTATAATTATAATAAAAATAAATTTAAACTAAATTAAAATATAATTTAATTATTTAATAAAATAGATAAATATAAATAAAATTAAAATTAATTTATATATACATTTAAAAAATTATAATATTTTATAATTTATTTTATAAATAGTATTTAATTGCAGATATTATTTAAAAATAATTATAATGTAATTTTCTTTTATATGATATTGTGGGGAATATTAGATGTATATTTATTTTAAATATTATTAAAATAATTTAATTTATATTAAAACATAGTTTAAATTATAATATTTTAAATTATTAAATTCTATAAGATTGAAATATTAAAATCCTAATGAAATGTTTTAAATTTATTAACAAAACCTTTTAAAATAAGTTAAATTTTCTTTTAAAAAAATCACAATTATAAAAATAACTTAATGATTTTACTATGAAAAAATATTTCTTTTTATAAAAAAAATTAAGCTTTGAATTACTACTTGTTTATAATTTCAATTAATTTTCAAATAATTTATAATTAAATATCATTAATAAAAAATTAATCTGTATTATATATATATATATATATATATATATATATATATATATATATATATATTGCAATCATAAATTCTATTGTAATTGGTTTAAAAAAATTATAATTGATTGTTTTTTATGAATATATGTTAATATATTATTTAAAGAAAAGTTAGTTAATTATATAAACAAATTAATTGATTATGTTAGAAAAATTAATCAATTATACAAGGAAGAAAATATTTATATTAGGTAAAATGGACTTCCCACTTTTAACAACATAATTGATTAATATTTATTATCATCCGATAATAATTTTTTAAAATTGAATTAATGTTCAACTTTTAAATCATAATTTTCATGGATAAATTCATTTGAAGCTAAACTATTTAAGTTTAGAAAAAATAATACAAAATATTAGTATATAAAAGTAGGAATTATTGGGTAAATAACTTTTCATAAATAAAATAAATACACATTAAATAAACAAATAAATAAATAAGTGAACATAAACAAGAACAAACCATGAATAATTAAAAAAAAATGAAAACCTGACATTGAAAAATTAACAATTAAAATTTATCATCCCAAACAGTAGAAAGGTAAAATGTTAAATTGAAATCATTTTCAAACTTTAAAATTTAAATCATAGTTTCTTTTATGGATAAGATTAAATTTATTTAATTTTTCAGAAAAATATCAAAATTATTTAATGTAACTGAATTTAAATCCTTCTAATTATGATAAAATTAATTTGATAAAATGAAAACGTAAATATGTTTGATGGAAGAAATGAAAAAAGAGATAAAAAATAAATAAAATTAGGTGAAAAAAAGGTACACCTATCATTTTTAATTTAGTCAAATAGTGTGACCTATAATTATTACTATTAATTTTTTGCTTAACTTATTAGTAGAAAAAATTGCAACTGTTCTTAACAGTAAAGAATCTATTTATAAAAGCTAATTATTGTCTTAGTAATAGATTTTTCTTCATGATTTAACTCAACAGTGCACTTGTTTTGTTTGGCTGTTATGGCATCGATTTTCTCGGAGACAGTGAACGAAGTAAGGTACAGAAGCACATGCAAGCACGAATCATAGTTCTGTTCTGTCATTGATGCTTGTTGCTGTCCACTCGTCAAACAGAACCAATTAATCAAGAGTTGTAAAGTGGGGAACTCCATCAAGAGTTGTAAGAAATGAGATGTTTGTGTTTGATAAATCACTAGCTGGTTTTGGTCCTCTTCTTCTGGCCCCTTAATTCTCTTTTTTTTTTTCATGTTGTTTTTTCGTAGTGTTTGGTAATAACACCCCTTATTTTGCTAAGTGTAGCTCCTACCTTTTCTTTTCTTTAGGGGGATTGAATAATAAAAGATTTACAAGGCTATACCCTCATTCTACATTTATTTATAAGGTTGTTAGCAACAAAGTTTACCGTTTTATTCTGTGAAAATAAATTATAGGTCAAATTTGTTTGCTACCAACATGAAGAAGATAAAGTGGAACTGGGAGAAAATTGATAAGTGCATGTGTAGCGCTTGAGTATTTTATCTCTAAAAAGAAAAAATCTAATTTCTTATATATTAAAGCTTAAACTAAAATGATCATTTTAATTAGGTTATTAAAGTAAACATATTATTTTAAAGTTGAACATATAAAAAAAATATATATCTTGTGATTGAATGATATTATATTTTCTTCTATTATAAAAACAATCAAATTTACCTTTTTCAAATGTTCTGTTAAATCAAATTTTATTTGAATATTAATTTATCAAGAAGGTAGGTGTTAAAGTGGGAAAGTAACTTAAATTAATGATACAGATAAATAAACTTAAATAAATGTTATTAAGAAGGGGTATTTGTTCATCTCAATTAAACATCCTTTATAAAACAATAATCCTTATAAAATTTTAATAATTGATAAGTTTTACAAGAAAGACTAATATTACTATTATTAGGTTTTTTAAATGAAGGCTAGATTGAGTTGATATTATAAATGGGATATAAAATAATAATATAAGAGAATATAACTTTTCATCCCACCTAAAATCTTAAAATATTAAATTTGTGGATTTTTTTTACTTACATATTATTGAACTTAACCATTTTTACTCAATGCAAAACTTAATTTCATTATTGAATTCCAACAATTCCCCTTTAAAGATGAGTATGAATTCACTAAAACATTTTATTCCTTAAATTGAAACATTTCTTAACCACAAGTACTTCAATGATAACCTTTATTGGTACCACTTCTTCATCTCATGGAATACGCTTTACTAACAATGATTCTTATTTTGTACTCAACTAAGTCGGTTATTAGATAAATTATTAACTCTAATACTAGTATTAGATTTTACAAGAGGGACTATAAAATCACCATTGATGATTCTTATTGAATTAAAAATTTATATATTTATTATCATTTGAGTATCCATTTGGACGCTCAAACAAGATAGAGTTAATGGAGTGAGAAAACTTTCGATAAAAAAATTGATATAATTTTAATCTTATTCAAGTGTTATTTAGATGCTTGAGGAACACATTTTCTCTTTTAATTAACTTTTTCTTGTTTAAACAAAGAGCAACCCGAGAGAAATTGAGTATTATCACTCAAACATTATGACAGTTGTTTAAGTGATACTTCGATGCTTGTGATAAGTTTTATTGTATATTAAAGTATGTCATTATTTAATTAGTTGTTATTAAAGATTTATTTCATAATTTGAAAGATTTATCTTGGATGAATGTTTGGAAGAAACTATTTATTAGTTATGATATAGTATGATGATAACGATATATTGAATTAATGGATTCAATAAAAATATCTTGACTCTTCATGATATCACATAGAAAAAGATATCATGAAAGTTCATGGATACTCTTTTTACTTAACTATAGAATGTGTATTTGTCCGCAATAAAAAATTTAAAATTTTATTTTATCATATTTGAATCTCCTCTATTTAGTGTCTTTGTTTCAAGATAACTCAATATTTAATAGAAAATAATTTATTGGAATGCACAAGAGGGATATGCTATGTTTAAATTCAATATATAATCTTTTAAAAGTCATAAATTGTCATTATTTTTGGAAGTGTGTATGATGTGAATTGACATTTAATGAGTTAATTATAATGATAAAATAATTATTTGAGTTAATAAATCATATTATAGATGATGAATCTTATCATAAATATATTTTCTTATATTAATTTACCTTTGATATTATTTTATTTGATATTATGTATATGTTGATATTATATATATATATATATATATATATATATATATATATATATATATATAATGTAATATCAAGGGTTAATGGTTTTGTTAAAACAGATAACGTGATGTTTAATGTTACAATTATTTTCATTTACTAAAATCAAACAGACTAAATTATAAAGATTTTTCATTAAGTTTATTGGTATATTACAAGTATATTATTTATGGTTAGGAATGTTAAAATAAATTTAATTTGATAACTTGACCCAAAAGATTAAAAAAATAGATTATATTAAATAAATAAATTTGTGATATAAATTAAATTATGTCTATTTTAGTTTAATTTATTTAAGTCAGGATTAACTAATTTGTAGGTTTATCGATTGTCCTATTTTGTTAAATAATAAATTGTTTTTAAATAAAAAGAAAAATGATATTATATTATTAAAAAAATATATATATTATAAATTAATTTTACAAGATATTCATTTATTTTAAAAACAAAGACGAAAATAAATCTTTAACAATAATTTATTTTAAAATATAATAATTAAAATTAATTATTATTTTAAAATAATAAATCATTAAAAAATAAATGATAATAACAAAAAGTAAATTTTTATTTTTTATATTAGAATTAAATAAATTTATTCTCTTATAATTAAAATATTAAATTATTATATCTCAAATAAAAATAATTTTATTAATATAACTTAAATTTGAAAATACATTTTTTAATTAAATATTTTGATAGAGACATATTTTTTTTAAGTTTTAATAAAATCAAAATTGACTCGTCATTTGGTTAATCTAGGATCTTATTATAGTGAAAATTTAGATGAACCTAAATCATTATTATTTTTTATTTAACCCATACAAAGATTAAATTGGATCATCTCTTACTAACTCTATTTATTTTAACTAATTTGACCAAAAATATCTTTATTTTTTTTATACATTATCCAAACATTTCTAAATCAGAAATTCAAAACTTAACCAAGTGATAAAACAATTTCTAAAGGCAACGATGTTGTTGAATATAAAAAAAATATTTGAATTGATATTTGTTCGATTAAGTATAAATTTATTATTATTATTAATATATATATATATATATATATATATTATTTTACACGAAATACCTTACTCTTAATCAAGATATTTTAAAAAATATCCTATAAATAAAAATAAGGAATAAGATAAATTAAAAAAATTTAAAATTTATAATAATTATAATATAATGAAAAATCAACCTTCTATTTTCTCTTCTCAAAATTTTGTTATTTATATATTAATTTATAATTTATTTAAAATAAACTAAAAATAAATTATAAAAGACGTAAAACTATATATAATTAAAAAATTATTAAATATTAATTAAATAACATTTTTAATGATATTTTATTCATAAATATAATATCTATAATAAAAGAATATATATATATATATAATAAGAACAAATTAGTTTTAGTCTCGTAAGTAATCTGAATTAGGAAGAATAGGAGTTGTAGAAGAGAAAAAGTATACTTCATCAATGGATAGTAAAATTGCAATAAGACAAAACAGAATGAAAAAAAAATATTATCTTTCTATTTATTTAAGAAGTTAAATTTGGCTCTCTCTTTTTAAAATTTTAATTTACTCTTAATTTTTTAATAGATATTTTCTAATGCTTTATTGGGTAATAACTGGTGTCAATGGACTTTACAACTAAAATCAATGCTATTTCGATTTTTTTCATGAATCAGACTTTATTTTATTTTATTTTTTTTCAAAGAAACGCAAAACAAATATTCACGGTTTAGCAAGGGAAAACAATTGAACTGTGACGGTTAAATGTACAAAAGATATTTTTTTTAATAAAAAATATTATAAATAATATTTGGAAGAAATCGTCGATTTGCATGAACACCTTTAGTTTAATTTAAAATGATTAAGTTATAAAAAAATACAATTGTCTGTCATCATTACTCATTTATTAATTTAATAATTTTAAAATAATTTATATTGGTTCAATAGAAAAATAAATATTCAAAGGCAACTCTTTTAAATTATTCTTATTGATATTTTCTTTATTGTATTTATTACGTACTGTGTGATATAAATAATTTTTAAAAATTGAAAATCATTACCCTTTTCACTCAGTTTAATTACATTTTTTAATTTTTTTAGTCTGTTATTATTAATTACTACATTGTTAATTTTTTATATTAATCAATATATTCAATTATTATACTTTTAGAATTTTATTTATTTATATATTTATATGATTCATCATGACTTATATTACCATGTTATACAATCACTGCCTATATAATATTTTATAGGTTTCTTTTATACAAATATAATAATTTATGAATTAAGAGATTATTAGTATTTAATAAACAAAAAAGAGAGAAACAGTTCAAATAAAAAAAAGTTAAGAGGAGAGATTTATTAAATATAATAGACTGAAAGAGGTTTTTAATGTGACTAATTAAACAAAAGTTATAATTAAGAGTTAAATCCTATAAATATTGAAACTCATGGATAATTAACCCCATGAGAAAAAAAAAAGAAAACTATTTTTTATGGGCTTTGGAATAATCATCCATGATTCAAGTCCAAGATGAGAAATGGTTTTAACTACAAAATTTCATAGAAAAAAAAATCAAAATTGACTTATCATATAAACTCTTTTGAAAAATGTTAGCTTTTAATAGTTAATTTAATATAGTTTCAAAATAAAGGTAAAGTTTAAAAAATATTATATTAAATTAGATTAATTTTGACATTTTAAATTTATTATTTAATCACTCTTAATAAGTTATTTAATATATTTAATCATGTAAATAATTGGTGTTAAATGTGTTAAAAATATGTAAATATATCAATGCAAATTAATTTAATTTATTCGAATAACGTATTAATAAATGAATATAAAAATTGTATAAAATCTTTCTGTTGTTTTAGAGTGAGCATAAATACACTAAGAAGATGAAATTATTTTATATTACTTTGATGTTCATTTATTACATCTGATATTAGGACACATGCTCTGATTAAAAACAACTACAACTTGTCATTGATACAGTTTGACAACTTTAAATGAAAAGAAATACGAGGTTACTTAAAAAAGCAGAGAACTTAACTGCTGTTTTTGTTGGATCTCCAACCATAACCAAAAATTCTTCCAATTTCACATTTTTCTTACATAAAAATTAATAATAATAATAATAATAATAATAATAATAATAATATATATTATTATTATTATTATTATTATTATTATTATTATTATTATTATTATAAATAGAAAGATCTTGGGTTTTATACATGCCTTAGATTTTTCTTCTTCAACAACGCAACACAACACAACCTCTTCTTCCTCTCTCTCTGAAACCCTAATCCTGGATCTTCCTTTGTCCCTCTTTCTCTCTTTGCCTTTAACTTCCACAACAGGATCAGGTACACATGGAACTTCTTTACTCTCAATGGTTCCAATTAGTTTTTTATTTCTTTTTTCTTATTTGTTGTTGAATTTGACTCACCGGGTATGAAAATTCCATTGATTTTGGATGATTCTGCCGAATCCAGATTTGGATTGTGTTGGATTGCTTTTTGTTCTTGATCCATTGCTTTGTGGATTGATTCAAATCGATTGGGAATTGAGGAGTTGAAAAAAACCTGTATTGTGCTGCATGGGTGGATAAAATTCAGGTGTTGGATCTTATGATTATGTTACTGAATTATGTTTTGTTTGTGAGTTTTAGGATTGCTAGAAATAGTGGGGGATTGGTGATGTTTCAAAATTGAGTTTTGTTGCTGTTGTATTTGGTGGTTTTCATTGATAAACTAGTTCTGATGAATGGAATTGTTTGTAGTATATTTAGGTTTGAGTTTGATTTGTTGTTTTCTTTCATTCTATTTAGGAATCAAAAGTGTTGGAATGGAAGAATTTGATGTTGGGTATGAGTCAAGTTTCTTCTTCTCGTGGAGGGTTCTTAACAATAAAAAGTGGTACCAGCTTGGATAGTCTTTGAATTGTTCCATGTTTTATGTAGGTTTTATTAGGGATCTTGTAGGGTTGTTAAAATCTTGATATCACGAATGGATGTGGAATTTGGCAAGATTTGATATTTGGAAAGATATGTGATTGTCAATGGAGTAGGTATTTAATTCATGTGAAGATTTATTCATTGTTTTCTGAGTCCCTAAATTTGAATTTACTGGGGGAGCATGGAGAAAGCTTCTGATCTTAACCAGTTGGATGCTGATGTTCTTTTACCACCTCGGAAGCGTCTTCTAGCTGGATTGAAGAAACAGGGTTCAGATAGTGATGCTACTGCCTCCCCATCTCCGATTGCTGCTTCTTGTGTGACGGATGTTGCTTCCCCCTCATCCTCATCCTTCTCAATTGAATTTGAGGCCCGGCTTAAGCATTTGTTGAGTTGCCATTCAGATAACCCTAACCTTACAGCTGAGGAGGTAGTGGAGGCCTCAAAAGTGGCAGCAATAGCTGCGACTAAAGCTGCAGAGGCTGCAAGAGCAGCAGCTGAAGAAAAGGCTGCAATAGCTGCCAGAGCCGTAGCTGCAGCCAAGAGGGCTTTAGATTTGGTTGCATCTTTCTCTGAGGAGTCGGCAAGCAAGGAAAGAAATCTGAAAAAGAACAAGTCAAAGAAGCATCTCCCAGTTCAGCTGTTGTACAAAAAAAATCAACCAATTGAGAATTGTAGGACAGATGAAGAATTAGCTCGAAAGTTACATCGAGCTATGAACAGTTCTCCGAGAATCTCTAAGAATTCTCCAAACTCAGATTCTAAAGGTAGTAAACATAAGAAGCCGAGAAGCTCTTCAAGTTTTGAAATGACTGAGGGATCTGAATCTGGTGTGGCACTTGGACAAGATTGCATATCTTTGAACAATGAGCATGCAGTAGGTGGCAAGATTGATTCTGAAGGATCCATCCAAGAGGTATGCTCAAGTAAGAAAGATAAGAAAGGGGTTAAATGTTATAGACCAAGCCAATTAGAGATAGATAACGGGGAAGCAGAGTCGAGTCAGTTAAAAAGGAAAAATTGTGAAGATTCATCTCCCATAGGCAAGAAGAGAGGAAGGGTGAAGCTAAAAAAGTTACCCTTAAGCATTTGCACCTCAAAAGATAAGGCACTGCCAAAAGAAGAAATAAGAGCCAGAAGTTCTCCATTGACCGGAATGAACACAGGCAATAATCCTGTTGATAGTATGCATTTGTTTACAGTTGAGTCATCCACTGACAGAGTGTTGCCTATTGAGGCTACATCAATGTGGAAATGCCAAGATTTCAAGGCACCGGCTTGTATCAAACAAAATAAAGCTGTGCAGTCATAAATTTCATATATTACAATGGAATGAGCATGTGCTACTCTGATAGATGTTGATAGCTGAGGTAGGGATCATGATGCTTCTTGTTTACAATATGGAATTTATCTTTTTCATTTTGGTCTTGTAATGGATATGCACTGATTAAATGTAAATTTAGATTTAGTTGCTTGTTATACTTCTTTCAGTTCAAAGTTGTGTTAATTTAAGTGGAGGGTAAGCTTGAATTTAAATAGGAGGATGCAATAACAACTTTTTCATTGTGCTGCTTATTTCTACTCCTCATTTGTGTTGAGAATAAAAAGAGCAAGACCTGGTGGTTCGTTCTTTATTTATACTTTCTGTTATGATGTTTATTTTCCCTGTATTCAAATGTATGTGAATGAATGTGACCGTTTTTTTTTCTTTTCATTTGCTGTTGTAATATTGAAATATGGATTTTCTTGGCATTAAATGTTTAGAAGTTACTCACTGAATAGGTAAACTATTAGTTTTCTGGCATTAAATTTATGACTAAGTTGTTACAAATGCTATTTTTATAATCATTAATCTATCAATTACAATGACACAACTTTATTAAAAGAGTTAGTACAGCGATGAATTAAGATTTAAGTGATACAACATTATTGGAAATAATTTTTTTTTCTAACAAATCAAATGATAAATAATTAAAACAAATTGAAACTGAGTGTGATAGATAATTTGAATGGGACGAAATATATAGTGATTATTAAATTAGCAGGGAGACCGGAAGGTACCAAAAAAATGTAGGATTATTTGCATGGATGATAAAAAATCCTTTGTACTCCGAGTAACATATACATACATGTCTTACGAAGATTATTGTAGAGAGCAAGAATCTGAATCATCGTTTGATTTGATAAATTAATAAATGTAAAAAATTTGTGAAACTTATTGTTGAGTCTGTTACATCATAGTTGTTGTAGGTATCGGGAATGCTATTGTTTCTCCATATATCATAATACAAATTAACATGTATCAATCAATTCAATAAATAGACATAATAAAAATAGTTAAACTAAAACCACACATCACCTTAGTAAGATAAAACAAAAGTAATATGTAACAGATTGTAAATAGAAAAATAATATATAACAATCGAACATGTTAACAGCTATAGAGTTAGATTGGTTAATGAAGTTTAACTATATTCATAAAGTTAATCAACACTTTATATTAATAGAATAATTTAAAATTGATTGAACAATTTAAAAGTTAGTTAACATTTTACTAATTAATTTCGTAGCTTATAATATCCTTTTTAAATTTATCATTTAGAAAATAACGTATTGAGTTCGATCGGACTTAGGACGAATTTAGAAAGCAAGCGCATATATTTTAAACTAATTAAAAATCATAAAATAAATAACATTCAAATTTTATAATATAATAGGTATATGCTTTAAACTACTTTAAAATCATATTTAATATATTACTATTAGATGGTATTATAAAAATCAGTAATATAGTATTTTTAATTAGATGAGTGTATAAAAGCTGATATTATTAGTATATATATTCTATAATAAATTACAAAACTATATTTTTTTACGTGGATTAATTGACATGAGTTTAAACTTTGAAAAATTGGAAACATGACATCTAAAATTCTTATGAAATAGATAAATTTTATTAAATGTTATATAATTTGTAAATATTTTATTTTATTGTAGGGATGTGTGATTTAAAATATTATTAAATATTTACCATTATATTTAATTTAAAGAATCATCAATATAATATTATATTAATTGATAAATTTTTGAAAATGTTATTAAATAGTACCATTTCAAAAATTTTAAAACTTGAAATTATTTAATCTTATCCCATTTTCAAAGCAAATATTAAACTCTATGTATAACATTTTAGACAATTATCAAGGGACAGTTATATTATTTGATTTGAATAGGTCCTAAGTAATTATGAACCGTGAAACCATTAGTGAATCTAACTTATTACTTATTGTATTTAGATTTTTTAGATGGTGTAACTACTTGGGAATAAAGACAATGACAATGAAAAATATTTTTGAGCAACTCTGTTTTTGTATGCACAGGAATTTTTATAATACAAACAAAAAAATTGACTTTGAACTTGTATACATTCCTTATATATATATATATATATATATATATATATATATATATATATATATATATATATATTTCTTAAACAAAATGAAAATTATTTAATAAAAAAATAAACTAATTCAAATAAAACTTAATTTAAATTTAAAAGATATTATATAATTTTTTATTTTAATATTAGTTTAATTAAAATTAGATGAACATAGTTAAATCAAAATTTTAGAATAATTTTTTAATAAGTTAGTTTAAATTTAATTTATTTTATTGTATTTGGATGAGATAATTATTCAGCAATGCATGTACACCATTCCCTGCAAATGTGGGACTCAATGCAAGTTTAACCTAAATAGTGGTGCATGTTTTCTATTCTCCACCCATCAAATCTAAAGCTCACAACAAAACACCAGAAAATGCCAATTTTACACCTTAATTCTTCCACAATTGATTGCTGCATAATTTACTATATTAGCATTGGCAAACCTTGACTTAAGGTCACACCACACACCCTACCCTACACAAAATTTCTCCTTCCTCCACAACAATCACCTACCTTCTTCTCCCTCTGCATGTTCTTGCTTCTTCTGCACCCATCAAACTCCATTTGCAGGAAGAACGACCACCTTCCCTCCGTATGCCAATGGGGTTTCACAATGTTGAAACCCCACGAGAGGACGTGCCTCTTCTCTCCAAAGCGCCCCCTCTCTCCTCAAAATTCAAGACCTTCGCCAACATCTTCATATCCATTGTGGGTTCTGGCGTGCTTGGTCTCCCTTACAGCTTCAAGAAAACGGGATGGCTCACGGGTTTGCTCATGCTCTTCCTCGTTGCATTCCTCACATACCACTGCATGATGCTCCTCGTTCGCACTCGACGCAAGCTTGAATCCAAGGAGGGGTTCCTCAAACTCAACTCGTTCGGGGATTTGGCGTATGCCATTTGTGGCCCTCTTGGCAAATTGTTCATCGATGTCATGATAGGGTTGTCTCATTGCGGTTTCTGTGTCAGCTACCTTATTTTCATTTCCACCACGTTGGCCAATCTTGCAGGTGACACGTCACCATGGTCCCTTTTTCTGGGTATCACGCCAAAGGTCTTGTTTCTATGGAGTTGTTTTCCCTTTCAGTTGGGGCTTAATGCGATCCCAACTTTGACTCTTTTGGCTCCTTTGAGCATTTTCGCTGATGTTGTTGATATTGCAGCCAAAAGTGTGGTGATGGTGGAGGAAGTGTTTGTGTTTATGAAGAATAGGCCTCCTTTGGAAGCCTTTGGGGGTTGGTCCGTGTTTTTCTACGGCTTAGGGGTGGCTGTGTATGCGTTTGAAGGGATAGGAATGGTTTTGCCGCTGGAATCAGAGGCCAAGGATAAGGACAAATTTGGTGGGGTTCTGGGTGTGGGGATGTTTCTCATTTCTCTGTTGTTTGCAGCGTTTGCTTCTTTGGGATACTTCGCTTTTGGTGAAGAGACTAAAGAGATTATCACTACCAATCTTGGACCAGGTTTGGTAAGTGCTTTGGTGCAGTTGGGTCTTTGCATCAACCTGTTCTTTACTTTTCCATTGATGATGAATCCTGTGTACGAGGTGGTTGAGAGACGGTTGTGTGACTCGAAGTACTGCTTGTGGTTGAGGTGGTTGTTGGTGTTTGGGGTGAGTTTGGTGGCACTTTTGGTGCCTAACTTCGCAGATTTTTTATCACTGGTGGGTAGTAGCGTCTGTGTCATTCTCAGCTTTGTATTGCCAGCTATGTTTCACTATTTGGCGTTCAAAGAAGAGATGGATTTGAGGTGTATGGTTTGGGATGGGGCAGTTGTTGTTTTCGGGTTGGTTATTGCAGTGACAGGAACCTGGTCTTCTTTGTTCAACATTCTTGGCCTCAATGCTTGATCAAGCAATACAAAAACTCTTCTTAAGAAAATGAAACTTTTTTATTCTCGAATTCTAGTTGAGTTATCAATTTGGATTCAATGGTGTTCATGGTTCATAGTAGTAAACCAACCTTGGTAAAAAGTGTATATGTAGTTTTACTTTCTCAGCAATGGATCGAAGAAACCATCGAGTGTTTAACTCGTTTCACTGCCGTGTTCGATTCCTTGGGAAGAAAATCAACGTTGAAATGATGGGTCATGCAAGGAAGATAGATAGATAAGAGTCTATTTTTATTTTCTCTAGAGCTTATTTATATTTCAGTCATGTCTTATCACACAACTAAAATCTTAAGTGACTTATTATTATGGACAAGTTTGATGTGACACAACTGTCCATAACTATTTTGTTTAGTGTTATTACATCATATAACATTAATTAAGTGTTTGGAAGTTTGACATAATATTACTCAATCTTTTTGGATTTAGAAAATAAAAATAATAATATCTTTTCACAATTTATTTTTCATGTATATCGACTAATTCTTTTGTAATAATATAATAATAAACATATAATATAAATTATTATTATTATTATTGTCATAATAAAAAAACTTGTTAAGTGGTTATATATATATATATATATATATATATATATATATATATATATATATATATAAATAAATAAATAGTTGTTAGAATATCATTCTCCTTTTCAAAACAACTATTTGGTTGGTAACTTAGAGTTGTACACATAACCGTGAAATAAATAATACTATAAATATAATTGAAGTTTAAATATATATAAGACTTAAAAAACAGAATTTTGTTTTTTGGGTTTTTATATTAATTCTTCAGAATCAATTAAAGAGGCTTGAATATATAAAAAAAGTCGAAATTTAAAACTCAAAAATAGAATTTACTAAAGAAAATTAGCATCTACAACCCAAACCTATTTTTTCATATCTAATTTGGTTATGTAAATCACCCTATTTTGGAAGCCATAATACGTTTTAACAAATAAGAGGTATTGTAACAAAGTAATTTGATAAAGTTTATTATTATAAATTTTTTTAAATATTGACTAATTTAAGATAAAAAAAATAATTATTATACTTAAGTTAAAAATTACGTTAGTTAATTTAGTTAAAATATTTTCAAACTAATTTAGAGCTAGTTTCTTTCTCATTGAGTCACATGAGTTTTATTTCATTAAGTATCTTATTATATATAAATATAAATATAAATATATATATATATATATATATATAATTATATATATATCAGATTAACTTTTTTTCGACTTTTAATTTTTTTTATGCACAATATAAAATTAATAAATATAGAAAAACTGTATTTTGAAGTAATAGTTTTTTTTTCTACAATTTCTTTTCTAGGTTCGAAGGTATTTTTTGTAATTAATTATTTTTTTAATAAATAAAAATTTTACTTCTATTGATGATTTCATTACTGTTAAATAATAACTATTTTTTATTTCTAAAATTATTTAAACTTGTAAATATTCCTTTTTTAAGAACATGTGTAAATATTATTTTTTACGAACATGTAAATATTCATTTAATTAATAGGTTTTGCTAGTTTATATATATATATATATATATATATATATATATATTTTTTTTTTTTAATTTACGAAAAGACATTTGATTTGCATTTCGAAAAAAAAAAAGTTCAACAAATCATTATTTTCTAATATTCTATCTGTTCTTTCCATCTATATCCGCTTTTGATTAAATTTATTTATTTGTTTATTTTCTTTAAATAATTAATATAATATTAATTACTTTCCTTTTTAATTGTATTATCATTTCATAAATACTTTATACGCTTATCATAAATGAGAAAGAAATACATGATTTAGTTTTTTAAGAATAAATCACAAACATAAATCATTACACGTAATTTTATATTTTAGTTATATTATTCGTTTAGACACACACTATTATTATTATTATTATTATTATTATTATTATTATTATTATTATTATTATTATTATTATTATTATTATTATTATTATTACATTGCCATTTTTTATATCTCCATCCCATAATCCATTTTTTTTTTCTCACGCTTTTTTTTTTTTGTCTCTCTTTGTTTTATAAAAAGATTATGCAAGTGCAATTTATCCTTAAAGTTAACATCAAAGTTGTCTTCAAGTTACTTGAACAAGTTAAATGCATATATTTTATACTACCATAAAGATAGATTCTTTATCAAAATCATATCCACACTCAAGTTTTAAAACAAATGCATTAATTGCCAAACACGGCAAAGTCACTAAAGAAGAATGTTGCCTTGTGTAACTTTTAATGCTACCTTTAGAATTTCACATTAAAATTGGCTTAGTTATGGCACTGTCACACATTTAGTTGCAAATACTTAATTAATTATGCGGAACACATTTTAATTAAAATTTAGTTTCTGTTGTAAAAGTATTTTACACTAGGAATAAATTAAAATTGATGATAAGTAAATTTATTATATATAAGCAGTAGAAAGAGAAATGTGGAAGGTCAGTGAAAATAAAATTATAACGAGAGTTACATGATTGGAATAAAATGGTTAGTTGATTAGCCATTGATAGGTTAACCTTGTTGTGCTGAAGTAAGAAGACAAAAGAGAGTGTATTGTAATGACAAAATGGGTGTTGTAATGATGAATTTTTCACCCCATAAAACAAACAAGGTAGTGAAGAAGAAGAAGAAGCACATGGTGAGAAATAAGTGTGAAGGGAGAAAGAAAAAGCACGCAAAAGGGCAAAAGTATAAAGATAGGAAGCAGATGGGTGATGCAGGAAAGCGCAGCAACTCAACCCTTTTTCAGGACCCTGATTACCCCTCCCACCTAAAATAACATCCAAAATGTTTATATTCCCAAAATGTCCTTGCTTTGTTCATACAAAATGCAGAAGGTATAGGGCATAAACGTAAAGAAGCAAGGAACAGTTAATTTGGGAAAAATGAACAAAAAAAACGAACCGTATGAAAATGCTAGACCCACACAAAACACACCCCTTCAGAGAACATTGCAAGAAGCAAAAGAGAAAACAGAGAGAAAAAAGTGGAGGATTGTTGAAGAGAGAGACTCGTGATTTGAGAAGGCCACACACACCCCTCCTATCTCCGAAACAAAAGCTTCAAATTACGGTCACAATTTAAAGAAAAGGGGATTTATTTAAAAACTAAAAAGAAGGAGAACAGCGGAACAAAACTTGGGGTGTGCCAAAACAGAGACAGAAGAAGGATCATTCATTTGGGAGTGTTGTTTAGAAGGAAAAGGTGAAGTTTTTTGATAGATCAGAGGTGATGTCGTGTTCTTCTTCATCTGGGTCTGAAGAGGATGATGAGGGGTTCGACTCCTACCGGAAAGGAGGGTACCACGCCGTCAGAGTCGGCGATCAGTTCGCCGGAGGCAGGTACATAGCGCAGAGGAAGCTTGGTTGGGGTCAGTTTTCGACAGTTTGGCTTGCCTATGATACTTCAAAATCTGTATGTCTGATCCTCACTCTTCCCTTTTTCATTATTTTTCTTCTATTCATTTTTCGGTTATTTCCTTCCAAAGGGGTTATTTTGAATCACCCAAAGTTTTATTTTTTGTGATTGATTTGGCATGTGATTTGTGTTTTGAGGTGAAAAGTTGTTGACACCCTCCTCCCCCTTAATCGTTATGAGCTATCAGTTTTTAAAAACTGAGTAGCATCAGGAGATCCATGTAGTCAGCCCCACCTGCTGAGATAAGATTTTGTTGTTGTAGTTGTTGTTATGGCAATCAGTTTTGAATCTGCAGGGGGGTTGTTAGATTCTTTGCTGGTTTTGTGAGTTGCATTAATCATGTTTGTCTGCTTTGAATTATGTAGGGGTTAGAACGTTTTCATTATATATAATGTATGTTGAAATCTTGTTTTCTTATCATTCCACTGCCCCTTCTTCTGTTGGTACTTGTATTTTTTAACATGTGTCAGAAATACTTAACAGACCTTGCATTTGAGGACGACAAACATGGTCAATCATCATAGAATATGACCACCTAGAACACACAGATTTGTCTCCTTGCAGAGAGGCAGTAATTGTGTCTCTGAACCTCTTTGTTTTTATTAGGTTCTTACTGATTTGGTAAATTTGTTAAGCTCCTTCTTGACAGTAATACCTGGCGTCTGTTGTTTGTATTAATTTGTTGGACGGTTTGCGGTGAGCTGCATATGGAAACACTTTTATTCTGAATTTCAGTTCTAATTCAACAAAGCTGAATCTTACGATGGATTTGATTTCTCTAAAGTAACAGTTGAAGGCAGATTAGTGTATTAGTTTTTAACAGTTTCAGAGTTAGTTCTACTCGTTTGATGCTTATATTGTATCACAATCTCAACTGTTGATTTTTCCAATCAATGATTATAACTTCATACGTAATTCTGTAAAGTACCCTCACAAGTTTATCGATCCAGAACTTCTGCTACCACCAAATCACTTATTTATGGTGGTGGGGTCTGGCAAATGCTTAAATTGAAAAGGAACCCATGGAAAGAAGATGGTAAGATAAACCGAAGATGCTTAAGGCATATAGCATTATACACTTGTTTTGTATAGAGGAGGGGTGCTTCCAGGGTAGCACAATTTTTTTTATTATTTTGGTGCAGCAGCATTTTTTTAAAATATTTTTTATCTTTTAATTTGGATTTTCAGGCGTATGTTGCACTCAAGATCCAGAAAAGTGCAGCTCAATTTGTTCAAGCCGCCCTTCATGAAATTGATGTTCTTGCATCCATTTCTGATGGTGTTGATGTGAATTCAAAATGTGTCGTCCAATTGATTGACCACTTTAAGCACGCAGGTCCTAATGGTCAGCACCTTTGCATGGTGCTTGAGTTTCTTGGGGATAGCTTGCTTCGTCTAATCAAATATAGCCGGTACAAAGGCCTTCCGTTGATTAAAGTTAAGGAGATTTGCCGATGCATTTTAATTGGTTTGGATTATTTGCATAGAGAACATGGTATTATCCATACTGACCTAAAACCAGAAAATGTTCTTTTGATTTCTACCATTGATCCTGCCAAAGACCCCGTTAGATCTGGACTCAGCCCAATATTAGAGAGGCCAGAGGGAAGCATAAATGGTGGAGTTACTAGTCTTATAGAGAAAAAGTTGAAAAGAAGAGCTAGGAGGGCAGTTGCTAAAATCTCTGGAAGAACTACTTCAATAGGAGGAACTGAAGCTCCAAAGTCTGCGAGAAATCTTGATGGGATTGATGTGAGATGCAAGGTGGTAGATTTTGGGAATGCTTGTTGGGCTGATAAGCAGTTTGCAGAAGAAATTCAGACAAGACAGTACAGAGCTCCTGAAGTAATATTGCAGGCTGGCTATTCCTTCTCCGTTGACATGTGGTCTTTCGCTTGTATTGCTTTTGAGCTTGCCACTGGTGATATGTTATTTACGCCCAAGGTTGGACAAGGTTTTAGTGAGGATGAGGTATGATTTTGACGTACACTATTATGATTTTAAATTATGTTCCTTACCTTTTATGAATGGATGGTAGTATTTATTATCACTGTTAAGCTACAGACTTTATACCTTATATTTCCTTGTATTAATGCAAAGAATAACTACGTATATACTATATTATTCTATAATCTGGGCAATGAATCTTGAGAGTTTTATGAAAAACAGGTATGGTCCTATGTTTATTTGAAAGGAAAAGCTTCTGGAAGAATTTAAAACCCTTATCTAAGGATTCCAAACTATATGTAATATATGACCTTAAAACATAGTTTTGATTATAGTATATATCTAAAATCCCAGGACTATTTGTGTTTCTTTTGCTGCTGGTTCCTGATGACTGAAAGCAAAATGAATTATGATGTGTGATCCACTGATGAGTAGATGATCATATTATCATATATTACATGATCTAAACCTTATTTATGATCCTTTCACAACTGGTAAGAGAAGAACTAAACATGAGCAAAGAATTATTCATGGATGCGTATTTTAGTTTCCAAGAAATGCAATCTATTCCAGAAACTGGTTAAGGATACAGTAGGTGCGATTGCTTTGACTTGTACAACTACACAAGAAGAATGGTTAAAGTATGTACTATGTTGGTTTCAGGATCACCTTGCCCTGATGATGGAACTCCTTGGAAAGATGCCTCGGAAGGTGGAAAGTTGTCTCTGTCTCTGCATATTATTGAAGTAGATATTATGGAAAATCTAATCTTGCATGTTGCAGGTTGCTATTGCTGGAGCAAAATCCAAAGATTTCTTTGACAGACATGGGGATCTGAAAAGAATTCGAAGACTAAAGTTTTGGCCGCTAAGCAAATTGTTGATTGATAGATATAAATTTTCAGAGAGTGATGCTCAAGAGTTTTCACAGTTTCTTTTACCACTTCTGGACTTCTCACCGGAGAAGCGGCCAACAGCACAGCAGTCCCTGCAACATCCATGGCTCCAGGGCATAGACTCTGCACAAAATAAAAAGAGAAATGAATCGAGTGTGGAGAACGTGGGTGTTGGGATGAGCAACCTTAAAATGAAGGTGGGAAAGTGAAGAGACCCTATGAATGAATGAATGAATGACTATTGAATGTAATTTGTTTTTGGTTTGTGCAAATTTAATAAGATTTATTTTTTCATTGGATTAACTACTACATAGATGTAAATTAGTAAGGAATTTTGTTTATTCAGAGATATCTGACACAATTTGTGTGTATATTTACAACATGATTTAAAGTGATGATGATGCCATTCATCTTATTGCCTGTTCTTCCAACACACATTTTAGAATATTTCAGTGTCGGGTTGAAATGGATTTGTGAAACACGAGGGCGGGTAACCGTACAAATTAGGTCGAGATTAATAAAAAATTGTCTGTGAGAATGAGTTGAGAAAATTTCACCAAGAAATGTCCAATTTTTAGATCTATCAATACACGCCATAAATGTATTGGTCGTCGCAGTGTACTATACATTTCAGATTTACGCCTTAAATGTATTGGTACTGGTAGTGTACTATACATTTAATATTTAAGATGTCTAATCATAAATCTAAAAAATGCGTAATTTGGTCTAGCATGATCAATTATTCAGTCTAGTATGACACGGTGTCACGGTTAAATAGTCTAAAAAAAAGTTATTGATATAATATATAGATCACAATTTTTAAACTAAACATATTTTCACATCATATTAAAAATCTGTAAATTGGGTTTTTCCAATAACTAAGCCATATCCAAAAATTTATTAGTTTTTCCAAGAATTAACCTACATCCAAAAAACGGTAATGATATGAAATATTTATTAATTTTTCCGATAATCAATCTGCATCCAAAAATTTAACTAATCATTGAGGTGTTTCCTTATAATGTTGAATATGAATTTTTGTTATTGTGATATATGAAAAATGAAAACCATTAAAACAATAGAAATTAATATTAGATAGCTAAATTATCCCCTTTTGTTTATTTTAGTATTATCACAGTGAAATTTATCTTACTGTACATATGTCAACGTCAATATAATGAATACCATATTGGTTTGTAGTGAAAGTGGCCACTTATAATTTAAGTGCTTATGGAAGATGATGCAAATTCAGCTAAGGCCACATGCCCTACTCAGTGTTTTAAATTTAATTGAATCTCATTATTAACATAATTTGAGTGCGAATAATATAATAAGCAATTAGCATTACAAATCACATTATTTTAAATTTAATTATACGTAATAAATTTCATTAGAAAATAATTTTACAGTACTTAAAAAATATCTAAATTTTTTTTTCTTATAAAAGGGTTCCATGGCATGGTTCATCAGGACATTCAAGCAAGCAGCACGGGCATGCCGTACATTGAAAAAGCTCTGTAAGTGCGAGGAGACATTTTTTCTGTTCTTCAATTTCACACAAAGACTATAATCATCTTGTGTTTACATTATACAAAATAGGACGTTAATATAGTCAAAATATTAATTTTCTACTACTTTTTCTTTGATTTTTTTCTTAATTTTGATTAATCAACAATTACTATCTTTGTTATGTTCTTGCAGTGCAGGACAATCCAACATGACAAAGATTTGGCTTTTTGTCCTCCTTATGTTCTACCATGGCCTTCCTTCAGAGGGAATAAGCACAAGACCAAGTACAGTTAACATAGGCGCACTTATGTCCTTCAATTCAACTGTTGGCAGAGTGGCTAAAGTTGCTATAGAAGCTGCAGTGGATGATGTGAACTCAGATGCAACTATTCTTAATGGAACTATGCTTAAGATTTCAATGTTCGATACTAAATTATCCACTGGATTCCTAGGAATCGTTGACTGTATGTCCTTCTCAAACACATTTGTTTTTTCTATTCTACACTTTTGCCCTTTTTGCTAAGGAAAGATATTTATGTTCTTTATAACAAAGAGGCGTTGCTGATTCATTTTTGCAGCATTAAGATTGATGGAGAATGACACTGTGGCCATAATTGGTCCCCAGTTCTCAGTGATGGCTCACGTGATTTCACATATTGCAAATGAGTTGCAAGTGCCACTCCTCTCATTTGCAGCAACAGACCCTACACTGACTTCACTGCAGTTCCCGTATTTTGTTCGGACAACTCACAGTGATCTGTATCAGATGATTGCTGTGGCAGAAATTGTTGATCACTTTCAATGGAGAGATATCATAGCCATTTACATTGATGATGATCATGGAAGAAATGGGGTGTCTGCTTTAGGGGATAAGCTAGCAGAAAAACGTGGTAAAATATCACATAAAGCAACGTTTAAGCCTGGTAACGTTACTAGGGAAGAAATAAACAGTGCATTGGTTAAGATAGCTTTAATGGAATCAAGGGTAATAGTGCTTCACATATACCCTTCTTTTGGTCTAGATGTATTGAATGTGGCTCGGTCACTTGGCATGATGGGAAGTGGCTATGTGTGGATAGCCACAGACTGGCTTTCTACACTACTGGATTCAAACCCATCATTGTTCACCACTCAATCCATGAATGACATCCAAGGTGTTATCACCTTGCGCATGTATACGCCCGAGTCTGAAATCAAAAGAAAATTTAGTTCTAGTTGGAACAAACTGAGCAAAGAAAAGGATCCTTTTGAGGGTCCTTTTCCATTGAACACTTTTGGCTTTTACGCCTATGACACTGTTTGGGTACTTGCATCTGCACTCGATGCATTTTTTAGGAGTGGGGGAACTTTGTTATTTTCAAATGAATCAAGTTTAAACATGTTACGGGGGGATGCTCTTCACCTTGATACCATGGGGGTCTTTCTTGATGGTGGCAAGTTGCTTCAAAAAATTTTAGATGTGAACAGAACTGGTTTAACAGGCCAAATGACGTTTGGTCAAGATGGAAACTTAGTGCATCCATCATATGAAGTCATTAACGTGATAGGCAGTGGAATTAGGAGGATTGGTTATTGGTCTGAAACCTCTGGCCTCCACACTGGGGAAGCTCCTAATCATTCCAATTTTAGTGAAGTACTATATGGTGTCATCTGGCCTGGTCAAACAACTCAAACCCCACGTGGATGGGTTTTTTCCAGCAATGGAAAAAAACTTAAGAATTGGGGTGCCACTTAGAATTAGCTACCGTGAGTTTTTGTCAAGAACTGAGGGAAGTGAGATGTTTGGTGGTTATTGCATAGACGTGTTCACTGCTGCCATCCGCTTGTTGCCTTATCCCGTTCCCTACAAGTTTGTTCCATTTGGAGATGGTAAAACCAACCCACCAAATACAAAACTTCTCAACATGATCAGTATTGGGGTGAGTATTACAAGTATTAAATTTTCAAAGGTTATATATAGTTTCTATGAGCTTATTCTAACTTATTGTATTAAAATTCTCTGTAATATGCATGCAGAAGTTCGATGCTGTTGTGGGAGACATAACCATTACCACAAACCGAACTAAGATAGTGGATTTTACACAGCCATATATTGAGTCTGGGCTAGTTGTTGTGGCACCAATAAGGAAGATGAAATCCAGTGCTTGGGCTTTCCTGAGACCATTCACTCCAATGATGTGGTTTGTGACAGGAATGTTTTTCTTAGTTGTGGGAGCCGTCGTGTGGATTTTGGAACGTCGCTTAAATGATGACTTCAGAGGCCCAGCTAGAAGGCAATTTGTGACCATTTTATGGTAATTTATTATTCGCCATAACAAGTAAAAAAGGAAACAAATTATATGTATAATCTCTTTCTTTTATAATGAGACAGAATACAAACTTCAACTTTGCTAACATGTGAAATTTTTTCTCTATCCAGGTTTAGCTTTTCAACCCTGTTTTTTTCTCATCGTAAGTGGTTGAAATTTGAAACTTTTCCCTTGCTAGTTCCTTGGGATATTTTGTCGCTTTACTGTTAAATGGAATGTAGACTTTATTTCAAAGGGTTTAGTTTTTGTTCTTAATTTAATCTCCCTGACATGACTATTTATTTTCAGGAGAGAAAACTGTGAGCACCCTTGGTCGTTTCGTGCTAATCATATGGCTGTTTGTGGTTTTGATACTCAACTCAAGCTATATTGCAAGCCTCACCTCCATCCTAACAGTGGAACAACTCTCTTCCACAGTGAAGGGAATTGAAAGCTTAGCAACAAGTGATGAACGCATTGGTTTCCTGAGTGGCTCTTTTGCTGAAAATTATCTGACAGAGGAGCTCAACATACACAGATCAAGGCTTGTTCCTCTCAACTCCCCATCAGAATATGAAAAGGCCCTGAAGGATGGACCTGCTAATGGGGGTGTCACTGCAATAATAGATGAACGTGCGTACATGGAACTGTTCCTGTCTACCAGATGTGAATACGGTATTGTTGGGCAAGAGTTCACCAAGATGGGATGGGGCTTTGTAAGTTCTTTTATCCTTTTTCAAAAAGTCCAAAGTCCAAACCATAAAATGACAAAGTGTTTGAATAAATCTGAGTGTCAAATTCTTATGTCAACCAATCATTTTTGCTTCTCATTATCCATCTCTTTTTAGTCTTCACATGGAAGTTTCGTTCTGAACTGAGATTGTCTCAGCAAAGTTTTATATTTCAAATATTTGTCATTTTATGATATTATGCATTTGCTGTGATTTATATATCATGTTAGATTAATAACAGCTTTGGTTTAAACATGTTTTGATTATTACAGGCCTTCCAAAGAGACTCTCCTCTGGCAATTGACATGTCCACTGCCATCTTAAAACTCTCAGAGAATGGTGATCTTCAGAGAATTCATGACAAATGGCTAACAAGAAGTGCATGTAGCTCAGAGGGTGCAAAACAAGGCATAGATCGTCTTGAGCTAAAAAGCTTCTGGGGTCTGTTCCTACTTAGTGGCATAGCATGCTTCATTGCTCTCCTTTGCTATGTTGCAAGAATGGCCTACTGTTTTAGCAGACACTCCAACAGAAACTCCAAAGGCTCATCACACTCTGCTCGTCTTCGATCATTCTTGACCTTTGTGAATGAACGAGAAGACGAAGACAAAAGTGCGTCAAAGAGAAAACGAACCGAAAAGGGGTGTAGTCGAAGGGTGGCGCATGAAGAAGAATTGGATGGGTCAAGTGTTGGTGTCCATGTTGAAAATTAGGCCCAAGGCTAACAAATTTGATGTTAATCTAAGAGTACTTTGTTTTAAGGAAAACTAAACGCATGCCTAAGTGCTGAAAAATTATGCTTTTTAGTTTTATGAGGTAAACTTGTTCGTAGTATTATCATATGTATTTTATCCTTTTATACGTGACATAGGTGAAGTGGGATAAAATTTCTCTATAAATATTTCTAGGAAATTTAATATACTAAAATTATGATAAGGAAAGATACAAATGAAAATTGATAAAAAAAAGAGAGTTAAAAGTAAATTAAAACATAGACATATTTCAATTTCATACACAACACAAACAACATAGAAGTAATATTCCTTGAGGATGGGTTTGGTTCTTATTATCCTTTATCCCACAATAATAAGTTAACAACTCTCAAAAAAATTGATCTCCTGAAAATTTTACTTCTCAACAAAACAACTCTAACAATGGATAAGATTATCATCACTTGTGGAAAACATGCTCTCATTTATATTATTATCTAAGATTTTAGATAATATTCAATATAGTGGGTAGTGCTTTAAGCATTGTAAATTTATCTATCTATATATAAATATTTAGTTGGCAAGTTGTCAAAGCACTAACATAATTTCATTTTATGCCATTTGAGAATTCACAATGCATCAAATTATATCTAAGTTTGATTCTAAATTTCATATGCTATAAAAAAATATAATCCATAATCAATATCTTAAAATTTTATATTGGAAATGATATCAATTTTTCGTGTGAGTTTGTTTCATATTTTTAAAATTATATAAAAATTTCTTATTGGAATGAATAATTACCACCTATGATATGATTAAATGTAAGAAAATATTGATCAATCCTAATTCCCTTCATTTTTATAGTTTTCTAGTTGCATTGGATCAAATAAAAAGGAACCACCAAAAAAGCTTCATTTTGTTGAGTAGGTAAATTACATGAGTTGTTGTCTTCTTATTTGACTTCTGAAAGTCGTAAAATTTTCATACCTATAGTGCTCCAACCAAACCAAATCTTCGAATTGTATCGATTGTTTAGTTATGTTATGCCAACTTGATTTATTTTTATTCAATATATTTCGTAATTTTCTTTTATTTTTTCGTATTCATTTCTTTTTCTTCCGTGTAAAAATTGTTACACAAAAATTTGAGTGGAAAACAATTATTTATAATTTGTGCTGATTTATTAATATTTGCTAATAGATTGAAATGGAATTGTGAAAGCTCGAGGGACTCAACAAATTTTCAAAGGACCGGGCATAATATATGATATAAAAAATTATATTTTTGAAAAATGTAATTAAAATGGGTTATTATTTTATATTATTATATTAAAAAATAAAAATAGAGAATAAGGTATAACGAATCACTATCTTAATTATAATTAAAATAATACTAAAACCTTGATGTGTATAATAAATATATATAAATAATTTATTATTATAAAATTATTAGAATTAATATTTACAATTTTTTTCTTTTTAAGAAGATATTCAAAATAAATCTCAAATACAATATTTATATATGTTCCAAAATATAGTTAAGTTTAATATCATCTAAAACATTGTCCTGCACCTAAAAAATGTTTTTTACGTGTGAGAGAAGGATGATCAAAGTTTCAAACACAAAATACAATAAATAACATAAACTAACTATATAAAAAAATATCATATAATTAAGTTTTTAAACATTCTTCAAAGTCATCCCATCAGATATTTACATGACTATATTAAACCTAAGTATATTAGACTAACACCAATACTCAAGTAAATTAAAATTTAAATGTTATTTGTAAATTATCACATATAATTATTAATTACTTAAAAACATGTTATAAGAGAATTTTTTTTAACTCTTATGGTTAATATATGTGTATCATTTAGAATTTTAGAATAATAAAGTGATATGTAAAGTTGATATGTAGGACTGTTAAAATAGGCGGTTAAGTCTAATATGACTTGATCTTTTGGATCAAGTAAAAAAATTAATGATATAATTTAATTTATATTTTAAAATAAGTTAAATTTTTAGATTAGATTGGTTTTATGTTAGATAAATAGTCAATTTTAGCCTGATTAAATTTTTTAAAAATTATTTAAATAAAATTAAATAATAAAAGTATATTTTTAAAATTTAAGTTATATTAATAAAATTATTTTTATTAAATAATCTAATATATAAATTATAAGAGTGTTTCAATAAGAGTTGCTTAAATAAAATAATAGTGGCTTCAAGCAATTTTTTAGGAGAAATCCTAAGTGGCATGATAAGTTACTTAAATTTTTTTATAGTTGTTTCATTAAATAATTTATAAAAGTAAACAAAACAAAATATATAAGGTGATGAGAGAATGAGTCTTTAAAATTTATTAAGAAACTTTTTATTTGATTATAAAATTAATAGTAAGTTGTTTAAGAATGATGTGATATAACAAATCTATATTTTACATTTTTAAGATTAGAAGCAATTCATATGAGTTGTTTCCATTCCAGATGGCCTAAAAGAAGAATCATTCAATCTCAAAATAAGAGTTAAAAATTTATTATTTATTATTATAATTCAATTTTTAGTAATTTATTAATATAAAATAGTAATTACTCTTAATTAATAGATATTGAAATAAATAGTTGTTAAATACTTATTTTAATATTTACTCTTAGAATAAGTGGGTCCATTATCAAATTATAATTTATAATACATATATATATATTAATAAAATAATATCACTTTAATTTGTATTACAAAAATAATTATTATGCTATAAAACAAATTGATCCATAAGTCTATGAGTTAATCTGAGCTAAGTCCATATAAGTCATGGTTTAAATGGGTCAGACCAAAATAAGTCTGATTCAATTTATGTCACACATTTTTTAGTCTAATATGACCAATTTTGTAGATCTTTCGAACCGGCGTATCGGACTAAATCTATCTTGACTCCTAGAGATATGACATCATGTTATAATTAGGATGATCTCTATAAATATAAACAGGATAATCTCATATTAATAAGATGTCAAATATATTAGAAATATAAGCATTTTTAGTACTCTTATATCGTGTTTGGATAAGATATTTTATATTTTTTAGGAAATTCAAATATATTAAAGTTAAATTAATCTCATATTAAATAATCTAATTTTTCAAATAATTTGTTTGATTAAGATAATTCAAATTTATTAAATTTTAATTTTCTTATTAGGATAAAATATTTCAATTATTATTCAATAGAATAATTATGATCATTATATCTTTCAACTAGGTCTATCTCACGATTTTTTAGCCTTACCCTCATGGGTCAAGTTGGATAGAGATAGACTATGATTGGTTGGATCAAGTCATGTCAAAGTGAGACAAATCAGACTTGTAAGATTAAACCTAGTTGAGATAGACTATACTAGGTTGAGTCAAGCTTCTAATGTCAAGTTGAGTCGAGTTGTGTTGGGGATAAGATAGATCATGTTCGAATGAGTTATATCTGACGAGATAAGTTTAGTTGAACTGAATTAAGATGGTTTAGGTCGGATCGTAATCAGACCAGACATACTAAAATGAGCCAAGATAAGATATGTCAGGTCAATAAGGGGTAGGTCAAGAAAATTTAGTACGGACCAAAACAAACCAAGTTGGGATATGTTGAGTCAGGTGAAATCAGGGTAGACTAGGCCTACTCAAGGAAACTGGGTCAGACTTAATTAAGAAAAGTTGAATTAAGTTAAGGTAGGTTAGGTTAGGTCGTGTCGGGATTGGTTGAATCAAGTCTGATTAGGTCAAGATGAGACGAGCCAAATAAAAAATGGTTAGATAAGAAAAAACAAAGTATGATAAAACATGCAAGTCTGTTCATGATGAGTTAAATTGAGTCAAACCAAGTCATGACGAGTGAGACCGTGTTAAGTTGGACCAACTTAGACGAGTTAAAACATGTTTATCTAAAGTTCTATAATAGATTTAGTTAAGTTAAGATGGGTTTACCCAAGTCAAAATGAATCAATATGGGTTAAAGATGGAATCAAAGAAAAAAAATGAAAAAAATACATATATTTTAGAAAAAAAGAAATACATAGAATTTCAAAGTTTTATTTTTGAAGTAAAATTTAAATTTTTTTAATTTTAAGTAAAAAAATTAGTGTTACAATTTATTAAATTTTTTAAAAATATTTATCCAAATAATCAAATTTGTCGTAAACAATTTTAAATTTGCTTCTAAAATAAATTACCTCTTACAATTTTTTATTCAAACACAAAGTTAAAGATTGAATACCATGAGAAATAATCTATAAATACAAGTGAGAGAATAAAAAAAATTAATTATGAATGCTTTATTAGAATTCAAGATTTAATATAGACTTTAATTAAAATATTATAAAATGATAAAACAAACTCATAAGGTTGATAGTTTTACACCAACCTAGTTTGATATACTTTGATGAGTTATTATATGTTTTATTTTTAAATTAATTTAGAGATTACATTTCACCTGTTAATATATTTAAAGTTGTACTTCATATTACATTTTTTATATAAAGATATATATATTTTTTACATGTACTAATAGATTTCTAGGCTAATGAAAAAAAAAATTATAGAAAACAAAAAATAATTACACAGGTTAAACTTATTGCTTCAATGAGACATGGTTGCAAATAGACAGAAAATGTTTAACAAGAGTCACGTCCAACATATTCATATGGATACGTTTATTTGTTTTATGTATATAATAAATTTTTCTGAATGAAACATTCAAAGTTCTAACTAAACTCATCCAACTATGTTTAGACACCATGTTTGAGGCAATGCGAAAATAACGATAAATCTGACTCCACTCGTTTTAACAACTCAACACTAATTGCTGAATGAATCATATGAAACTCTTCTCCTTCCTTTTTCTCTGTCTCTCTTCTCAAACTTGTTTCTCTGACTTAATCTTCACAGAAGTTCTCAGTCTCTCTTGAGTCACAGGTTTAATAACACAATCACTCTTCCTTTGACATGTATGCATTATATATATCCTCTCTCTTAAACAATTATGTATGTAGTCTTATCTGCATTCGTTTATATAAATAGTCTAAGTTTCTCATATCTTCTTATTGGATTAGTAATATGTTATGAACAGGTTTGAAAAAGATGTTACACATTAGTGTAAAGGTGAAAACACTTGCTTGAAGGACCTTCATTTGATTTACTAATTGGTCAGTAATTCCTTTTCTCTTTTAAATAAACCTGTGCATGCATAACATTTTACAGTATCATGATCAGTGATGGAGGGAGGGGATTTACAGGGTCATTATCCCAAATTTTTTTTTTTTTTATTAAAAAATTATATTATAGTCTTCTCAAAAATTATTTATTTAGATTCATTTCTTAAAACTAATGTTTTGATTCAACACAGTGATTTTATTCCTCAACAACAAAGATTATTAGTACAATATTCTCCTCCCTTCTTATAATTAATATAAGATATTTTTTTTTATCTGTAGCAATATTTTATAAAAAAAATGTTTTGAACCTTTTTTTCTTTGTGTTTCTTCATTAATGAATGATGATGATATTTTTTAAAAAGTCATTAGTAATAAAACTAAATTTTGTGTATATTTCTGTTATTTTTAAAAATTATTGTGATTAATATTAATCATACAAATAAAAATATTTATATGATATTCTATTTTATTTATAATAACTTCATATTAGTTAAAAATATTTTTTTTTCAAAATTAAGAACTGTAGTATTTAACTCATTATATGATATATCTTATATGTATTAGAGGTTGATCTTCGTAACAGTGAGAGTTCCTATAAATTTTAATAACTTTACTTCTAAGCAACATTGCTTAACAATAAAAAAGAGAAATAAAAAAAAAGTTGCTTACCAAGTTGTTAGCTTCAATTTTGAACAAAAATAACAATGATAGAAATATTTTTATTTTTATTTTATTTACAAAATACCAATAATATTATAATAATATATAATACTTAACTTTTGTAAAATTAATTTAGTTTTAATTTTGATTTTATATATATTTTTAAAAGAAATTAGTTTTATAAAAACTTTAAACATTTTAATTTTCATACAAATTTAAAACTTTCAATAAATTGATCATCATTTCAAATTAAAATATTATATTAAATTAAACTATTTTAAATTATCAAATAAAATATAAATAAAAAAATGATAAAAATATAAGTGGTTACAAAATTTGAAAAAAATTAGTAGGAATGATTTTAAATTTAGATAACATAACAAATATTATTGAAAGGGAAAAAGAAAGTCAAAAGTATTGCAAACCAGCACATGAGAGATGCTCTAGGAAAGAAAAACAAGAAGGAGTAATATTTTCGGTTGAGTTTTCTTGTCTTAGCTAAGGCTTATTACTCCTGCTACAGGTTATCTGTGCCATTAAGTTACCAAATATTGGTAAAAGTCATTAATTTTGGTGCTTTTCTCGCATGCTGAAGATTGATGTTACCTTCATGGTTGGTCCTTCTTGTTGACATGGTTAGTGTCTTCATTCTTTTACTAGACTGTTTCTTGATTGTCACCGGTATAATGTGTTTATCTTTATTCTCTTTTTAAGATATATATATCTTCCATTCATCCTAGACGATGGAACTCAACGTGAGAGGAAAACAGTAACATTGAGCAAGAGAAGAAGCTAGAACAAAACAAAGATAGAGATGGGGTTTTGGAAACTGTTGGAGGTGGCATCTGCGCCAATTCTTGAAGTCCTACTTATCAGTGCAGTGGGAGTTTTTTTGGCAACAGATTATTGTAATAATGTTCTTTCCGCAGACTTTAGAAAATCCTTGAACAAGGTAAGAGACTATCTGAATTAAATTTCAATGAGGTTTGAGTTAAAAATTCTCATGAATACTAATACTAATACTAATACTAATTTGTTCAATGCTCTTGCGTCCTATTTTCCCCAGAGAACAAATTATGGACAAACTTTGCTTTATTCTTATCCAATTGTTTTTTCTTTGATTTTGTGTACCCTTTGAGCAGATTGTCTTCATTGCGTTCACTCCTGCACTTATATTTGCCAGTTTTGCCGAGAATGTTTCTCTTGACGATATGATATTATGGTACACAATGATTAATTTTTTTGCTTTTATAAACTTTGCATGCTTTGATTTTTGTTCCTCTTGATTCGCAATGGAAAGCCTAAGAAATTATTGTCAAAAGCACAGCTTATTGAAAGAAAGATAGTTCTCAGTTAGAGTTTTAGTTAAATTCAAAAAGGGTCTTCTCTTATTAGCACTACAAACAAAGGACAGGTTATATTAGTTATATAGCAGTATAGCATGCACAAACTAACTTTGATTTTTATCTTTGTCACACTACTAATTGCAATGAGAGCACTTATGTATATTTGACAAGCTCGAGAAAAAAGAAGAAGAGAGAAAGGGTATGCAATTGTGTGCGCAAAAGGGACATGGTTCTTTTTGTTTGTTTATCTTAAAAGTTAACCATGTCTTGTTTAATCATTAATGCAGGTGGTTTATGCCTGTTAACATTGGACTTACCTTCTTATTTGGAGGGATTCTGGGATGGATAATTGTAAAAGTATTAAAACCAAACTTGAAAGTGCAAGGGCTTATTATTGCTTCATGTTCATCAGGTACCATAGCATCAAAGTTGTGGTCGTTGGCAAGAGTAAAATTTGGAAGGATGACGAGGAGGAAGGTGTGAAAATTGGCAATGTACCTAGACATGGATGCATGCTTTGTTACATTAGCAAATTTTTATTCCTGTTCTCATCCAATGCTTCCATTTTTCACTCCTACCAGACACTCTTATAATTTTCTCACAAACCCTTAATCTGAAAGCCTCTCATTTCAAGGGTGCATCTTTGATCAGGAAACATGGGTAATCTTCCTATTGTAATTATGCCTGCAATCTGTGATGAAAAAGGAGGTCCATTTGGGGAACCTGATGATTGCCGCAACAGGGCTCTCTCTTATTCTTTTTGCTCTTTGGCGGTAATGCATTCGTTTTTACCCTTGATTTGCTTTCACCATATCACATGTATCTTATATTACCATCTTTTATTAATTGTAGCTTGGTGGTGTCTTCATCTGGACCTATACTTACCAACTAATGCGAAATACATCCTTGAGATACAAAGCATTTGAGGCAGCTGAGATCTTAAAGATTCCCAACAAACGCCTAGATGCTGATGCAGAAACTGGCTTTCTCAAGCAAAATGGTGGTTATGCCGAAGACACTGAAAATCAAATTGTAAGATCCCTTGAAGTAGTATAGTGTATGCTATGTTGGTGTAGGAGGGAAATGAAAATATTGGCAAGAAAACATTTTATTAAAACAGAATGTGAGAGTGCTGACATTGCTCTTATTTTCTTCACCAAATTATAATAACAATGAGTGAGCAGCAAAATCTTTCTATCCACTCTTTTTTGCACTGAAATCTAACTTTGTACATTCTCCTTTTTCTCAAACTCAACTTAGTATAATATATATATAAAAAAATTCTCAACAATTTGCTGGATTATAAAATGAATCCGAATTCCAAATCTGCAGCTTGTAGACCGAGGTACGTCCTTACTACCAATTGATGGTGAAAAATCTTTATGGCATAGAACGATGGAAACTGTAGGTCAAATCCTGGCAGAACTAATGTCACCCCCAACAGTTGCTACAGTGAGTTCCTTTCATTCCCTTTTTTCTATTGCTTTCAACTTGTTCCTTAGTCTTTAAATGACCCTGAGAAATTTGCCTCCATGATCAGCTTTTAGGTTTCCTTTTTGGAGGGGTTAAATGGCTAAGGAACCTAATAATAGGACACGATGCTCCCCTACGAGTGATCCAAGGCTCCATTCAATTGCTAGGGTATGTGCCTTTAATCTCATGAAACCAATGGCCCAATATTATACAGTTTTTGGTTCTTTATGTTGATGTAGGCTTTAAAAACATCAAAAAACAACAAATGAAGATATTTAAATAAATATATAGTCACATATCCAAGGCCACATAAGGAAAAATTATATGAAACAATATTGGTGCAGTAATAATAACTGGAAAAAAGATGACAAAAAATTTATGAACAGATATGGATATTTGCTATTAAAATCACTAAAAACAATACTTTTTATCCTTGTAAAAACGGTAGAGAGAGACTAAGAACGATATTAAAGAGAAATTTTGTAGTAACGAATATTTTTCACCCTTAGGAATTTGGTCTTTAGACATATATAGTTTAACAGTGTTGCATGTAGTCAATTTTATTTAGTGAACAAGGCATTTTGTTGGTCTCTATTATTTTCCAACCACTCAGTTCACAAAGACTGAAAAAATTCTTTGTAGGGATGGTACAATTCCTTGTATCACAGTTTTGCTTGGAGGCAACCTTACACAAGGTATAGAGTTAACTTCAGTACATATACTTCAAATTCTTCAACATAATTTAGACAATCTGAGAACTGACATTAGTTTTCAATATGTGCCCCGAAATTACAGCCATGGATTCATCAGGGATCCAACCATTGATCCTGATTTGCATCATCGTAGCTCGACTAGTCTTACTCCCTGCTATTGGACTTTTTGTTGTTAAAGGGGCTGCAAATTTTGGTCTGCTTCCATTGGACCCTTTGTTTCAATATGTGCTGGTGATGCAGTATGCATTGCCACCTGCAATGAATATCAGTGAGTGATTGGTTGATTGACTCCATAAATATTTACTTCTTTTTAACATCTTTGAACGACTTTATAATTAATATAAGACGTTTGATTTATGTTACTGGAACGACATTGTGCAGGTACCATGGCTCAGCTATTTGATGTAGGCACTGAAGAGTTTTCAGTCATTCTCTTGTGGACATATGGTGCTGCAAGTATTGCTCTCACTCTCTGGTCAACATATCTCATATGGATATTTTCTTAATTGTGCAGCAAGTTCCTTCTGCTATTTTGCTTCAGGCATAGCTGGTCATTAAATATGGTGTATTTGCATGATGTATATGCTCTAGAATGAAGTACACCATACACTATCTATTAGGAGGGAAAGGAAAATCTGGATCACGTTTCGAGGTTGAAGATATTCGTTAGTTTCTACTATAGTTTTTAGGTTTCTTCTCCAACACATGTGTGTCTGTGTGTTCGTAGGAAGTATTTGTTGTAAAAGCTGTAGAAAATTATTTCATCGTGTAAAACTTATTTATGTTATATGATATCGTGAAGTATTTCAAAAATATATATTAAAATCTACGTACACCAAACATCAATGGTTAATTACGCTTTGAGAACTTCTAATAAAAACATTAACATCAAACAATTTTAGGTTTATCAATAATAATAATAATAATAATATAATTATATAGCCAGTAAGAAGAATTTATCAAATTTCTCAAGTGCTTTACGATTAATCCAATTCCAAAGGGTTTAAACTTTTCTTCATTACTCAAACTAATCTTTTCTTATTGTGGGAATAATATAATATAAACTCGATTTAAACCGTTCTGTAATTATTATTTTTGAGAAAAACAATTTTGAAGTAACGTTCAAGATAGTTTTGAAAGTAACGCTTAGTCAAAAATATTCTTGAAACTTTTTAAATGATTTTTCTCAACATTAGAAAGTAACGTATTGTATTATGAATTTTGATTACCTATAATAATTTTATTTCCAGTGAAAATTCAACTCGGAAAAATTAGACCCTTGCTTTCCCAGTAAGAACAATTTACGAGAAAGTTAGCTAAAATCACACAAAATTCTGATTATTTGACTATGTTGTTACTTTTTAAAACACAAACTAGAATGAAAAAACTGACATTCTCAACTTTGTATTTTTTCGAGAACCCTAACCATTTTCCTTGTTACAAACGCCATATTATTCTATCGTTTGTTAATTAAATAAAGCTTGAGTTGTAATGCACAAGTTACGCGAGAGATTCTGAGCATTTTCGGTTTCTTCTTTTGACGATTTATTGAAAGAACATGCAACACTGATATCTGCGAAGATTTTTTTTTGTTTTTTTGTTTTTTCAACTTTATAAACTTCGTATAACAAAGAGAAGAACATAATAAGGGTTTTCATGTTGTTTGTTATTAAGAAACCCTAGGTCCCTCTCTCATGTTTTATTTAGTACCATACATAAACTCATTTTTACTGAAAAGAAAAGCAAAGTTTGTGCATGAAGATTTTCAACCTAAGCAAATGCAAAGACTTCCCTGAGAGCCATTTTTGACGCAGGAAGCACTCATGAATTTTTCGCCGAGAATCTTCTTGCATCGAGCAATGCAGTCAGAAAGGGTGCAAGGATTGATTGGGATGGCAAATGCAGAATCCACAGGTTGTGCCTGCAAGACCAACATAGCTAGAACTGTCACCACCAAGATCACACTCAACATCTGTGCCACATTCTGTGCCATGAAACCTTGAAAACTTTCTCTCTCCAAACTGCTTTAATTTGGTGAATTGAGATGTGAGGGAAAGAATTTGTTCATCCTTATTTATAGAGGAGATAATAAGCGGAAATAGCTATTAATTGCTTCAAGGACAGGACACGCACATGCACAACAACTTTTAGAAAAAACAGACAAAGCAAAATTTGTAGGTACGTTTGCGTTCTTGGATGCGCCTTTTCAACTTCCTAATATAAGTTTTTTTTTAAGTAAATTATAAATTTGCTCAAAACAAAATATTTAAGTGAGAAAACCATATTTAATGGCCATTAATTATCTCAAATAATAAATAGTATTTATTTTTTAGCAAAAATAGTTTATTCTTAATCCGATTTAAAAAAAGACTTATATGTGAAATAATACATTTCATCTTTATTGACTTATGTAATAATATATCACATTTACACATCAATATCACATTTCTTAAATAATTTGATTTATACAACTGGGAATGATCTTTGAAAACTTGATGTTTTTTAAAAACAATTCAACCACAATTTCATTTATTAATAAAATAATAAATTTAAATTATTTTTATTTAAATTAAAGCGTTTAATGATTATAATATTAATAAGATTAAATGTTTGTGGATGAACGAGTATCAAAATATAATAACTATCCTTAAACAACAATATTTTCAATTTATTTAGTGTTAAAAAATTAACTTAAAAACCTAAAAATTGGTTTCATATTTTATATATATATATATATATATATATATATATATATATATATTATTCTAAAACTGTTATAATTGCTCATTAATCGTTTATTATGGTTATATAATTAAAAATTAAGATGAATGAGTATTCTGTATATATTTTATATTCGAAAATACTTTTGATGTACATTTATCATTAAAGATTAATAGAAATAAGTATGTATGAATATTAAGTATTACATCAATATATTAAATATTTATTATATTTTGTACCATAAATATTGTTCACGTGTATAAATTAAATCTTCACAAAAAATATTTTAATTAAACAAAATTAAATTATATTAAATTAATGCTTTTAAATTCCGACCTTCCATTGATTCAGTAAAGACATATTCAAGGTTTAAATAATCATTGAAATTTTATTATAATATAATTGAATTTAATAAAATAATATTTTTATAATATAATAAATATATAATAAATTTATTCATAATAATATTTTTGAAAAAATAATAATAAAGATTATTATCAAAATAAGTATAACTTATAATAAAAATTATAAATATAAAATACATTATAAAAAATAAAATGAATAAATTTTAAAATAAATAAAAATATAATAAAATAATTATTATTTAAAATTGATGTAACTATATAAAATAAAAATATAGAAAAAAATAAAAATATATTATATATCTTTAATAAATAATTATATTAAAAATATTTATCTAATTTTTTTATCAAAACTGATTCCACCAAAAATTTCAGTTAATTTTTTTGTTTTTTTTAATTTTATTTCGATTTAATTAAAATCTAATTAAATGGACCGTTTCTAATTAGATCAGCTGAATCGGATCTAAATTTCAAAACAGTAATTTATATTATGAATGATTACGAATTTATATATTTATTTTTATGATTAAAAATTTAAATTTATGAGAAAGTTTATGATTAAAAAATTAGAAGAAATGATTATATTTAAATTTTGGTTAATATGCATAATTTAATTTTTTTTAGTAAAATAATTTTAATTAAATAAAATCAAATTATTCAAATCTCCTTTTTTATTTATTAATATTTTATTATCTATAAGAATGAAAAATAAAAAAAAATAATAATTATAAAACAAATTATGGACACATAATTATTATATATATATATAATATGAATATTTTTTTTATAATTATTTTGTATCTCATAAAGAAATAAAAGATATCATAATTTTAAAAAAATAATTATCATAATTTATATATTAAAATATTAATAAAATATACGAGAGAAAAATATGATAAATAATTAAAATAAAATTTATATATTTAAAAAGTGGAAATAAACTTTAGTTTATATATTTAGAATATTTTAAAAAAATTATAAAATAATAAAAACTGTAAATTATATGTCTGAATTTATAAAGGAGTCTCTTCCATGACAAAAGAGACAATAGTATTCAGGTTTAAAACTGTAGTTTAGTTTTCACGCTCCCTGTTTAAATTATTTAAATTAGTCCAACTTAAGGATGGATGCTTGGGGAATCCAAACACAGGAGAAGAAGAAGCGTGGAATCTTCCATGCTCCCTGTTGCTGTTCTCCCTTACCTTCCCTCCCAATAAAACCCTTTTTCTCCTCTTCAATTTTCGCAACCCAAACAATCCCTTTCCAATTCCCTTATCCTAATGAAGTTTTCTCCTTTTCCCATTTCCTTCCTTGTTGCCTTGCTAATTGCCTTCTGCTTCCTCCAAGCCTCGTCAACAACGCTTCCCAAACATCACAAAAATGAAGAACACGACATGCACAGTGGGCTTCATCGACCATTTTCACGCTCCCTTCTCTCTCTTCCACCGTCAGTCCCCTCAACTCTCTCATTTTCGTATTTACGGAAATTTGGTTTTACCGCAACTAACTTCCTGTTTTCCCTCTTTTAATTCATTTCTCTGATAAAAATCATTTTTTGTTTGTTTTGTTTTTATCTAATATAGTTGAATAGTATAGTTTTGATAAATTATAGTATTTTATTACAAGCTTGGTAACTTCTGCTCACTTTTGAAACATTGATTCTTCTTTTGAGCCAAAAGTTGCTTGCGATAACCAATTTTATGTCATGTATCCTAATAACAATGTTAAAGATAATCATGTCCTTGTGTACATGTTGATTCCCTGCTTTATAGGTCATCGTGGTTTTGTGATAGATTTATTTGTTTCTATTGACGAGTGGTATTCTAACAGTGTGATGCTGCCTGATAAAATATTTTCATTGATAGGAAGGTTGCAACTACGGCACTGGTTGTGACCCTAGATGGGACTATGTATTTGTTGGACAAATCTCCTGGTTCCATGAAGGTGATATGGTCATTCTCGACAGGATCGCCCATCTATCAATCGTATAGAGCTCCAATGAAAAAGGATAATGGTAAAGAAAATGCATCTGCAGCACTAATGAGTGGGTTCATGGAATGTGGGGATGACTGGTCATTGTACATGCACGACAGACACTTTGGTAAAATGGTATCTGTTTTAAGATATATCTGAGCATTGTGATTGTTGTGTTGATGCTTTTCATAAGTGAAGGCAAGTTAAAGGTGGTTTAAGAAAAATTTCTTGAATTTTAACTCTTGCCTGGAAGTTGGCATTTACCCTTGTTCTTGATTGGATATAGTTTGCAATTTTGAATTCCGATTTGGCATTTTTATAGGAATAACATAGACTGATACTTCATTTGAAAAACAGTATAAGTGGATAGCATGTGATTCTCACGAAGCATTTCAGCTGTGCATATATAAACAATTCTGAATTAATTACATATATGGTTTTCAAGAAGTAGAAACGAGAGCTGCTTCCGAAGGACGTGGGATAAGGCACAATGCATGAAAATTTCATAAACCTAGCTTTAAATACATCTATTCCTAATATGTCAACTTTCAGCAATGGTTTTTCAAGGAGGCCAATCTCTGGTTTTTCATATGGCATGTTGGTTTTTAGACGTGTTGTGGACCTGTGGTTGTTCCAACTCTATCTGTAATTACATGTTTTGTTCCTTCTCTATTACAGCCTTATACCTATAACTACAAAAAAAAAAAAAAAAAAATAGAAAGATAATTTGATTGGTATGCTGCATTATCTAAATATTCTTCTGCCTTGGCGTGCAACAATTACTTAGTCTAAAATTTCTCTTGATAGATCAACGATGTAGGGTGTTCTTTGTTCTTTCTAATTATAAAAATATAATATTTAATATGACCTATAGCATTTTCAAATTTATGATATACAACTAATGTTATTTTCTTATGAATACTGAACTTTATGTTCTGTTATTGGTTCATATCTGCAGAGAATCTCAGAATCCATTGCAGAATATGTAGCTCGGACACCCACCTTTTCAGATGATGGAGCAGTGACACTTGGATCCAAAAGAAGCACTTTGTTTGAAGTTGATGCTAAAACTGGATCAATCATTCAAATCCATGCTATTTCTGATTTTTTTAATGCTTCTGCACCAATGAGTGATGGGAGGCAAAGTGTTACGAATAACCTCAACATAAAGAATGGGGATCTTGCTGATCCTGTGAAACTAAATTCACCACAGCTGCTGCTTAAGATTTTTAGGACAGATTATTCTCTTCAATCTGTTGGTCCTAGCTCAGGAATAGTTTTGTGGACAATGGCAGTAGCTGAATTTGAGGCTTTATTATTATGCCAGCATCCCTCTTCTGATGTAGAGGATGAGTATACTCCTGAGAGTGGCCTCAATTTTACAATGCCATACCCATGTCAAGATATACGACAAGTCTTTCGCCTGAAAAAGAATTTGCTATTTGAACCTTTACTAACTGAAAGATTACTTTGGGATTATCATGAAAATGATATGCTCTCAATACCCTACTCAACTCTAATGCTTCCTTTGCAGTCAAATATTGATGGATTATTCAATGGTGATGATGATAATATGATGCTCCATCAACCTCTCACAGAGATCACTACACCAAGGGAAGTTTATCTGAACAGGACAAGTGAATGGCCAACTCCATTACCTCTTGTATTGTTTACCATCTTTCTTTTGGCATTTTCACTCATCTATCCTCTAGTGATTAGGGATCAAGATACACTGAAGGACCAAAATAGCAAGTCTGAACTAGAAAGTTCACCTGCTAAGAAAAAGAAAACACGTAAATTTGGAAGGAAAAATGGCACTATTGATAAAAGAGATAATCACCTGTCTTCAGAGAATGAGAATGTTCTGATGCGGAAGGATAATGGTGGAGAAGTATGGAAGCACTTTAATCATGCAAATGAAAATGTTGATGGACGAAGGATTGGTAAATTATTTGTTTCAAACGAAGAGATTGCTAAGGGAAGCAATGGTACTGTTGTGCTTGAGGGAATATATGAAGGTCGAGCAGTTGCTATTAAACGTCTTGTTAAGGCTCATCATGACATAGCTTATAAAGAAATCCAAAACCTCATCGTGTCTGATTGTCATCCAAATATTGTCCGATGGCATGGTGTGGAGTATGATAACGATTTTGTTTATCTTGCTTTGCAACGCTGTACATGCAATTTAAATGATTTGATTCAAATTTATTCAGATATATCAGTAAACCCCACCTTTAGGAAGGACCAAGGTATTGGATGTTTGATTAAGTCTCAAATAGAGATGGGGAATGATAGTACAGAGTTTCTTTGGAAGGTAAACGGCTATCCATCTCCTCTATTACTAAAACTGATGAGGTTCGTATTATGCCTTCTTGATTTGATGATTTATTAATAAGCATATACTATAAACAATTTCTGATTTTGAATGATATCAGATCTATGATAGGCTTTGGTACCATCTTGAATTTGGACTTGGCCTAACTCAATCCTAAAAGTTATCTTATGAGGTGAAGGATGTCAAAGCCTTTCAGTTTTTTTGTCATATTTATAGTTGATATGGAATCTTAGGACATTGTTAGATTAAACACCTGGATGTACTAGGAAAATGGCTTGGTCAGGTAGTTTTTGGATACTTGAGGTTGACTCAAAATATCAAATTAGATGTATGGTAAGGTCTGATACCATCTTTAAATTGGGTCAATCCTAAGTCAATCCCCAAAACTAACTCTTGAGGTGTGGCTTGTCCTAGTCTTTATACTCTCTATTTTATAGTTGATGTGAGATCTCATCAAGGTAGTTTGGATTTTGGCCAAGAGACCATTGCTGCAACTAAGGATAGAAAACTACAAAAGAAAATGGTAGATAATGAATGTGGGTAAGGTGGAGGTAGATTCGGTAAGTAGAAGACTAGAATAACTTTTTTAGTTTTCAATGCAATAGAAGGAGAAACCAGGGGGATGCAATGGGTATTGCATAAAATCATAAAATGAAGGTAATAAGTTATGATGGTAAAAGGTTGGATGAAAACAAAGTAGTTAATAAGAAAAAAATCCTAACTTGGATTCATGTAGGTGATACAATTCATTTAAGGGCCCAGGGAGATAATTCTTCCAGTTACGAAAGCTCGTGCATGGAAGTTGACTCTCTAAGTTTATATTATTACCATTTATATTAAACTAACTTTCATTTTTTTATTGCAATATAGGGACATTGTTTCCGGGGTCATTCATTTGCATGAATTGGGTATAATACATCGAGATTTGAAACCACAAAATGTTCTAATAATCAAAGAAAGATCCTTATGTGCAAAACTTTCTGATATGGGGATTAGCAAATGCCTTCTTGAAAATATGTCTTCTTTGGGTAATAATGCTACTGGTAAGTATTCTGTAGAAGACTAGTAACTTTATTTGCTTTTGTAGCATTTGCCATGTGAATAGTCAATTAAATCCAGCATGAGACGTGTATATATAGATTATTGTGATGATGACATCTTTTGATATCTTCACAGTATTTTAAATGTTTTAGCTTATCCTATACATATTGTAAAAGATCATTATAATTTAATTCATTGAATTTGTGATCTAATTGATGAGGAAACAATCGTACCCTAGAAACCAGTGTGTAAATATTACTAAAGAAATTCTTATTCACAATCCATGCAATTTCACTTTGAAGAGATTGAATGAAACCAAACCATTTGTAAAAGATTAAGCAGTGAGATAGGTATAGGGTTCAATTTTCTCTATAGTTAGTCCACCTTGTTTTACCCCATCTTGCCTCTGGCCCACTATATTTAGGATAGACTACAAACCTCAGTCCACTCCCACCAAAGGGTATATAACTTTTTTATATTTTTTAAAAATCTTATTTTCATTTATATGAATATTTTTTAAGTTTTTACTCATTAATTAATATTTTTTATTAGATAAAAATTTGAGAAAATCATTACATTTATATGTTAAAATACTGAATTATAATCAATAATTTAAATTATAATAATTTTTATTTTAATATTAACATGTATACATTTTAGAAAAAAACAAGATAGTTCGCCTCGCCCTGTCTTTGGTATGCCGAATTTGCAGGTTAGACGGGACGTGTCAAAATAGGCTAATGAGTTAAAATTACCAATCTGGTTTGCCAAGTTGAGGCGGACAAAACTAACCTACTTTGTCATCTCTAAATATTACAAAAAAATATTAAGAGAATTAGAAATTAAGGTTGAGCATGCAAAATTCATAATTTCATTTATCCCATGAGTTCACCAATTCATCACTTTGGTTATGTAAAATTAATTGTTTCAAATAAATTTAAAAGGGATCATGTCCTAAAAAGCAAAAAGTACAATGAAATAATCAGCACTAATTGAGCTGAAACAAACAAAACGAAATCATAAATTAGGGTTCATGGGGAAAACTGTGATGCAACTGTAGTAGAACAATTTAGCCAAACATACTTGGAATATAGAATGAGAGAACTAAAGTATTCATTGCTGGAAAAGAAAGAGGAAAGAGAAAACACAAGAACTTGACTCAACTTTTTCCTGTAGATTCACCACTTTACTCTCCTAGAAAGCTTGGAGAAAATTTCTGAAGCGAATAAAACTTAAAAAGTAAAAGTATGTTTCACAAGGAACTTCAAATAGAATTAAAATGCAGGCTTGGGCTACATTATATTGAGCAGGGTCATGTTGTGATATCATCAGGGCCTTGTAGTAGGGTACTATAGGAAATTCAGCAATGCCTTGTTGGCCTAGCACGATTGTGCTTTGATTTGAGAATGGTACCGAAGTCATGTCAAACTCATAATGGGACCCAACTTCATTATGAGATTTGCCATTACCTCTCAAACCAGGCCTTCTTTGCCATTTTAGTCTTCTCTGCTGAGTATTTTCTACAGGTGCTTGTGTTGCATATTGTTTCTCCAACATCTTTGCATCCTCGGATAGGGGAATGCCTTTTTGTGTTACGTTGTCTCTGGTTGGAGGTGGTCTTTTTATGGTAGTCAAGAGGTGCTTTTCACCTCTTAAAGTTGAAGGCACTTGGGGAGGCTATCTAGGGGTTACTAAATTGAAGGTTAGGTTGTAGGATTTGCAATTTTTTTTCACTGATTGGTACCCTTCTTCCTTTTCTGATTGATTTTGGTTTTTCTGTAACTAGAACTTTGCATAAGCATGTACATTATGACTATTTTCGTTGGGTAGATGTTCATGATGTAGTTGTCAAAATTAAAATCATGCATTTTAAAAGGATGATAATTGCCCCCTCATGAACATTCTTCCAACGAAAATATTTGTAGTGTACATTATGTGAAGTACCCATTATAAATAAACCAAAATAATCAGACAAAGGAAGTGGGCACCAATCAATGAAAAAAATCACAAACTCTAGAATCTATCCTCCACTTTGGACAACCCCAGAACAACCTCCTTGGGTCCCTTGAGCTAGGAGAGGTAACAAGCACCTCTTGAATTCCACAAAAAGCACTTTCTCAGCCGGTCAACACTGATGGGTTGACTAAAGGCATTCCTTTATCCATCGAGGAAAAATCTTGTGAACATGATGCCTTTGACCATACTTTTCTGCTAGTAAGCATCATCTTTTTAGGATCCTGCATTTGTTCACCTCCTTTCTCTAATCTAGGGCAATCAAAACAGTCAAAAGAGAAAGACTCAACAGTTTTGAGTTACAAAAGTAGGGGTCTTTAAACAAATTAAGTATAATATTGTTGTATTTGAAGAAATTATTATAGTTAGAAATAATGCAAAAAAGCCACGTGGCTAGCTCTGCATATGTAAGTGACCAAAATGTCCATTATCTTCTCCACATGACAATGTCCATGTAAGCATTTAATCAACCAGTTAACAAATGTGAGTAAAATCCAAACAGAATTATACTTGATATATCAGGACCAGTCAATTTTTGCAATTGTAACAGTACCTGTTGTTTTGAAAACATATTTTATCCAAAAAATTATTAAACTCTATTTTCTAACTAGTCATATAATAAATAAATGTCACTAATATTCTCTATGAGACAATGCTCATGCTAGCCTTTAACAGTTCAATTAACATATATGATTAAAATCCAAACAGAATTATACTTGATATATCAGGACCAGTCAATTTTTGCAATTGTAACAATACCTGTTGTTTTGAAAACATATTTTATCCAAAAAATTATTAAACTCTATTTTCTAACTAGTCATATAATAAATAAATGTCACTAATATTCTCTGAGACAATGCTCATGCTAGCCTTTAACAGTTCAATTAACATATATGATTAAAACCCAAACGTAATTATAACTTGTATGAAGACCAATCAATTTTTTGTTGTCGTACTAAAAACGAAAATTGGCAAACCTATAGAGTGTAAAATATATTTTATCCTATTTTCTTTGAATATTTTATTTGTATCAACCTGAAAGCTTATTAAGTTTTGGTTCAAGGGGGATTGTTAGAATATCTCAAAATATCTCTAAAGTGCTTTTGTGTGCCTTCAGTATATCTCAAAAATCTATTGCTCTAATTTAGGAAGTAATTTAAGAGTTGTTTCCTTATTCTTGTTTCTTTACCTATTTATTTCCATGTGAACCCAATCTTTTTTTTCATATTTCTGACTCAACTTTTAAGTGATCTATGAAGTGTGTTTATTCACTTTTTCCTTTATTGGTTCCTTTTTCATTGCAGCTTGTTTTTTTGTTGAATCTTACATCTTAATCTATAGTGGACTTTAACTAGTTTATTATCCTCGTGCTATAAGGTTTACTTGCTTAATTGCAGGTGGTGGTAGTTCAGGTTGGCAAGCACCAGAACAGCTTGTTCAAGGACGTCAAACACGGGCAGTAGATATATTTAGTTTAGGTTGTGTCCTCTTTTTTTGCATTACCGGGGGAAGACATCCATTTGGAGAACGTATTGAACGGGATATCAATATTTTGAAAAATCAAATGGATCTTTTCTTTGTGGAGTTCATTCCTGAAGCCAAAGATCTCATCAGTCGATTATTAAACCCTTACGCTGATCTAAGGTAAATAATTCTCATTCAATTAGTTTTCTGGAGAATGGGAATATATTTTGATGTACCTTCATAATTTTGCATTTTTTATTACTCGCCTAATTGGTATCTGGTGTGAAATAGTGAAGTCTCAAAGTCCAAACAGATATAACTTTTACGAATAATATAATAACATATAAGATGTAAGAGTGTACCCCATTTTGGTTATATCTAATGATAAATCTATCGAAGTTTTTATTTGTGTTTTTGAAGGTCTGCTGGTATCTGGATTAATTCAGGTGTTCTTTTAAAAGTCGTATTTTGTGCTCCTTCATTCTTTTCTCTAATTTAATTACACGTTTCTTTTGCTATAAAAAAAATGCATACATCTGTGGCACGGTTGGCTTATGCTTTTCCAGAAGACTCAATTTACAGTTACGTTAAAAAAATTGGGGGTGAAGGTGCTTTTGCTTGCATGCACATGCATGACAAGGTTCAGTCAGTACATAGGAATTCTTATCATCAGGCAGTTATAATGAAGGAATGGTATTAGTTATTTTGGTATCCAGCAGGGAGCCCCCCAACTAAGCATCATGAAACTCTTAACTTTGTCATTTCCCCTGTTGTTAAGGAGTTCCAAAGTATATCATTTGCACATGATTGGCAGAACTTGACTAATATGAAACGTTTGATTGCAAAATAAAATTAGATAGCTCATAAAACATGAGGGACTGGAAGTATGTGTTGCCAAAGATAAACAAAAAGCTTTAGCTTTTAGATAGAGGTCCATGAATGTTGTTATATCTCTAGCATTTGTATCTGTAATTCTCGTGTTACAGTCTAGCAATTTCATTTAAGAAATTATTTACTTTATTTCCAGGCCAAAGGCAACTGAAGTATTGTACCATCCTTTTTTCTGGAGTTCTGAGATGCGACTTTCGTTTTTGCGTGACACCAGTGACAGGGTGGAGTTGGAAAATAGAGAGACTAATTCTGATCTTTTGGTGACATTAGAAAGCGTTGCCACAGTGGCCTTGGGTGGAAAATGGGATGAAAGGATGGAACCAGCTTTCATTGCTAATATCGGTCACTATCGGCGGTATAATTTTAACAGTGTTCGAGACCTGTTGCGAGTTATGAGAAACAAACTAAATCATTACAGAGAATTGCCTCGAGGAATTCAGGTTCTTTCTTTGTTCAACATTTATCAAATAAATTTTTCTTTCGTATTTTTAGGTTGCATTGGCTTTGCAACATGGTGGGTAAGGTGGGGTCCGTATTACAATCTTTAGCCCAAAATTGACCGTTGACCCCTATCTACTGTGAAAGTTGGAACAATTGTACCTGATTGGTTTATATGTTTAGAAATTTGCCACCCATGAATATAACGAATGGCATTTTGACAAATTAACAAATAGATTTTGCTGGATTTTGAAGGTCCGTATGTTTGCCGAGCAGAAGTCAAAAAACATAGCGAACCTAACATGTTGACCCATTTATTTTTCAACTTGTCCCCAATTCCAATTGTACTGAGTTGCTTTCTCAATATCCTATGATATGTTTTTACTAAAGATATATATTCAAATTGTTTTCTCAATGTCTTCGAGAGTTCATGCCTCAAATACTTACATGGAATGACAGATTTGGATATTGAATTCTGAGGGATAGTTAGACTTCTTGTTGTTTGGGTAGTCGACCAAGATATTTCCTCCGTCCCATCAAAGACTTCTGTAGTTTTATGTACAGAGTGATCCAGTGCTACTACCACTTTAATTCTATTTCTTAAATAGGTAGCTTCATTCGGACTTAAAATTTCATTTGTCACAACTTAGTGAATTTTTAACTTTCTTCACTTTGTTGTCTTGGAAGATGACATACTGTGTGTTTGTGATGATTAAGAAGTGCCATAGTGCTAGATCTTATGGGCCTGCCTTTGCCTTTACATTTGTTCTTTACCTTGATGTGCTTGACTAGCATGACTGACTTTTGAATATTTATAACTGTTCACTGAAATTGGTTGGGCTCCAAGGAGGTAATTAATTTGTGCTGGTAATAGTCTGTACGAAATTTCAGCATGCATCTACGTTAATATATGACATATGTACAATCTTCCTAAGCATAAACTTCAAGGATAACAAATAATTAAGGGATAAAAGGTCCTGCATAAGCTGGCTATCTTTACTCATTAAGACATGGCAACTATATGCTTCTAATTTCTTATTTATTTTTCAGGAAATTGTAGGACCTGTTCCCGAAGGTTTCTGCGAATACTTTGCTAGTCGATACCCAAGACTATTGATTGAAGTGTATAAAGTTGTACTCTATTATTGCAAGGAGGAAGAAAGTTTCCAAAGATATTTTAAAAATGTTGATTAGTGCCTCGGCATCGCTGGAGAATATAAAGGCAAAGACTTGTTGCAACATGAAGCAGTTTATGTGATATTTTATGAAATGTATGTAAAAGCAAATCAATTATTTTTAACCTTGTATTCCACCATAAATTTAATGGAAACATTGAATCCTCAGTAAGCTAGAGATTACACATGGTGGACAGTTAACAATAGCATAAACCTGAATCATTCACCCTAAAGATTGCAATAAATTGACGGAATTAAAAGACAACTAGGCCAAAATCTTTTAATATTTACTCATTCAGAATTAAATCCATGGTAATGGAGGGTTATGCGTGGCTTAACATTCGTTTTATACAACAGATTCTTGTTTTTGTAGGGCAGGTTATATGGCCTAAAAAGCTGGTCCAAATGACACATGACATCCTTATAGGACCAGCTATTATGCTAATGAATGAAAGTCGGCAACTGGTCTACTGTATTCTAAATAACAATAAGATGATTTCATTGAATATGATGTATTCTACACAAACCATAAGTAGCAACAAAAATTGCAAAGTCACCTTGTCCCCTCGCAAATTGATATATCTTACAGTTATATGTACTAAAAAAGAAAAAAGAAAATGTTGTAGGAATCCAGCAGTTAGATTTCACTAGCTGAATCAATTCTGTTTGATGATGCCTGGGAATATCCTTTGTTGGAGGTGATGGATGATCCAACCTCCCTTGAGCTCCTGTAGGACATGCCCCCTATTTTCTTTCTCTTGGAGCGGCTCTTAACAATCTCTTCCTTTTCATCCACGAATGAAAGGAATGTGCGCAGACGTGAAGATCCTGAGCCATGGCCAGAAGACTCAAGCTCCTCCGGGCCATGCTTGGAGTACTGTCTTATGGTCTGAACAAAATATATGAGGAGAGCAAGCACACATGCCAACCCACACACCAGATAGAGCCCCCAGAAGCTTCTCAGCTTGAGTCTGTCCACTTCAAGCTTCGCACCTTGTGATAGGCAGGCACTGCTCAGAAGCCATTTGTCATGAATCCTTTGTAAGTCTCCATTCTCTGCCAACTCCAGTATGGCAGTTGAAAGATCAACTGCTAACGGCGAGTCTCGTGGAAAGGCCTAAGAAACAATTAATCATGGTATATGTTACAGACTACAAAGAACACGGACCAAAACATGTATAGCTAAATTCTTCAATTGACTTAGGAAAGTTGCTGAATAACAACAAACATGGAAGGACAAATATGGTGAAAACATTGAAAATTACCTAAATCTATTATGATATAGCTAAACTAATATATGATATATTACAACGTAAGATATTTATTTTAAAACTCTGGCAGTGCAGCATTTCTGTTAGACCACAAAAATGAGGAGTTAGGAACAAGCTTTTACGTTACAATTTGGCAATAGAGTTTTAGTATAGATAAATAAAGCATTCAATCCTTTCTCCCCAGTGCTTCGTCCTTGACTGAGTTAATGAAAAACGCTAAAAGCAGAACAAAGGTTTAACCAGAACAGTCAAGGGGAAAATGCATTTATGCTTTCTTGAGGAAGAAAGTAATAGAAAATAAGGAGAAAAGCATGGCAGGTTCCAAAGTTCATTGTGAAGGCAAAAGAATAAAGAAAATTCGGACTATTGGTAAGGAGATACTTACAAATCCCCAACCATTCCGGGTAAACTCTTGACCTACAATGCTAAATTCACACCGGCTCGAAAGGAAAAGTTCTATGTAAGCACGCTCATCAACATATGCAGCAACACCACCCTTCTGAGGACCATTTTTTAGTGCTTTTGCAGTTTCTTCTGGTGTTTTCAGAGGAACTAGTCTGGATTCATCAATACCGATTTCCTCAATCAAATAAGTTCGAGTAAATGAACCCTGCAAGTAGCCAATAGGCTCTTTGATATTTATTAAACTGTCAATGCCTTTAACAGGTGATGAAAGTTGTTGCACCGTGAGGATGGATGTCAGGCTAGCTGTGTAACTTGAATTAATAATTAAAACTACAAATAACCATATAAGCAGCACAAAGCGACCAAGAGAGCTCACTGTATTTTCCCCTACATAGCACAGGAAAGAGTATGTTCATAAACTCAATGTAGCCACCAGTTATACTTGGACCATATATGTCACAGAAGACAGAAAATTGGCACTTACTGTGAGCAAAGAACATGGTCGAAAAACTAAACCTGTCAAATAAAACACATAGAAGTTACAAACATAATCCAAAGCTGTAAGTGAATCCAGTGTAACATTGATATGATTACTATTCATCAGCAAGAGATTCAATATAGTGTGAGCTTCAGAAAGGAAGGAGAGAGAGAAAGACCAGATTCCCTTACCACAAAATTGTGACCATTTGTTGTTTGGGAGTTCCCCTAAAATCATCATTCAGCCTATGCTCTAAAATCCAAACAACAGCTCCCACTAATAGAAAAAAGATAGCCGTGACAGTCCACATCATTGGTGTAAATGGTGTCAGAAAGGCCCAAGCATTGGAATCTGTCTTCTTAACTGATGCTACTACCACCAGACCAGACTCAATATATGGCTGAGTAAAATCCACCATCTTTGTCCTTTCTGTTGTAATTGTGATGTCACCAACTGCAGCATCAAAAACCTGTATGGAAAGAAAAACTGGTCTCAGAAAGTACCATAAAACATCCAAACTCCACAATTGTAAAGATACTCACACCAGCTGTGATAAGACGGACAAGTTCAGTGTTACTAGGATTGCTGTCACCATCCCCATATGCAACAAATTTATAGGGGACAGCATAGGGCAACAAGTTCACTGCAGAAAGAAACACATCAATGCAGAATCCCTTGAACATGTCAGTGCCTTGTACTTGAGAGACAAAATCCCTGTAACTAACTCTTTTTGGCACTCCAATTTTTAACATCTTTCCATTGTTCGGAAAAACCCAACCACGGGGCTTCTGGGTTGTTTCTCCTGGCCAAAACACAGGCAGTAGCTTTTGGCTTGCACTGGATCGATTTGGTGGTTTTGAATAAAGTGCTTCTGGAGGAACAATTGATAATCCAGTGTAATTGGACCAGTAACCTATCCTCCGGGTTCCTGTTCCAATCACATTGATGATTTCATACGCTGGATTAACAAGGTTTCCATCAGATGCATACTTGAATAGACCTGATACACCAGTCATATTAACCTCATATATTAATTTACGCAACAGATTTCCTTCGTTGAAGATTTTCACAGCATCAAGATGCATGTTGTCTCCACGTAGTTGAGATAACTTTGGATCATGTGAAAATGTAATTCGGTTCCCTCGTTTGAAAAATGCATCAAGTGCATGAGCAAGAGCAAACACAGTATCATATGCAAAAATACCGTAAGTACTCAAACCAAGGGTACCATTACCAGTCTTTCCAGTAGTCAAGTTTGTCCACCTAGAAACAAACCATCTTTTGAGCTTTGAATCTGGTATATACATGCGTAGTGTAATGACCCCTTGCATGTCACCCGTTGCATCTGAAGACAAGGGACTACCTATATCCAGCCAAGTAGACAGAAAAGTAGTTGTTATCCAGACATACCCATTTTCCATCATCCCCAGAGACTTTGCCACACTTAACACTTTTGGACCCCAAGCAGTACTTGTGTGAAGAACTATAACCCGGGATTCTGCCAGGGCCACCTGAACAAGTACATCAGTAATCTCCTCCCTAGTTGCTTCAGGAGTCATAGGTGCTTTAAATGAAATCTTGCAACGCCTCTCGGCGAGCTTATCCCCTAATGCACCCATTCCATTCCTCCCATGGTCATCATCACCATAAACTGCAATAACCTCTCTCCATTCAAAGTAGTTGACAAGGTCTGCTATTGCAGTCATTTCATAAATGTCACTAAAAGCAGTTCTAATAAAGAATGGGAATTGAAGAGAAGAGAGAGTTGGGTCAGTGGCTGTAAATGATAGCAGAGGAACTTGGAGCTCATTTGCTATATGGGATATGACATGAGCCGTTGTAGAGGTCTGGGGACCAATTATAGCCACAGTTTGTGTCGCCATGAGCTGCAAGGCTGTATCACACATAATTTTTGTCAAACAAGAATAATAATCTGCCGAACTTTGAAGTAACAAGTCTAACAGAAAAAGATGTATTTTAAGTTGACACACAGAAAAAGTGGGAATATTCCGACATACCCTCAGCAATGCTCAAAAAACCTCTGTATTTGGTATCTTCTTGCATTGATACCTTCAACTTAGTTTCAGCAAGAATAGATGGATCAGAATTTATATCTTCAACCGCCGCCTCTACAGCAGTTTTCACCATTTTACCAACACTGGTATTGAAAGAATAAAGAACTCCAATATTTACAGAAGCAGGTATTGTGGAATTGTCTGATACAACTCCAGCTGAAAGCAATCCTTTGAAGAGAACCATCAATACCACAAGCTCAACTCTGATCATGGTTGCAGCTACCTTTTGCAAAGCCAGTATCAATCACACTGTTCAACATACAAGTAAAGAAACATCTTCAGAGAATTAAAAAAGGGGTATTAAGAAAGTAAAAAGTTAAACATTCATGCCCAAAGCTGTGACTTTTATAACATTAAGAATAAACTGCACTTCTCAAGGAAGAACTTATTTGGCACTCAAAAGTTAGTCCAGGCCAAGTAACTCAACAAAAACACAGGTACAAAGTTGCAAAGCACATCCAGAAAACAACAGCCAACGGGAAAGAAAAAAGCAATACAGCTCCTCCCATTAAATAAAAAAAGTAGCTGACTGCGAGCATAAATAACAGCATATGAAAGATAAAAGTTCAGTCAAAGAGATGAGTTTACCGGAGCTTGATTCACAGTATGGTAGCTGTCATCTATATTTAGAAGCAAAATATTTCAGAAAACCTGATGTTTGGTTCAATTTGAGAATAAAAACATAAACTTCACGTGTACCCAAGAACAAAAGAAATCAACTTTAACCTGAGACCATAAATTTCACTGAAAAAGAGAGAGAAACCAGGTGTAGAGTAAGACCATTGTGGATAAAACTGTGAAGAAGGAAAAAGGGTAGATCTTAGAAGAAAACTGTTTGATGGTGTTGAAGAGAGCGAGACTACCGCATAAAGATGGACGCTATTTACCTGGGAATGCTGTTGGTAATGGTATTTGCTTTTCCTTATTTTAGCTTTCTAGCAAAAAGCCAAAAACGACACTTGTGGCATCAATATCTTTTGCGAAAGTTCACCGGGGGGACAAACTAACTCCTCGTTCCATTTAAATACTACCCTTCTTCTTGTTCATGTTCCTTGCTACTACTCTTCCCTTAAACCATCGTGACTGGGAAAGGAATCAAGACGATTACATTCTTGTGAGAAAGACATCGGGTCAATCACTCTGAAACTTCAAATCTTTATTACATAAAGAATTTATATTATTTTATTAGTAGAAATTAAACACAAATACTGAAGTAATATAACAATTCTAAAGTATTACAATAATTCAAGAGGAGGTAAAATTACAACTAATTCGAAAATTGATTTTTTTAAAATTAAACCTTGTAAATTTGATCTTTTCAATTCAATTTTCGATTTCATAATTAATATTTAACTTATATCAAACTGAATTAAAACTATTATATTATTATTAAAACTGAATATAAAATATTTATTATTATTAATAAATCAATTAATTTTTACAGTTTAAAATAGTATTATTATTTTCAAATTAAATATAAAATTATATTTAAATAAATTAAAATTATAAATATCATAATTAATTATATATAATATTTTTATAATATATTTTTTATTGAATAATAAATTTATTATAATCATTTAACAATTTTATAATAAACAAAATCGTAAAAATTACTAAATTAAATCATAAAATATTTATTTGACTTAATTTTCTTTAAAAAAAATTATATTTAAAATTTATTATAAAATTGAATCAAATCAAATCTTAAACATTCTACGTACATTAAAATCAATCATTCACACATATTCAAGTAAGTAAATGATCTATCTTTAGTAAAAAAAACATAATATTATTATATTATGAATATTATTGATAAAAAATTATACACAACAAATAAAGTATTCTCACAATATATATCTATTATTTAATTATTACGTCAATCATCGGCTAATTTCAAACACTCATATGATAATTATTGTGTAAAATTCTGGTCTAATCTCATATTTTACATGTGTTTTTATATTTAAGTGTGTTTCTCACGTGAGATGTTTAATTCGTTACATTCTAAATTCATATTATAATACTTTAATAATTTATTAAAAATAGTTAGTAAGGGTTGATTTAATAATTTTTTCTTGTTATTTCTTTTTTTTCAAATTCAAAGTGGTTTAATATGTGATTATATTTAGCATAACCGGTTAATATTCGAAGTAGGCATAAATATATCATGTAATAATATTATATCAGCATTTTAACAAGTTAACACAATATTAATTTATTTAAAGAAAAAAATAGATTAAATTAATATTAAAAACGGTGAAATGACCATTTTCTCACATGGTTAAGGGCAAATGAGTTGTGGGCCCCATGTACAGTACATAGTCTCTCTATCTACTTCCTAAAACGGGACAGTGACTTTCCCACGGGGACACCACTCCACACTCGTGACAATTCTCAGATTTCAATGTTTGTTGCCAAATTATTAAATTATATGTTAAATATGTTTTTTAAAATATGTAAAAATTAGAAAATTAAATAAAGTTAAAATAATTTTTTGGTGAAATATTCCAATCATATTCTTCCATGTTGTTTCTCATTCATATGATAAAAAAAAACTAGTTATTTGAATCAATATATTCAATATTTATGAATTTAGAAACTGCGTTATGAATATTGATGGGGAATAAGTTGGAGAAGTTGTGATATTTGAGCCAAAAAGAAACATTTGAAAAGTGAGTAGACAAAGTGATTTTCATCTTGGAAAGATACCAATGTAGTTCCAAAATGAAAATAGCATGAACAGAATATAAAAGTGAAGAAGTAAATGGTGTGAAAAAAGTAATTGTGAAGACGGTTGTTGCAGCACGATGGCCTTTTTGTACACACATTGGCATCGAATCCAGCAACTTGGTACCCAGAAAGTGTGTTGAGTAAGGAGCCAAAAAAGTATGATCGGATATTTTAGTGTCATCAATGAAATTGAATCTGCTTTTTACACGTAAGACTCTATTCTACTTTATTCCTTCTTCCATAATTCAAACCACTTTCTACACAACAGCCTAGCCTATGCAAAATATGGTTCATGGGATGGGATGGGATGGGAGAATCATCACTTAATATATTCAAGTATTGGATTCAATTCGTTATAAATTTTATAATCACTCTAAATAAATTATTCAACAGTTAATCTAAATAATGTAAATGGGTATTTGTGCTTTCTAGCTATATCCACTAAGATGTCACATTTTTTATATACATCATATTTATATTTATTAGTTCATGTAGAAAGAATAAAATACACATTTATGATTAGTTATTGAATAATTTATTTTACATATAGATGACGGTGATAATCAATATAATATATAAGAGATATAAGATAGGTTGTTCACTTACTTAATGTTATATCTTCTTCATATTACACCATGACCATTTATATAATTTTGATACTGAACATATATAATTAATTATTATGCAAAAATAAATATATTATATAAATTACACATTCTAGGTTTAATATTTATTAACTAAATTTAAATTTTGGATAGTAAAATTTATTTTATCATCTATCCTCTCTCTTTTTAAAAAATAATCTATAATTTTTGTTTTAAACATCTTTAAAACTCAATTTTTTTTTCACATTTTAACATCAAAATAAAACATCACACAACATTAAACAACTAATTAATTTATAACAAATAAAAAAATATATTAATATTTTATATTTTATATTATCTACACATACTAATTTATAACAAAAATAAATTTGTTTATTCTTTCTTTACTTCAAAAAAAATTATTAAGATATATTTCCATTGTTTTTTAACTTCTTATGCATTAAATGTGAATAGAAGAAAAAAACAAATTAAGTAATAAAATAACAAAAAATTACAATTTGTATGTTATAAAAAAGAAACTATGAGAAAAGAAAAATTTGAAAACTAAAGAAAAAAAAACTTTTAACTTTTATTCTGCATGGAAGAGAAAAATAACGACAAATATAGAAACCTGAAAAGACAAAGTGAATATATGATAAAAAAGTTTAGGTGAAAAAAAATGAGAAGGTGAGAGAAGAAAATACAAAAATATGAAAATAGAAGGGAAAAGAAATACAAGTAAGAAATCATGTAAGAGAATAAATATACTATTTATTATAAATGAAAATATAAAAAAAAATTAAAAATGTATATATATTTATAAAATAATTTTATTTAATTTTTAAAATTAATTATTATTGTTATTGTTATATATAAAATGGAAGGGTAACCCAATCACCTATCTTACATCGAACTTTGTAAATGTTATTATTTCTCAATCTATAAATTCAAATTTTATAAACAATTAGATTACATAATATATATATATATATATATATATATATATATATATATATATTTCATCTATGAATAACATAAATAATTATGTCCTACTACCTATAAATCTATTCATTTAAAAATAAAATAATTATCTTAATTCATAACCATACTAATTGATCATTATTACTAATACTAAAGAAAAAAAAACTTTTTTCACCCTTTGGAATTTCTTTAACAGTGGTTTGATCCAATAACTTGTCGTTTATAAAAAAATATATAATAAATATTATATATGAAATTATATAATAATTATTTTAAAAATTAAAATTACTACGATGTCATGAATTCGTAATAGATTTACGAGTTATGTTTTACTGCATGACATAGTATTAACACTCGTTCTTTGTTACTTATTAATTATTAATATGTTAATTTTTAAAAAGTTAATTCTTTAAAAACTATAAAACATTATGAATAGTTTTAATATAAAATAAATATACCTTAGGATAAATCTTCGTAGATTATCCGATGACAAAGTGAATCTATAGTTTAAAACATTATACCACTATAATAAAATAAAATTTTAGTAATTAATAATTTATAATAATTTAACAAAATACAAAAATTGAGTTAAAAATAACTGAAGTGATACACTTGTGTTCAAGTCAAGTCTAAAGCTTTGAAGTGTGTGATTTTATCTTTTTTTTTTTATGTAGTGAATAAAATTAAACAAAGGTATTATTTACGAAATTAATATCAACGATACCTAAATAAGAAATTAATTAGTAATAATATATAAAATTATTATGTTTATACTTATGCATTAATATAAAGAGTCATATAAATTATTTTTTGGGTGACTTGAATCTATCATTAGATATATGTTTCATATTTTATTTTTCTATTCTCAAACTTTCATATGGCTTGAAGTTCAAATAAACCACACAAATTAGTATTTTCGATATTCACAATTAATTTATTAACATTCCAATATTGTTAATGTATCATTTCCTATTAAATAAGTACAATGAAATTTAGACATAATCCATAATTGTATAACTATATTGTTCACCATTTGGTTACTTTATATTATTTCAAATATGTCATTCATGATTATATATAAAGGTAAATTATTATTATTCATATTAAAGAGTGTTGCATTTTATGATATAAATTATGTGAAACTCCACCAATAAATTAGAATATTATTGAGGTTTATTGGGTGTCATTATACCCTACTTAATAGCATGTCAAATATAATATAAGACATATATTAATAAAATTAAACTTTAATTACACTCCTCTTTTTTTTTTAGAAATAGGTTAAATTAGATATATCAATCATGTAATGAATGTATGAAATATCTGTCTCAATAATTGAATCTTATCTATGGGTATAAGGATAACAAAAGTGACATTTTGAACATTTTTAATAATTATTCTTTGATAATGGATGTAATATCTCATATATTACATTGATGGCTATGTAATGAGATTTTACCGTGGAGATGAAGTCAATATCAATGTGATTGATGAAGGAAAAGTCAAGTCCATGAACAAGATTTAGGTAGAGAATAATTGCTCATGTTTCATTTTAGTTCTACTATATAAAGATGAAAATCAAACCAAGGACTAATTTGTCTATGTCTTGAGGTTGACAAAGAAAAATTGAATTAATTGACTAACTATGGATGCAAATTCAGATTTATTTGCTTTAAAAAGTTGAAAATGAAGATAAATAATGCAATCTTTGTATTGATCATAACTTAATCCTTGTCCTATTTGTATTTAAATATAAACTCTAAAATATTAACTCTCCTTTAACTATCTCTATTTTCTTCTCATATTACATATAAAGTCATTTTTTATCTAGTTGATACTTTTTATTTATCTTCCACTTACTATCAATTTCTTTTCTTTTCTCGATTTCTTTAACTAGTTAATTCAATGGGTTAAGTATGTTTTTAGTCCTTGTACTTTTATGTGAAATTAGAAATAGTCTATTTGTCAAAGTTCACATAAAAATGATTCATATACTTTTGAAATGATTAGAATAGGTCCCTATTTTAAACGACGTTAAATATATGGTGATCTGTCTAACAGAAATAATATGACTTATTCATTATTTGACATGTGTAATTATTTAAACAAAAAAAAAGCAAAGCTCTTCTTTAAAAAAAATATAAATTGTTCAACCGAGATTATTATTTTTTAAAAAACAAAATTAAAAAGTAAAATTTTTTTTTCTCCTCACGCACCAAAGTTCTTCAATTCTCGTCACAACCACTTTTCATTATCTCTTCTTTTCTCGTCACAACTACTTTTCGTTCTCTCTTCTTTTATCTTCACACACCAAATGTTTTTTCTTTCTTCCCCTCTGTAAGGTTGTATGAAGTCAAAGTGACTTTGAAGTTTGAGGGTTTTATCGGTTCGTTGTGGTTCAACTGGCAGTGCGACGGTGGTGCACAATGACAGTGTGCGATGGTGGTATACCATAGCTAGGATTTTCATTTTCGAAATTTAAAGTAGAGAAGTTTAAATGACTTATAAATGGCAGAGAAGTTTAAATTTCTTTTTAAATGACTTTTAAATGTTATAAATGCAAATTTAAATGACTTTTAAAATATTGACACCTTTTAATTTTATTTTTTAAAATAATTACACGTGTCAAATAATGAATGAGTCATAATATTTATGTTAGATAGTTCAACATATACCTAAAATCCTTTAAAATAAGTACATGTTTCAATCATTTTAAAAGTATAGAGATTATTTTTATGCGAACTATGATAGAGTGACTATTTTCAATTTTACATGAAAATATAGAGACTAAAAACATACTTAACCATTAATTCAATACACTATTTTTTTCTATTAATCTCTACTCCGAATTTTCTTTATCTCTTCAATAAATTTGATTTTTTCGGTCACATGAATTTATAAAGTTGTTTTTTTTTCTTTTTTTTAAATATTGTCCATCAATATTAATAATACTTAATAGAATAATATTTTGAATTTATCTTTATTGATTTTGTTATTATATACTTAAAAAGCTATGTAAAAAATTTATTAAATAAAAAATAATTTATTAAATATTTTTCATAAATTATATATTTTATATTTAGTAATATTTTAAAATAAAAAACTTAAAAAATAATTATTTTATATATAATTAAATACTTGAGTATAATGATATAATATATAATAATAATAATAATAATAATAATAATAATTTATATTTATATAAGAAAATATTAAATATTTTTTTTAAATAAGGGATGGTTTGGCCGAAAATGTCCAAGACTGAAACTGAAGGAAAATGGGAATTTGGGAACATGATTAAAAAGAACAAGGGCAGAGTTCGAGAAACAAAACTCGTCATGCCTCTCTCTATGTATAAATTGAATAAATTATATTTCACGCATAAAAATTATTATAAATTAAAGAATGATACATGAAAACATGAAATATTAAATTATACAAATGAGATAGAAAAAAATACAAATATTATAAAAAATAAAAAGAATGAGATAGAAAAAATTTATAAATATTAATTAGATATTTAAAAATTAAAATATGATATATGAGTGTTCTAAATTTTATAATGAATTGGAATCTTATGCACACAAAACCACTTCTCAAAAACTACCAATTCTCATTTAAGGATTTTCAAATTATAGAAAGTGTGGAATCACCGTGTAAACATCACGGTGATCTAATATCTTTTAAAGAAAATAGGCAAGAATCCCGGTGAAGAAATAAGGAAATCTTTCTATATCGAATTATCAATTGATAAAGTCATCGACAAATTATTGGATCATCCGCTAAGAATCTCGAGAAGAACCAAAACGGAATGGTTTCACCTACTCAAAACTAAACGGGGGAAGCCGCCTACAAACGGTTTATAGGAGCAGTGGTGGATATGGTTGACGGAGAAATGCGCTCCGACGAGTTTCATGAGGTGGCAATGGTTGTGTACTGGATATTTGGCGGGCCGACGGAGGACGAATACATTGATAAAATTATTTCAGACAAAAAGTAAGTATTGCTTGGTTTATTGGTTAATTCAGAAAAGCCTGGTGAAGAGGTATATTGCTTGATTTCATTCTTCCTAACAGGTTTAAATATAACTACTGTTTTCTGCAACAATGTTGAAGCTTATCATATTTTCTCTCTCCTTGAATATAGGTGGAGATGCGTTGGATCTTGTTGGCGATAGTGCATTTGAAACTGTGCAAACTTTTTTACTGTTGAGAATATGCTAATTCCACTCAAACTTTGAAATTGCTGTTGGTAATTTCTTAGTGAACTTCACTCTTCCTCCATCCATATCCATATAATCAACTATTGTTTCAATGCTGTGTCAGGTTTTGTTTTGAAATTCTTTTGTTTTCTTTTCATTGTTTGAATAATTCTTTGTGATGGTTGATGAACTTTACTTTAAGTTTGAAGGCATACCTATACGATATAAGGAGAAGTTTATTAATTTAGTTTGAATACTAATGGTTTAGTTGGTTGGATAGAGGGTTTAGTTAGATATAAATAGGGTAAAAAGTCTACTTGGAGGGTATGTACATATGCAGTGCGCCAAATGTTAGTCATATGGGATTATCCTGAGCAATTAACCAAGGTTTGTGATTTTAAACTTTTAGGTTTCCTTAAAATGTTATTTTTCTAGTTATTTGTGTACTACTTTCCTAGTTCTGGTTTATGTTTGAGCCTGTATTAGAAGATTAAATCTATCCTCTGTTGTTTCCTTTAATGATATTTTTGTCAGGTATTTATGTGATTATTTTTAGTATGCCTCTGCGATTCATTTTGCTGCCTGCATCAAATACAAATTTGCTTCAAGTCATGAAATTTTTTACCATAAAGTTTAACAGAATGACATAAGGCAGTCAATGAACATTTTTATCTATTTTAGTTCAAGTCATGGTCGCTTGAGTAAAGTTTTCAACCTCCGGAGGAAATTTTCTCTTGTTTTTTATGTTGTCAAAGTATCTCTAATGATTTTTGTAAAGGGTGTCAGTTGATCTTTCCCCATATTTGTGTGTGCGTCATCCATTGGCTCCATCATGGCCCTTCCCTCTTATGGCTTGGTTCTTAGTCTTGACTTTCACATGTTTTGCAGAATAAGTTGTCAATATCCTTTTCCCAAAAGTCAAATTGTTGTTTTTTTTAATGAAGTCTCATGACCTCAACCTGTCACAATTCACACTTCGTTATAGTACCTTCTCTGTGTGATATAATCTGTATGTCTATGTAGTTTACTTTTTTATCTGTGACAGATTGATAGAATCTTTATTTCTTAAACTTTGTAGTAGACATTTCCAGTGTCCCAAATTAGCATACTGCAATTAATATTGAGTTGCATTATATCAAAATTCTTCTCAGTGATCCAATTATATGAGAAAATAGTATATCAAAATTTGTTTAATAAAATTCTCGAATGTCATTTATTTTTGGATTAGATAACTACTTTTTCTAATTCTGAGAAGAATTAAGTTTATAGCATTGTTTATAGCAGTGATGGATCTTTATATTGATTTTGGGACAAAATAACATATAATTAATAAATAATAAATGAATATAAAAAAGTAAAAGAAAAAAAGATGAAAAATTAAAATTATAAATATAATATTTAATAATTATTAAGTTTGGGAGAACAAAATTATAAGTGTATAAATTACAAAACTTTGACAGTGATTTCCTTAAATTCTAAGAAGATCTGTCATTGGTTTTTAGAGGAGGATAACCTTGTTTGAACTTGAATATGGATAATGGATTGAAGAGCAAGACAGACATAATGTAGAACTGAGAAATGCATTACAAACTCATGAATCCGATATGCAGCTTCATCTACTTGTTGAGAATTGCTTAAGCCACTACTCAGATCTTTTCAGGATGAAAGCAGAGGCATCAAAGCTGATGTCTTTTATTTGATCTCTGGTGCGTGGAAAACATCATTGGAACGCCTTTTCCTTTGGATTGGAGGATCCCGTCCATCACAGCTTCAAAATGTACATCCAAATATCTTTTATTATCTCATTCTAATAACTTTTATATTTTATTTTCTGTTCATTGATTGTACAGAATAGGAGCTCAATATTATCTTTCTTATTTATTCAACAACTTCTAAATACTAGATTGCTTTGAAACCAAACAAGAATGTCAGATTCTAATATTCTATGCAGAACTAGAGTTATTCAAGTTTTTTGATATGACGCATCTAGTTTCTAGAACAAATATCTTTTCTATAATGTGTTCTGGACATAGTTCTTTGTGTGGTGGTAGGCGTAGTTCGCAGAGTTTGTAAAGAAAACTTTATTTGGTATCTGCGAGTGATGTACATCTACATTTCTTTTGTGGCTTTTGTTTGCTGCTTCTGAACATGCACAAGATATTCCTACCAAGTTATATTGAATGGATTGTAGATTTACTTATATTCATTCGGTCATCTAGGGTATCTATCTTGACATCCACATATGGAATCAATTATGTCTGCATGTGAGTACTTGCATGCATATTTATTTTTTAATTTTGATTGTTATCTCACTATCATTTGTATATCTTACTTTTTTTCCTGCAGCAACAAAAATGCCAAAGCTTCCAGCTGCTGCCGGTCTTCTTGCATGGTTTGGAGTTCTGCTTGCAACTGTTGGTTTGGTTATGTTTTGCAAGTGTAGCAGGTAAATGATGTGATCTCAACAAAATTAATGTGATTGATTATTTCATTTGCATGTGATAAAATTGAATAGTTTTGAGCTACAATATGAATATAATGGTTATGTGAAACAAGCTCTGTGAAACTCAGTTATGGATTCATTAAAAAAACATTTTCATATTTAATGTTACTGTATTATTACTTATTAAAAATTACAAATATCTCTTTCTTCTATAAAAAATAATGAATGTTCAATTGATATTATTTTTGGATTAAAAAAGAGACTGTTACTTGGTAAGATATCAACAATACTATATTTAAATTTTAATGCATGATATAGATTAATATTCCAATGCATTTCTCAGAAAAACATGTTTAAAAACTTTTTGTTTAATTCAAAGTACATGTTCCTACTAGAATCTCCATAATAACATCTTGATTATTTTGACCTAATAAAAAATATTTTGGTAAAATAATCATGTTATGTATAATAATATAATTTTCAATAATAACATACAAATCTATATACCAAAAGAATATATAACAAAGAACATAAAAAAACAAAGAAAGGTAGATGCGCATGACGTGTAATGAACCAATTTCTCGTTCAATTGAATTTTGGTGCTTGCATCTATTGCTACAATACCAAATTCTCTGGTGGATTGATCCGCGATAGTTCTTATGGCTTCTCTTAATTTAAAAAAAGTCTAAATTTTATTATTTAGTCATAGTCATTACAAAGTGTTAGAAAAGTAAGGTAATTTTTATCGATCCTGTCGTAAAATTACTCGCATCTCATTTTATTATTGATTTGATCTTGGAAGTAATCCCAATCGAACAGGAAACAAGTTTGTGTTAGACTCAATAAAAGCTTATTCCTACAAGGAGTGATATTGTATCCAACAGGATCATATATTTTTGGTATTCATTCCAATTTTTGGAATGATAACACAATATATTCAACATACCATAAAATATTGAACCACTTCAACAAGTTTATGTATAAAAAATTAAATATATGGTTTTTATACAATAATATTCATAATCCCTTTACAAGTTTCATATCCAGAAAGTATATATTTGTTAAAAATAATCTTTTACATAAATTAGTTAGAATAGATAAATCAATTATTTATTCTCGTGATCTAATAAACTTTTAAATACATTTTAATAACAAATAATAATTTTATATAATAAATATTCAAATCTAAAATATTTATTATTTATATAGTTGTAACATCCTAAAATAAATGTAATTAATAGAAATTTTGAGCTCATTGGTAGGACGGATAAAAACCTCTAAGTTGAAGTGATGGTTTATATATAAATATATAAAATTATGTTAATACTACGTTTTAATGTCAAAAAAATTATATGTTGAGTTGTCACTGTAATTATTTAGATGTTAAAATATGTATGTGTTTCTGGTGAAAATTTGATCGATTTCGATTAAATCGAGACTTAGGTTCTAACCAAATTTTAACCATGTAGATTCTTTTTATTTAGGCTAGCAAACGGTTTTCAATCGAAAAATGCATGAGAATTGAAAACCCCACGGTTTCAAAATGTAAACAATACAACTTAGTATGCAAATCGAAAGTACTGTTTTTGGTATTTTTCGTTAAGAGACGCGAAGTAAAGAAAACAATAAAAAATGTTGAATCGAAAGATAGTGCGGAATATTAAATTGCGGAAAAACGTAAAGTGCGGAAACCTCAAACTTGCATTAAGGGTAAAAGGGCGAAAAATCGAAATTACAGAAATGTAAATAACAGGAAACTTAAACGCATAACCTTAACTTGCATAAGAGTAAATGACAAGGAATCGAAAAGGACAGAACTTAAAGTTTGACAAACGTAAACTGCAATGAAAGTAAATTACCAGGAAAAGTAGAGAAAGCGATAAAGATAATCAATGAAAACGGAAATCCAGAGCATTAGAAACTTCATGATGCGTCGTTCTCCTGTAGACTGTTCACTTGCGCTTCTGTTGTCTCTGCTAATTTCCCCTTCTTCTTCATGTTTCATTCTATTTATAGGTCCTGCTTCAACGTAACTTTCTAAGAGCAGTTTAGAAAACTGCTACCACGTTCCATGTGCACGTATGTTAACTATCTGTTTCTTTTTATCTTAGCTGAGGCTTTGAGAAAACCGTTTCTCATGTTCCATGTGCGTGATAATCGTTCCTTTAATCTTGACCTCATCCATCGAGTATTTAAAACTTTCTGGCTTTCCATTTAACTTCATACTCAATACCTTTCATCGATTTTTCTTCCCCACGATCATCGAATTTCCTATATTTCTTTCGATTCTCGATTCCAATTATCGAATACGATTTCCCTGACCTATTTTATCACTATCCTTATCGATTCTCCCCTCTTTTCTCTATTTTTGATTCCCACTTTCGATCTACGCGTTCACACTAGTGGTCACCGGGTATCTCCCCACTACTCATACGATCTTCGATTTTTCTCTTTTGTCTTTCGATCCTTGTATCAATTTTCTACTAACAAAATGCCCCCTTGGAAGAATATAAATATTTGTATCAATTTTATTTTAATTCTTTCAAAATGCTTCCCGCCTTCAAATATTTTAGGGTTTTAGGGTTTCTGGGGGTTTTTTCTGCTTTATGTCACCCATCAAATCACCTCCTTTCTGTTGTCATACTGCACACACCACATTAATTACCCTCTTCACATCCGTCGTTTCAAATACCCTAACTTGGCCTCTTAAAATACTTTTATCAGCTTTTTACCCTTATTTTTTTACCACGAATCTCAGTTCTCCTTCGTTGCACTTCCTCATCTTCAACCTTTCTTCAACCTTACGTCTTCCCTTCTCTACCTACTGTAATGGCAACCTCCAGATCCTCTGATTTCTCCGTCCCACCACTTTCCTCCGTGACCTCCAACCTAATAGAAATCAATGGGAAGAAGTTTGCGCCGGTCCCTTTGATGTAAGAAGCCTCACAACGGATTGTCGAGACTCAGGTACTCATCCCTTACGTCGCTGATAATGTAACTTATGCATTTGGTGGTCATATCCGCTATTGTGGCGGATCGTTTTCTTCTTCTCTTAGCCTTCCTTCAGAGAGTAAGGTTCTTATCCATCAGTCTGAGGTTCGAATAGATTTTCTGCAAATCGTTTATAAAGTATATCGAACAAGCCCTCCTCACAAAAAACCCTTGTACATTAGATGGTTTGATCGAGTTAAAACTAAATTTGGGAACCATTGGAGGGATGTAGGGATTTTCGATTTCCTGCATTTGTCTCGGTGTGATCTATCATTTTTGGATATGTCCATGTTTTTATCCGCCGTTCATTTATGGATTAAGGACTTACATGCATTGGAACTTCCATGTGGCCCCTTTTCGCCCACCCTTTTCGAAATTGCTACTATTACTGGATTAAAGCCCACGGGGGAGAAATATTATAAAGGTGCTTTCCCTTCGGATAACTCTTTAAGGTCAAAAATCGATTGGGAATCGAAGGCCTATGGACATTTTCTCGAGAAACATTTCATCGATGATCACACAGTGGTTGTTTCTGATGAAGAGCACGTGACCTTCCTGGTGTATTGGCTTTGCACCCACGTTTTTTGCCCTCGGTCCATCCAGATATCATCCCACCTTTATAACCTTGCCTATCTTCTCTACACTGGCCAACCACGAATTAATTTAGCAAAGTTATTATTGGCTCATGTTTATACTTCTTTCGATGAAGCTGTCGATATTTTGAACACCCCCAGGGCCTCGGGGAATTTTTCAGGTCCCATTTGGTTTATCCAATTATGGCTTACCTCAAATTTTGAAAGTATCTTCCCTCCAACCTCCAACATTCCCTCGAGTTTAAATTTGGAAGGTGCTCGATTGTCTACTCGACACTCTCACCACAAACCTGACGATGCCAGTTATCATAATTACCTACGATTTTTGTTGACTCGATTTCACTTTGAGTCGAACTTGGCCCCCTTCACCGTATATCAAGGGAAAGTAAATGACAAGCTTCGAGGGTTAGTATGGTTTAAGTCAAAATTCTCTGCTCTTACTCTCGGGTTACAATCAGAATTAATCGAAGTATGGAGTAATTATCTAACCCAAGATGTTCTGGTATCGGGTTTCCAATCGAAGGACCTTCAACTGGTCACTTATTATCCCCAACTTTTCTCGCGGCAGTTTGGATTGAGTCAAGCTTTACCCTTTTTTCCCCTTGATACCTCCTCAAAGCCTAAACTAAGTGAATCGACTGTTGGACGGGAGCTTGCCAAGCTGTTGCCAAAAAACCCGATGCATTTTTTCCCTTATACTTTTGAATCGAACTATTTATCTACATTTGGTTTTTCTCAGTGGTGGACCGATTGGTTTTCAAATATTCATTCTAATTTTGACATAGTCCAATCAAAATTGACTGATCGTCCTTCTCTCGTGTTGCAGGACAAATCGAAGGCGAAGAAAGGTACATACTCTCACTATCTCCAAATATCTCAATTCGAAAATTTTTATCGAGCATGCTACAACCCCTCGAAATTAGAAGAGACCTTTTATGATGTTGTTATTTCCCTAGTCAATAAAACAGACACTAACCGATCAAACCACAAAATAATCAACCCTCGAGGTAAAACCCCATTTGAAATGTATTGTCCTAATCATCTTCCCACTTTCCCTTCAGCCCCTTTTGGACTAGCCAAACCTTTAACTCATCCTAAATGTGTTCGAGAGTTAAGATCCCTGAAAGAAACTCTTTACCCCAAACCTAAAAACAAAGAAATTTCGATATCAAAATTATCCTACTTCCCTTACCTCAATCTCTTCTTCCTCCCTGGCTTGTTCATATCGACCGAGTCAAGATTTTGACTCCATCACCCTTTGGTGAAATTTTTATTGCCTCTTTTAAGAATGTTTTCAATCTTCTTCAAATTGTAATCTAACGGTTTTTCCTTTTTTGATAGTTTCGAAGCCTCACAGAGTCGTGGCCTCCGAGAAGGACTGGGAGTCCTCAGACGAGTCAGATCCATCGGCCCCCACTCATAAGCGCAAGCATTCTACCACCATCTCTTCATCTTCGAAAAAATCGAAGGTTTCTTTTCGATTCCTTATTGTCTTATTTATTCAACCTTCTTTGTCTATAGCTAATTCACTTCTAAT